CTAAGGATTCTCCACACCAGGTAAACAGAGCATTAAGCTGATTATTCAATGTAAAAGGTACACACACCCACCCACCCACTGTGAAACATCCCTCCATTCCATCCTTATGCACTGACCTATCATACTAGATTCCCAAAAAGTCAATAATGTATTTATCTGCAGTCCTCCCCAATGGCTGGTTATATGGCCCCCCCCCCCCCAAAAAGTCGTGTAACTGCCCTGCCAACAGGTGGCCTTTTACCCAATATACATATAACCATTACATGCGTCGCCCACGTTGTCGCGTTGCAACAACAACAACAACAACAACAGATACACGTTACCACAGAGCACAATGCACCTCAAAATCTGAAATCTGAAATCAATCTGTTGTCCACTCAACCATTGCTAAATTTCCACTACCTCAACAATACGCGAATGTGGCGAAAGAATGGTATAGTCGATGTTACGACTAGGAAATACCCTTTATTCGGCAGAAAGTCATCGAATAGAGGAGCTGGGAAAGGCAGGAGCTAACCTATCATGGAAAAGATCGAGAAACTCAAAGAAATAAAAGAAAATAAATAATTTCGCATTCTCTAGTTTTAATGTTATGCAATATTCAGTTGAAAAATTGCAAGATCGATGGATTATCTATGAGGCTTACTTGTCATAGATCTAAAAAATATTTGGAAATTCAAATGTAGAATATTCAATATGGCCAATACGCTTCAGGATCTATCACCTGTCCAAAAACTCTATCCAAGTCAATCTACCCTCACACTTTACTATTACGGGGTATGTAAAATAAGAGCTAGCGAAAGAGCCCAACCAGCCAACCCCACACCATCGTTCAGAGAGTGGAAAAATATAAGGAAATTATATGGAATAGACGGGGTGGACGGTGTGGACGACACATAATAGCAACAATCGCGTGGAAATGTTCTTTAAGAATCGCGCAATAGGTGGAAAACACGTTAAATTGCAGGGCGACTCAAGTCGCCAACATGTGAGCTGCTGCGCCGCCGCTTAGCCTCCCGGGAGCGTTGCACTGACGTCGCTGCTGGGCACATTCCCCGACACGTGACCAAGCCAAGTCCGGAGCGTCAGCGTTGCGCGCGCCTCTCGGTATAAATAGCTGTCGCGTTGCTATAACTTGACTGCCGATGCCGATGCCATTGCCGGTGCGATGCGATGCGATGCGGTGTGGTGCGGTGTTTGGGGGACCCCTCGCTCTTGCTCTGACTCTGGGCGTCTCTGTTCCGTGGGTGTATATAGAAAGTGCCGGAGGTGGGAGGTGGGGAGTAAGCAGAAGCAGGCAATGCTGGGGCGATAGCTTCTATTACGTTGTTGTTCTTGCAGCTGTCGACGACGCTTAGAAACCGTTTTTGGCATTCTGGCTGGCTGTAGTTCAACGTCAGCGTCAACGCTTGCGTTGGCGTTGTAACTGTTTTAAGACCCCCCCTCTTCCGCACTCACTCAACCACACTCTCTCCATTGCTCTTTCTTTCGCCTGCAGCCAATCGGAGCGCACTGATTGCGTGTGTGCGTGAGCCTGGGTGATTTATTCGAGATTCTTCCTATGATCCCTGTGTAAAATGTTAGTACATTCTTCAGTGGCAGCAATTTATACTAATTGTTAATGGTGTAATATTAATATTAATATTAGAGGTATTTTTAATCAGGTGCATTATTATTTTAGTTTTTAAAGCATTTTATTCTTGTACTAACATTGCAAAAGGTCTAAGAAATTTAAATTTAAAATGAGAAATGAGAAATTAAAGAAATCGTTTTACTAGCATAATCGCTTTAAATTAATTATCCTAAATTTAACCAAAATTAGTCGCATTAAAAGCCTCTTATATATTTACTTAGAACAATAAGAATCAACCTTTGGGGGGCGAAAGCCTCTAGCCAGGCAAGTAACAGAAATAAACACAATTGGTTCGTACACGTGAATCCGCTCCCTCACGTGGATATCGCTTTGATCGCGTAACTGGGATTTACTCATGATTAGCAGCGACAGCAGCGGCAGCAGAGCTGCTTGAAATTCGTCTGAGATTATTTAGTTAGTACGAACAACCAGCTGAAACCGGCTGACAGGGGTCAAGTAAGTGTTAGGTAATGAATGGGGTGGAGTGGGGCAGAAAATATTGTTTGTTCGCTGCTCAGACAGCTCGTAGAAATAACGAGAAAAGGGGAAACGGACCTGAGCAGGCTGAATTTTAATTATTGATTACACAGTAATTGTGGCTTAGATATGACCAATACAGATACGGAAGCTGGAGCACACATTCTGTCAAGCAGGCTACACGGACATGGAGAACTTAAGTATTAAGGTTACCACACAGTCGAAACTACCGTCTCCAACGAATCTTCATGCTAACTCAACAATCTGCAAAGAGCTGATTGTACATACATACATACATATGTACATATTATACAAATGTATACATATAAGATACAATCAGCTAAGTCTTAAAACACATAACTTTCAAACACTCCTTCTAATCATAAAAAAATTACTTTATATTTTTCAAATGTTCATTTCAGTGGATATATTTTTCAAATTTCGAAAACATTATATATATATATGTATGTATGTAGATTCTAGATTATATTTTTCGGTAATTTTAATCTATTCAATTTTATCTTGAAATTATTTAAACACAAATGTGTAAATCTTTGGTTGATTTCTGAACAATCCTTATAAATAATTTCTATTAATGGTTTTTTCTTAAGAGAAAACAAAAACTGTTGATAATATTGCCAGCTCAACAAAGGTTTTGTCGTACTGATTTTCACTGTTCTTACAGCATAAATATCATAAAATAGAGGCTTTTCCTGTTCCCAGAATAGAGCGAAAGATAAAACTGTACTGCACTTTATCAGCAATGTTTCATTTTCCTCGCTCTTTCTCTTTTTCGTTTAGCCTTACTTTTAGATATATAATCCAATAAAACTGAATTGCAGTTCCATATTTTTCCACATAGCTCGGCATAGTTTGTTCGAAATCGGACTATTATATCATTAATTTACGATCGATCTGCAAGCAAAAGAAATTATTTGGTTTTCTTTTGCATTTCCTTTTTGCATTGGCTGCTATCGTTTTGTTATCACCAATGAGAACTTTTTTTTTTCGTTCGAATTCAATGGAATTCATTGTTTGATAGTGGCATTCAGTGTATTATTGTATCATTTCCTATAAATCTATCTACATATGTACATATGCACATATGTATGTATGTATTTGCTTACATTTTATTGCCGAGTGTTAGTCAGTCGTCAAGTATCATCCAGAACTTACATAATGTCTCCCGACCTTACTTTTTTCACAATTCCCTTCCCCGTTGTTTTTCGTGTGAAGTGCCTTTGAGTTCTTTGTTTGTATTCTGCTGCTCTGTCGTCTGGCTTTTGTCTTGAATTGCAACTTAGTTGTCGGTCCGCCCGCCCGTCCGTTCGTCCGTCCGTTTGTTTGTCTCCCCCGGTGATAACCTTATCTGATAAAAGAGTTTAATTATGATTTATATAAAACCATAAAATCGTTTTGTAATGAGTGGCAATGCAGACAGAGTGGTGGCAGGATGCAAAAACAGTTCGGAGTGGGAGTGGTATTAATTCTCTCACTCTGAGTGCGGGTATACTCGTATTTATTTACCTTCTCGAATGGCAGGCAACGTTTATGGGCCACGTGATCGTTCAAATGAGTGCACTTCCCCCTCCTCGGAGTACATACTAAATATAGACATAATCATTGGAATGACTGTTAATTGCATGCTGATTTTTTCCACTTTTATTAGATCTGTGGTGGCATTACTACCAGATAGATACACCTGTACTATAGTCGTGTTAATACATACATATCTACATGTATCTGCATCGTTAGCTACAATTAATTTGACGGAGAAACCAGTCGAAATATATTTGAGGGAATAAGATTAAGTACAGAACATTTCGAAGCTCAAGGGATAAGTTAAATATTATACTATATAAAAATTATACTATAAACATAAGTATTTATAGCAAAATTGTATACGAACTATATATACTACGAACCTAAAACCTATGAGCCTGCACTGCAAATAAAGATATTCAATTCATAAATTATAAAATATTTTATTATATCTTATACACCAAAGATGGATGTATCTAATCAAAATATGTTATAAAAAGAATAAGCCATTTTGCCATTCTAAATAAATACTAACAATCAATAGGAATATCCATTAAGAACTTTTTGATTGGACTTCTTGCCCCGTTTGTTTTCGCCATGTTCTGTTGCTTCCCTTCTTTTCCTTCTACTTCGTTGCGGCATGGAAAGGTGTCACTGTGTGTGTGCATACGAGTATGCATTTCTGTTTGCAATTGCATTCTTGATTGTTAATAATTTGCTTGTGTTTGTTCGCTGAATATTTTGTGTAAGACGCTTGCGTCACCCCGCAGCGACAACTGGCACACCAATACCCATGCCAGCTTAAAGCACACACACACACACACACAGACTCAGCCGTGTCATAAACACTGTCAGAATCAGTCGGATGGATTCTCCGTTTCTGTCGCAGAGTGGCTCACGCGGCCAACAGCACCTCCTCCTCCTCCAGTCACCCATGGGGCCAGAGCGTCAAGAGCACCGCACCCCCGATGTGCCCGGTGCCAGAGCTCCCCCCCCCTCAGCAACCAGAATCACGTTCTAGTTTCAAATGTGCTGCAGCTCAAAACGATTTCAGATTGACGCTGATTACTCAACAGCGGCGGCAATGTGATCGCTTGCAGCAACAGGCAGCAGCAGCAGCAGCAGCACCCAAATGCAACATGTTCGTTGGGCCCCTCCCCATCCACCGCGCTCTAGCAATGCTGGGAAAATTTCACTTTTACCAGCAGCTCGAAAGCGGCAAAAGCTGTCGAACATGCTGCGACCTGTTTGAGAGGCAACCTGAGTCGCGTGTAGCGAATGCGTGCAGTCCCAACGACAGCAACGTGACCGAACCGCCATCGAAGCGGGCGACCGACAGCGGAGAAATGCTTTTACAAATTCAATTGCGCTTCAGAGTTCGTCCAAAGCGGTTGTGGGGCTCTCGCGATTTTCGGTTGAAAACCCACCTAGTAGCCAACTAGCAGTGAAAACGCCAGCGAGAACCGTTAAAACAGAGCATTCGGCCAAGTGCGCGATCCACGATAAGACATACACACGGCCCCGCCACAAAACCAAATAAATCACAAACAACAAAATCCCAGAACGAAAGCCAAGTGCATAGAAAGTTTTTGTTGTTCTCAAGTGGAACAAAAATAAATAGAAATAAAAATAAAAATAAAATAAAATACAATAAATTAAAGTGTTTAAATTTGTGAAAGATCTTTTTGATTAATTGGAATGCAAATATCAGTGGAACTGTCATTAAGCATTCACATCCCACATCCACCGGAACAATAACTAAGCAAAAGATAACTGAAAAGTGAGCCAAATATTATTATTTGAAACAACATTATGTCGATTGTGTGCACGCTGGAGCAAAAAGTGAACTTTTTCAAAGCGGCTGCAACGACCAAGAATCTGTTGATTCTGAAGGACAGCAACAATTTGGATACCCCCTACAAGCAGGATACCACACCGAACAGCCACAAGGAGTCGCAATGTAGGTGTTACCAACAAGCCAGCAAATTAAACAGAATAGGGAACAACCAATTACCAATTACAGACTAAACAGAAAAAGCACCAAAATTTGCAAATTTCTTATGAATAGTGAGCGAGCGATGGCAAGGGGTGGCGAAAGAGAGAGAGCGAAGGAAGAGTCAGCATGGATGGCCGTGCACGCTTAGTCATGTTGTTTTTGTGAATTTTGTCAAGGCAGAGGGCAGTAGCAGCAGCAGCAGCAGCAGCAGAGAAGACGGCAGCGACTGCAGTCGTTCCTCTGTTGCTTGCTCTTTGCTGCTGCTGCCGCGGCTGTTGGGGGTGGGGTGGGTGGGTCTGTCGTAGGGGTTGCCGGCAGCTGCGGCGTCGACGTTAAAGCGTCTGGCCGCTGACGTGACTGGCTGTGCAAGCGTCGCGTATGAGTGTGTGTGTGTGCTGGCGAGCACATTGAACTGTAAATGCCAATTCGATGGTCACGGTGAGGGTGAGACGATGCGACCGAGAGCACACACACACAAACACACAGCGACCAGAACCAACACCAATCTACGACGTGCGATTTCTTGTTTACGTTCCAACGCCGCCGCCGCCTTCTGGTGTCTGTGTGCCTTTGTTGCTGCGGCTCTCTCTCTCTCTCTCTCTAGCTGTCTGTCGTCTAATTCTCGCCGATTCTTGCATCATTCCCCCGTAATCATTGTGTAAATGCTTGTGCTAAAAACGAAAGCAAATTTCGAGTGGGTTCTCCCTCTCGGCCTCAAACTTTTTGTGGGTTGGCTGGCGGCAAGGGCAAGGACCATCAGACAAAGAAAAAGTCTGCGAGGGTGTGAGTGTGTGAGTGTGCTGTGTGCCGTTATTTGTGTCTGCACTGCCTCGATACCAACAGACCCAGGCAGAGATCGCATTAGACATTTTGGACCCAAATTGTGTAGAACTCTTGCCAATAAGAATTGCCACCGATAACGGTGCAGAGGAGATAACATTATAAAAGAAATGTCATAAATATGTGATAAGTGGCCTTGTATTACTGGCAGCAGCAGCAGCAGCAGATAGTCAATTGGAGCAAAGGTGTTTTGGTTTTTCCTCAAAGATCGAGGGATAAGAAAATAATTTGTTGGTTCAAAATTTGTAGCCTGTGTTTAGGCGTGAAAAAGGGGGTGCAAAATAATTATTAATACATAAATAACTTTCATTCATAAATGTTAATTAACAAAGTATTCTCTCTCCCACATTTCAGTTGCACGCACACAGCAACATAGCGCCCAACAGCAACACCATTTGCAACAGAAACTAGCACAGTTGCAACACTACAGTCAGCACAAGCTGAGTGGCAGCAGCGGCGACTACTCGTACAGTCCACACCAGCATCCCCTAGCTCTGGCAGCGGGTGGTGCCCACTTGACACCGCTGAGGGAGCCTGGAAAGCAGTACTACCAGGACGCAGCAATGCCCGAAGTGCTCAACGGCACGCCCACCAATAGCCACAACAAAGCCATCTCCAGCTCGATCTCCATGATGAACAACGTCCGTATGACGAATATCTCGCCAACGCTGTCCATGAACGGCAGCTCCAACGAGTCCACAAATTGTAAGTCCAACTAAAAGCAACACGCCCCAGCCACCCAGTTCCAATCTAACTAATCTCTTCTCTCTCTCTCTGTTTTACCTATTGCAGTGCATCCCCTGTCCATGTACGGAGGATCGATCAGTCCACAGTCCAATGACAGCGGCATGTCCGACAGTCTGGGCAAGTTCTCCCAGGGCAATGGCTACGGGGACAGCATGATGGGCAAGAACTCACAGAACGGCAATGGGCCACAATCGGCCATGACGGCCGCCCAGAAGGAGCTCTTCTCACAGCGCAAGCAGCGGGAATTTACGCCGGACAACAAGAAGGACGAGAGCTACTGGGACCGCAGGCGACGCAACAACGAGGCGGCCAAGCGGAGCCGGGAGAAGCGTCGCTACAACGATATGGTGCTCGAGCAGCGCGTCATCGAGCTGACCAAGGAGAACCATGTGCTGAAGGCCCAGCTGGATGCCATACGCGACAAGTTCAATATCTCCGGTGAGAATCTGGTGAGCGTGGAGAAGATCCTTGCCTCGCTGCCCACCAGCGAGCAAGTCCTGAGCAACACAAAGCGCGCTAAGATGAGCGGCGGCGGCGGCGGCTCCTCGTCGCCCACCTGTGACGATGACTCCTCACCCAGCGGACATTCACACAGCGGCTACAATGGACAAAGCGCTCCACTGACACCTCTCATCTACGGTCCCAATGGCACTGGACGACAGTCCTCTGTCGAGCCGCCCGTCAAGAGCGTCCATCATGTTCAGCATGCGCCTCCAGCGCCGCCGCAGCCCTCCCACCTGCAGACGCTGGTCGTGCCCCAACCCCAACACCAGCCCCAGCATCTCTACCAGCCACAGCAGCCGCAGCAGCAGCAGCATCAGCAGCAACAGCAGGAGCCCACACCCAGTGCCGGCACCAGCTCGCCGCCCGTCGACTCGCACAACCGCCCGCCCACCAACACAATGGCCAGCCTGCAGGTGCAGCTCCAGCAGGCACTCAATCGCAATGTGCGGCCCGAGGATCTGGACAGCCTACGCAAGGCGGTGGCCGTCGGAGCCCTCTATAATGCAGCGGCTGTGGGAGCACAGGGTCCTGCCCCACCCGGTGCATCGTTGTATGTGCCCTCACCGGGTCCATATGTGGGCGCCATCAACAAGGAGCATCTGGAAGCCGCCGCGTGGAGCCACAGCGTGGAGGGAGCCGTCAGCAGCAGCGCCGTGGATGCGGTCAGTAGCTCCTCCGTTGCCGTTTCAGCCGCAGCCAGCGTGCTGAACCTGTCGCGACGTGCCTGCTCTCCCAGCTACGAGCACATGCTCTCCTCCACCACATCCTCAACGTCCTCCCCCGCCTCTTCAGCCCTCTCGTCCGGCTCCTCGGGTGCCGGATCCGGCGACGACGAGCAGGAGCTCGAGCCGCATGTCCATGGCACCCATCTGGCACCACTGCAGCTGCAACGCAGCAGTCCGGCCCATGGCGGTGGCAACAGCGATGCCAACAACTGTCTGCCCCTCAAGCTGCGCCACAAATCTCACTTGGGCGACAAGGATGCGGCGGCCACCGCTCTGCTCTCCCTGCAACATATCAAGCAGGAGCCCAACTGCAGCCGAGCCTCGCCGCCGGCCTGGAACGATGGCGGCGACAACTCCAGCGACGAGCGCGACTCGGGCATCTCCATCGCCAGTGCCGAGTGGACGGCGCAATTCCAGCGCAAGCTCCTGACCCCCAAGGAGGGATCCACCGCCGTTGTGTCCACAGTCGAACGTGATCAAATGCTGAAGTCGCAGCTGGAGCGCCTCGAGTCGGAGGTGGCCAGCATCAAGAGCATGATGATACTGGCAGAGTAGGAGGCAAAGGGAGCAGTATCAGGAGCAGGAGAGGAGAAAGCAAGGCAGAGGAGAGAGAGCGAAGAGACAGAGACTCTGGTTGAATCAGAGTCGAGGTTAAGTTTGCGGAGAGCGTAGAGTAGAGCGGATACAAAGAGGAGATAGAGAGAGAGAGGTTCCATGGCGCCAGTTGTTCTCCTGACACACACAAACACACACAAACACACACACGACACACACATACCGAATCACACACAATTTTTGAGTACGATTAAATATATAGTACCTCCAGGATCTATAACCATGTAAGGAATGTTTAAACCTGAGTCCAGGCAGAGAGTGTTAACTATTAGCAGAGTTTATATCTATCGAGAGATGTTCGATGTTCACGAGTATCTCTATCCGCTATTTCGTGTCTCTATATATATCTGTTTCTGTATCTGTAACTCTAATTGTATCTGTGTTTTTGTCCTGTAATCGGTGTATCCACAACGTATCTATTTATGAATATGTATTGTATTGGTATGTTTTCTGTGCGTTAAAACTATATAGATCTCGTCTAAGTCGGAGCTAAACGAAGAATCCCTAAGATCAATATAACTTACTAAAAATTTCTGATTTAAAGGTAATTTGGTGACCAGCGCGCAAGTCGGGGTCACCAAAAAAAAAAAAGCACGTTTATTGTGTCCCTAAAAAAGTTTCCTTATGCACAGATTGACAAAACGATGGAAAGATATAATGTTACTAAGTATTTGCTATTTTTGTACATATTACACAATTACTATATATCTGATATATATATAAATATGCTATTTTCCTACGATATCGTGTACATAATTTTAGTTGCAAGCTAAGCTTATTTTATATTTTATTTGTATTGTGTAGTGAAGCAAAAAAACATATACATTAAACATTAAGAGAGAAGAAAAGCGTTAAGCACATTCAAAACTTGAGAGATGCAAGAAATCTGAAGAAAATCCGTAATACTATATAATCGTACTACTATATTCGGCAATAAATAATTTTAAAAATGTCTCCCCTACCTAAATGATTGTCGTTCTCAATTTATTTATTTATTTGTTTGCTGTCGCTTTGGTGTGGCACAGCGCTCTAATTAAATCTTAGCAAAAGTTTAAGAAGCTCTGAAAACAAAAAGCGAAACTTAAATAACAAACAAAGGGAATGAAATGCACATACAAAAATCGAAATCGAAATCCTAATACTACCTATAAATATTGTAAATTGTATGTAGTTGTTGTTGGCCAAATGCTCGGCCGATTCAATATGTGTATTAATGTTGTAGTAGTAGCCAGTAGCCCATGTGAGGGCGGAGCATTCACCTTTACAGTGGTATTAACTCTACAAATTACTATATATTGATCCATATGATAATGCTATTGCCAATTACATTACACAAAGTGAATGAATTTGTATGAAACACACAGAAGAAAGTACATATGATTATTGCTATTACTATTGCTATTACTGTCCATACGCAGCGCTAACTATTTGACACTAAATCGATATAATGTGAATCTATACCAGATAAATATATACATATACATATAACTCGTTTGTGTTGATCAATGAAAATAAAACTACATAATAATGATGAAAGAAAACCATACTCGTGTTTTTTAAATGGAGGTGGAAATGAATGCAGTGTACTGCGGGTATAAGTTATTTAAGGCAGCGGTCGGCAGGCATTTCTAGGCTTCAACAATAAAAGAAAATATAATTTTTATATTGGCTAAGGGTAGGGCCCTCACAGCTGCTTTAAAGGTTGCTCCACCAGTTTCAGAACGGATCTTAATAGACCTCTGCGAGTCCTAAGTCGGATTAATATTCCATACAAAATACCAATAACTAATAGTTGATAGATAAATTTCACATGAACTACTATATTTTTGTACTACATTTGGCTCAAAATAATATTGCTTATTTCAACAAAGATATTCTGTTAATTTGCATTGATACTCGTACATACATAACTGCTTTAATTTTGGTTTAGTTTGAGCTGCATCTAATCGTACTTTTGTCTAATTGAGTGCTGGCACAAAAAACCTTTTACCAACGCGTTGAAAAAAGCCAAGGCGTAAGCCAGCGCGCAATGTGGCATTTACTTTAATTCTCTCCTGTGTGCTCAACGGCTCGTTTCTGCCTTCTTCGATTTCAGTTATGAGTCGATCATAGGTAGTTGGCTGCCTTTGGCTCTGGATTAGCTGACAGACCCACAGTCCAAGCTGCTTTGTGCTGTTTGTAAGCAAAGTTAATAAAATGTTTGCCAATATATGATGACTGGCACTCACCTGGTGCTCATAGTTGAGTTTGAATTATTTAATTTATATAACTGGAAATTGGGATTCGACACTATTCAGTTTGGAAATAAAATTAGGCTGGAACAGAGCCTTCTTTGATTTTAAAAGAAAATGTTTTATTTTACTGCTTTAGTATTTATCTGTCCTTCGAATAAAAGAGAAAAAAAAAACAATTCCCTTGTTGAGTGGTAAAGAGATTATATTTATTCTTAATAGATTTGTTGTTTGTATTTGTATAACGAAAAAAATGTATTGATAATTTAAATTTATTCATAATAATATCGTGTGTATGTCACTAATTTGGTTTTTGGTTTCTTTTATCATTCATTATTTGAAATACAATAAAGGTATAATAATTAAATATTTTCTCTGTCTCTCTTTTTATAATAAATCCTTAAACATCACATGAAAAGTTTTTTCTTGTTGGTTTCTCTTTTTTCCATTCTCCTTTTTTTGTTTATCAGTTTCAATACTCGTTCGTCCTTTCTAACCCCCCCTGTCTTTGGTATAATTTTCATTTAAAGATTTTCCAAGAATTTCTTTGGATTGTTTCGTAATTAGCCTAGGAAAAATGTATCTAGTCCACAAAAGTTATAGACTTAGATCAAGACCTGTTTATAAATTTCATTTTAATATATATATATATACGAGTATAGGTATATACTATATATATGTATAATAGCTTATGCATAGTAAGTACCATATGTTGTGGTTGTTGAGGGTTTTTGTGGGTGGGGTGGGAGAGGGGAATTCGGTTGTAAATATATGTAAATACAGAATTTGTTTTTGTTTTCTTCCTTTGGTTTAAGACGATTTCTCACTTTGTGGTTTGTATATAACTCTCCCAGTCATGCCTTTGAAGAATAGCGTTCGCGATATTGGTATAGAGGTCTGTATATATCGTTTAACTATATAGTATATATATATATATATCATATTTTTTGTTCATTGGTTGAAAGTGCAACTGTAAATTGTAGGTACTTAAACAACTAGCTACAACACAACACAGGCCACACCACTCCACGCCACGCCACGATCCATCTCGTCCATCGATCTCGTGTGGGAGTTGTAAAATTGTTTGTTCATTTTTCGTTCTTAAGGGTTTAAGGGATTCGTGTACGAATTTTGTTGGCAAAATCCATCAAAATGCATTATATTTTCATTCTAACTAAGTTTCATACTCCTTTCTACAATACATTCATTTTTGTTTTTGTTTTTGTTTTTTCTTTGGCATTATCTAAGAGAGGTCAAGAGTTTTTGTTTTGTTTTGTTTTGTGTGTTTTGTTTTTGTTTGTTTGGTGTTTGTTTTTTTTTGCGTTTTTGGAAAACGTTGATTTTGGCCTTAAACTTTGGTAGATTTGTTAGCTTTCGGTTGGGTTCTGTTTGTTTGTTGTGTGGTTTGTTTCTTGTTTGTTGTTTCGTGTCAAGTGTTTCGTATTCTCGTGTGTAAAAAGGTACATGATAAGATTGTTTGACGACGCATCGCAATGTGGTAGTGGGGGCAGGGAGATCCTACTGAGCTTCTGTAATCTACGCCGCCGCTGATCCCTGGGTGGAGCCAGATGCCACTGCAACTGCCGGCACAGTCGTTGTGGTCGTGGACACAACAGCAGCGGCTGCTGCTGCTGGGCCGGTTGTGCTCTGCTCCAGACTCCAGGGATGCACCATGTCGTAGTACTTGCGGTAGTCGTAGTCGAAAAGCTCAAAATCAATGCGATATATCTTGAGCAATTGGTCCAACGTTGAGCGATCGATATCGGCAAAGTAGCGCTCGACCACGGCCTCCGATTTGATGCCGCTGCGCGCCTGATTGCCGATCCTGCGCTGCTTGCGCTGCGGCAGCTTACCCAGGCCCAGGAGCAGCGTCTCCAGGCCCGCCTGCCGTATAATAAACTCCGAGTCGCGCTGGAACGTCTCCGTCTTGCCAATGATGGTAAAGTTGACGCTGCACGGCGTACAGAAGCTGTAGACTGGCGCCCAGTGCTCGTCGAAGCGCTTGCGCGCCCGATGTTCGGCAATGAGGAAGCGCACAAACTCCTCGAAGGTGGGTCCACACCGCGGCCAGGGTCCGCCCTGACTGTGGTTTCGATAGCGATGGACAATCTTGGTGCCCAATGCCTTGTAGAAGGTGTTCCGATTGCCCTCCAACTTGTTCCGGTACGCGCTCAGTATCCGCTCGAACGGATCGCGCACAAACAGAAAGGACAGCGCACTGGGCAGCAGTTCCATCAGCTCGGCCAGCTCGGGTCGGGGGAAACGCTTCCGCGCCAGCTCCAGCGGCTGAGTCTCTGTACGCTGCAGATACTTCACATCGTAGCCGGCTGGACAAAAAAAAACATTAAATATTATTCTCATGACAGTCGTTCCCTAGTGATAATCACCTAATACATTGAAGTAATACATCCACGTACTGCTGGCCGCCTTGAAGACATTGCACCTAAAAATGAGCACAAGATTTAGAAGGCATTTCCAGGCAGGCCAAGTGGCATGTTTCAACACAAACCAGACGAGATTGTTGTGGCCCGGCGACACAAAGAACTCCCAGGGATTCGGTGGGTACTTTTCCTGCAGCTTGTAGCGCTTACAGACGGCGGCCAGGTGTTCGCGCCTCCGCTGCAGCTCACGTTCCGTGCTGCTGTGCAGCTCCTCGGAGTAATCGTAGACGGGATTCAGTGTGCTGGCCGGCGGCGGTGGAGCTACAGCGGCGGTGGCCGAGGTGCCAGTGCTGGCATTGGACCCAGTGGTGCCCTGTGCCGCCTGCTGCTGCTGCGCCAGCAGTCGTTGGCGCTGCATCTGCTGGCGCTTGAGCTTGAGCTGCTGTTTGGAGGGCTCCGCGGCATCCGCCTCCAGCTCGGCGGCCGTGGCACGCTCCCGGTGTTCGTAGGCATTGAGGGATTCGCGGAAGAGGAAGGCAAAGTAGCAGACGCCCACCAGGACACAGGCACCTATCTTCAGATAGGTCTGCAGGCGTCTCCCATAGCGCAGGCGAATGATCATTGTAAGAATCCAGAACGCCGCCCTGTCGCGCCCACTACATGTTCCACAAGATACTTCGGATGTCTGTGGGGGGTGGAATCGAGATGGAAAATAGTTAGGGTAATATTTTGGGAATATTAAGGTAATAAAATTGGGGGTTGCCAGCACATGCGACCCTTTTTTCCAAAAACCTTTCAGTCTGTTTCTGTAGCGATCTTGTGTGTTGTTGATTGAGATCAACAGATGAATATGTTATACAATATAGGTCTATGTATACTATACTGTGTATGTATGTATATGTAACTCGTAAATATAGTTCCAGTAGTTTTAAAGCTATCTAAAATATGGCACATTCCTTCGATTTTTTCTGCCTATGTATTTATAGTATTTTGAAATTTCCTTAGCAGTCGCTAAAAAATAAAGTACTGGGGGTAGATAGTCAAGATGATCCAGCACAGCTTTACCAACTGCAGTACGACCTGTACTGTACCTCATCGAATAAAATATTTAAGGAATCTTAAACTGGTCCATTCTATTTGAAATTTCCAGTTGTAAAATTCAGAATTAAGTCTAAACTCGAGAATGTTGGGGCATTCCTTGGAGGCATGCGGCCTAGAAAATCACTCTGTCACCTCCTTCGACTCATTGTGGGGTGGCTAACGAGTAGCCCCTGTTGCTGTCTTTATGTCTTATATGGAGCAGCTGCTCTGGAAACGATGTGCGTGCCAGGGTATCAAAAGCTTCAGGTCGGTCCCCAAGCAACCTTTCTTTTTCTGTTCTTCATTTCCCTTCCACTTCCCCTTCTTGTTCCTTTTTGGCGCTTTCACCAGGCGACACTTGTTGGTGTGTACACACCAAAATACATACATACATATATATGTACGCACACACAAACGTACTTGAAACTACGTCATACCCCAAACACAGACGGCGCCCCCACGCCACACATGGACATGGACATGGTCGTGAACGTGGAGAGAGAGAGAGAAGAGAGAGAGTACTGGGCAGCAACACTCCAAAAGTAGGACGTCATCCTTAAACGTCAACATTTACTTTTCTTTTTGTACTGTTTTTCTTTTTTTAGTTAGTTTGTTTGTTGTTTTTTTTAGCTGTTTTCCCTTACGTTTTTATAGCTTTTTAGTGCTTTTGTTGCTGGTTTTCCTTCTTTTTATGGTGTCATTTGTTGGCAGGACTGGGATTTGGATGGTGGGATAACTGGACACGAGAGCCTTAAAGTATTCATAACACCTCAGAGACCACTTGAGAGCAATTATAACTGTGGCACAATGACAGTCCATGGTCCATGGTCCATAGTCGACACATATGTCCAGATATATGTACATATTTTTGCAGCTCAAGAATTGCATACACTCGCACTATTCAGGATATATCCTTTGGTTTACTTACTCTGAAGAGCGGCAGGCGTTTTAGTTTTTCTTTTATTTTTGGTGGCTCCCTGTGTATACAGCACTGAATGCCTATCCTTTGACTGCCTGCTCTGCCCTGCCTCCTTGGGGTTCCCCTCTCTCCAGCACCTGGTCGGCGCTGTTACGTGTTGCGTTTTCCTGGGTCTCTTCTGCCTGCTCCGCTTTGCCGTGCTGCTCACTGCGGCCCTCGCTCTCAACTGCCAGCCCCGTGGCAGGCCGCAGCTGCTGTTCATCCTTTTGGTCCCGTGAAGCCGACAATCTATGCTGTGCGCCGACGCCGTGAGAAAGGACGGAGACAGTTTTTTTTTTTTGGACAACAAAGTTGTTGAGAGATTGCCGCTAGGCCGCAAAATTTGCAGCAGCTTTAAGTTGGTCTTCTTAAGAATTTAACTCAGATTATTTATATTGGGGGCGTGATCTTTTGTAGGGCTTTTTGTGACGTGAAAGATTTTATCAATGTTCAGCGTGTTTTATCGGTCACAAAGCGAACATTTAAATATAATAATTGTACTCGTGATTTTTTAACCATTAATCCGAGTAACAATCATTTCGATTCATAGCCCTATTGATGGATGCAGAAACTTCGAGAAGTAAAGAAAACTTAAGAAGTCCTTATGACGGAGTATTTAAAAGAACGTGCAATTGCCTCTAAGAAAAGAAGAACTAGCAAAAAAAATCCTTTATATGTGGAACTGCACTTATCCAATTAAAATGTGTGCATTATGTTATAAATTTTGAAAATTAAACATTTAAAATTATTTACAGCTTTATTTATTTTTTATTTTATTTATTTATTTAATTGTAATGCAAAAAATCCTTCCGAACTCTAGCTAAAAAATATGTCCCATAATTTGCCAATGCAAATTGTTAGATCCCAGAAAAAGAGTGATTGGTTTTTTTTTTATTTTCTGTGTATATTAAATCTTTGTATTTTTTCTTTTTCTATAAATATTTTACTTTAAAGTACAAACAAATTAATAATAAACTTCTAATACTACGGTTTTAAGACACTTTCGTTTTTGTTGTTGTTGTTGTTCATCTTGTGGTTGTTTTATACCTTTTGCATTTGCTTTTAAATATATATATATTTATTTTATTTGTTTATGTGTTTGTGTGTGAGTGTACTGGTATATAAATTATTTTATACGTTTTATACAACTTTTCCATTAACATTTTGTTTGCTGCTGTGCTTAGCGGGGCTTATTGCAGTTTTGGGGGGAGGGGCTGTTTTCAGAAAAATATCTAAATAATGTTCACTAAATACGCGTCTTCAGGTTCCCTTCCTTTGCTTTTATTACGGAGCTCGGGATGGTTCTGGGGGATTAGGACTTTTGGGGGCCTGTGGCTGGTATGCAGTATTGAATTCTCCTTCTATATATGTGTGTGTGTGTGTGTTTATCGGTACTATATGTGTATCTATGCAAGTAATGCTAAGGATTGGGCTTTTCATACGCTTATTTTTTTGTTTCGTTTTTGCCTTGCTTTAAATTAAAACATGTACAAAGTATCAAAAGAACTATTTTATATAGCAATCATACATACAATATATATATATATATATATATATATATATATAGATAATAATAATATTGAACAGTATATATACGCGTGTGAAGAAATATATATATATATAATGTTGTGGTTTTTTGTTTATCTTTTTTTCTAGCGCTTTTTGCATTTGCTTCATTTACTTTACTCTCTGGATTTTAGTTTCTTTTTCCCCTATTTGTTCAAATAACATTTAGCAAAAATAGAGCCTGCCTTATATACAATAAAACTTTATATTTTTTGTGTGGTTTTTTTTTGCTATTCACGATTTCCCTTTTCTTGTGTGTGTGTGTGTGAGTGTTGTGTGGTTTATGCAAAATATATAACATTATATACGGTGTGTTTTCTGTATATTATATATATATATGTTCTTTCACTTATTGCAAAACGACAAATACTTGATTTTCATTTTGCTTTTCCGCTATTTTTTCTGGATCATGTTCATGTTTTTTTTTTGTGTTTTTTTCTTGATATTTTTTTTTGTCTGTTTTTTGTGTGTTTTTCATTTTTGTGGTGCTTGGCCTTTTTACATTTTTGACTAACTTATTGCATAGGTTTTTGCATTTCCATGTGCATATATTGGGGGATTGGTTGGTTGGTAAAGAAATATCGTAATTATTACTGTCCTTAGTCGCTAGAGCATTTAAAACTAAAAAACAAATTTTTTTGAAACAACGCAAGCTTACAGAAACTATAAATGTATACGGCTATATCTGATCTGTATTCTGCAACTGCATCTCTCTCTCTCTCTATATGCACTGTATGCATATTACTCGTAAGTTAAATGTTAGAAAAATATAAAACCTAATGCAAAAACATCTGCTCTACCACCCAGACTGGGCGGCTGTAGCAGTGCGTAAATGTAAGGACAACCTAAAAACTAGAAATGTGTTCATGTTGCATCAAGAAAAAATAAAATAAAATATATATACAAACGTATTCGGTTAATTGGAAATCAAACTATGCATAGGATGGGTGGGTGGATGGTTGTGTGAAGAGTAGATGAAGCTTCTGGTCTGCCCAACTACTTTGCCTAAGTGTTATATGTTACGACGTCTTGTTGAGTTAAATGTGAAGTTTTGGAGCTCTCTCTCTCTCTCTCTCTTTACGTCGTGTGTAAGTATGTATGTGTAAAAGTATATTCAACTAATTTGTTCAAAAATTTCCTCTTCGGAGCTATACATAAATTGCCTGTTTTCACGTTGACTAGCAAATCATTTCATTTCCAATGGGTGGTTCGTGATTCTTGGGGGGAGGAGGATTGGTAAATAGTGCTAGATAATGAGAATATCAATATAAGAGATGGTTAAGCTCGGCGGCTAGAAGTAGTTGATTGATCGTGGGAGGGGGGAAAACACAACTAAAGCACAAAACATTAAACGTTAGGCTCGGGCTCGGGCTCTTGCATCTTTTTTCTATCCGTTATAACTGCGAGTGTGTTTGGGGTTTGTGTGTGTGTGTTTGTGTGTGATGTTGCTCGCTATGAGATGCAACATTATTGCAACTTGTGGCTACCACTAACTATACAAAAAAACTATATATTCTTCAACGGAAATTACGACTATAAATTACAAACGAAAGCGTTCAGTATCAGTGCGTGTGTGTGTGTGGTGTGTGATATATACAGGTAGCATTGGATTTGACGGATTTGTGGCACAGTGGCGGCCCACTATGCCAGTTGGGGCGAGCTGCTGCTTACAGATCGCTGCTCATCGGCCGTAGTTTCGCTGACAAACTCCTGGAAACTCAGGCCCAGATCGTTATTGAGTTGCACAATATTGAGAACATCGCTGGCATCGCGCCATTGTTGATGCTGATGCTTTGAGGCTATGCCGCTACCGCTACTGTTGCCATTGCCCCCACCACCGCCGACGCCGCCGCTGTCATCATCCTCCTCACTGAGTATGTTGTTCAGACACAGATTAAACTCATCGTAGTCGACAAAATTGCCACAATCGAGGGCCGTGGCACTGTCGAGCTCCGGCATCAGCAAACTGACCGCATCGTTATCCACATCCACATCCATATCGACCTCCACATCCGCGGCACTGCTGCTGCTGTGGTAGGACAGTAAGTGATCAGCCTCTTCCATGTAGCCACCGCCACCGCCGCCGCCGCCGGCTGCTCTCGCTAGATGATCATACTCGGCCTCATCATCATCATCATCAACACCAACATCGTCTTGCGCCTGGGCTAAAGGGAAGCTGCTGATGTCAAGCTGCTCATCGGCGGCTCCCAGCACGAACAGCTCCATCAGATCGTCATCTTGTGCATCGCTCGGATGGTTCAAGCCTTTAGCCAAGGCGCAAAACTCTGGTCACTTGTAGTCACGCGATGCTCTTCTCCGGCGTCCCTCGGTCAGCATGGACTCGCCAATGACTACACAAAACACAGGAGAGGAAGTGGGGATTTAGTGCTTGGCTCTATGTGCGGACTATCGATGGACACTCACCTGCACTGCGTGTCTTTCGTCTGGCCTCGGCCACGCTCTCCACATTGGCAGCATTGGCATTGTTGGCATTTCCCACTCCCGCCTTCAACGGTGTGCCCTTCGGTTCGGCTGCGGCAGCGGCTGCAGCAGCAGCAGCTGCGGCGTTGCTGCGACTATAAATTATCTTGTTGGCAGCAGCACTGGCCCTCACGCTTCGCCGCGTGCCGATCTTTTCGTCCGTGGGCGAGCTGGCAGAACCGACATTGTTTGGGGTCCCACCGCTGCCGGCTGCTGCTGCTGTGGCGCCTCGCGTCGCATGTACCACATTTGTGTTGCTGTTGTTTTGGGTGTTGCTGCTGCTGCTGCTGCTGGTGGCAAGTACAGCTCCACCAGGCGATGCTGCTGTTGCTGCTGCTCCTGCCACTGATATGGGCACACTGGGGCTGTTGGAATTGCTGCTGCCGCTGGAATTGTGATTGCTGCTGGCAGCGGCACCTGCCGCCTGAGCCTTACCACTCCGTGGAGTGCCTAGCGGGGGCGTGCCACTAAACGAGCTGTTGCTAGCGGGTTCTGTGGGTGGGGAGGAGATTTTGTTGTATGATTCTGCTTGCTGTGAATAATTAAAGGAGTACTTACTGTGCGGCTGCTGCTGCTGTTGTTGTTGTTGTTGTTGCTGCTGCTGCTGGGCATTGCGTCGCGTCACGTGCTTCTCTACGGCTGCTGCCGCCGCTGCTGCTGCTGCTACAGCTGCCGCAGCATCTGCCTCCACTTGCGCCTTGGAGTTGCGCACCTTGCCGGCCACCTCAATCAGCGGCTCATCCGAGTCGGATGATTCGATTTCAATCTTTTTGGGCAGTGCTGCTGCTGTGGCTCCCGTGCTTTGATCAACCGCCATCTCGGTCGCATTTGTGGGGGGAACAGCCACGCTTCCGCCAAGGCTCACACGAGCACGCTTGCTGCTGTTTTCGGTCACATCGGCGGCATCATTGCTGCTGCCACACTCCGATTCCTGCCGTCGTCGCTTGCTATTGTTGTTGTTGTTATTGTTATTGTGAACTGGCGTAGGCGTGAGGACACGCGGACTGGCATTGGAGGAGGATCGCGATATATTCTTTGCCGTGGCAGGCACTGGTGCAGGTGCAGGTGTGGTTGCGGTATTGCCAGCTGCTGCCTCGGGACTGGTCTTTTGGGCAGCATCCAACGGACTCTCCAGGCGACTGCTGGCCCGTGTCCTTATCCGCGGCGTCTCGCCGTCCGTCTGTGCTGGTATCTCTATCGAAATGGGCTGCAGAGAAGCAGCTCCACCCGCTGCATTGACCTCAGCGTGTGCGTTAGTCTTCTCAGATATCTTCTCCTCCAGCTTGGGCTCCACTTTCAACTCCAACTTCAGTTCTGCCGCCAACTTGGGCACTTGATCGACTTTTATTAGGCCCGACTTTGGGGCTCCAGCTGCCTCCTTTTTAATGGACAACAGTGGCGGCATCTCCTCCAGCTTCACCTTCGCCTTGGCCTCAGCTGTAGCCGCTGGTGTCGTCTTGCTGTCTGTGAGTTTCTTGATGAGATCATCGTGTTCGAGTATACTGTGCTCTCCATTCAACTTGACGTTGCTTGTTGCTGATGTTGCGACTGCCACTCCTGATGCTGCTGCTGCCGTCACTTTTGGCTCCAAACCGCTCAGATGATAGCCACCGCCCGCACTGGCACACTCACTCGCCTCCTTCACCACATTGGAGACAATGTTCTCGAGGTCATCGGGAAAGTCGCCCTCCATTTTGGCCAATGCTTTCTCAATTTCATCGTCAGCCTGCTGCATCTGTTGCTGTGTTAGAGAGACACCGCCGGAACACGGTGCTACGGGTGTCACTGTGGTGGCGACCATCGCGGCAGCCGTCGTAACTACTGTGGCTGTGCTTGTCATAGAGCTGCTGCTCGTTAGCTGCTGCTGCTGTTGCTGTTGTGTGGCAGCAGCAACAATGGTGGCTGTGGCTGCCTTGCTGATTTGTATCGGACTGCTGGAGGAGAGCTGGTGTGGACTCTTCTCGGACAGTGCGTCCATAGACTCAATGCCGCTATCCTCGCCACCGCCATTGTTGCCGTGTCCGGGCGTTCCACTGCCATTGCTGGCCGGCGAGCTGCGCAGAGTGCTGGGCAGTGCAGCCGGCGATGAGGTAGAGGTAGAGCTGGTAATGATCGTCGCCGAGGATACCGATGAGCAGGATGAGGATGAGGTTGATGTGGAGAGGGAGCTGCTGTTATTCACTGATGCTGGTGCTTGCTGCTGCTGCTGCTGTTGCTGCTGACTGACAGCCGCCACCACCACATTGTTGACCGCAGTCAGAGGCATTGCCGTTGCCGTAGTTGCCACTGGCAACTTTCTATCACAGATCAGCTGGTTTGTCGTTTGTGTAGTTGTGGTCGTCATGGTCGTCAGATTGCTTGTGGCGGATGGCGGTATGGTTGGTATGCTCGGAGCCTCTGCTGTTGTTGTCACCACCTGTGGAGCTGCTGTGACCTTGGTGATCTCGACACGTTTCAGTGTCGTTGCACTGGGCAACATGGTTACGGCCGCCGCCAGTTGTCGTTGCTGCTGCTGCTGTTGTTGTTGCTGCTGCTGCTGTTGTTGCTGTTGCTGCTGCTGTTGCTTCTGCAGCTGCAGCTGTTGCACGGCTGTGATGTATGGCGGCGGCTTATGGTTTTTTGTCATCGGCTTTCCACCCACAATGGGCGTGATGGTAGCCGCAGTCTTGATCTGATTCTTCATGGTCAGCAGTCGGTTGTTATTGTTGTTGTTAATGTTGATGACGCCACTGCTTGCAATATTATTATTGTTGTTGTTGTTGTTGCTGTTGCTGCTATTGATGGCACTCAAAGTGATGCTGCTGGGCAACGATGTGGCTATCTTGCTCAGCTGCTGCTGCTGTAGCGTTGTGGATGTCGTCGGTGTTGTTCCCGTATTCGTGGAGCCCACAATCAACTGGCCATCACCACTGCCAACTCCATGCACCTGTGCTTGGGCTTGAGCCTGCGCTTGGGCCTGTGCCTGAGCCTTGTGCGCAGCCTCAACGATGGCACTGATGGTCAAACCATTCTTTCCCGCCACAATTGTGGTGGTCTTGGTGGCACCCGTCGGCAGATGCTGTTGCATGCCAGCTGTCGACTGTGTGGTTTTCTGTATGAGTATGGGCAGCCCATTCACATGTGGCGGAGGCGTCAGCTTTGCCGTCTTGTTATCCGCCAAACCATCCAGAAGAAGTTGCTGTTGCTGTTGCGGCAGCTGCTCGCTGTAGCTTCGCTTCAGTTGACGCTCATCGGTGATGTTGTTCAGCTCCTGTCCCTGTCCGTGTCCCAGTACCAGTGGCGTTTGCAGCTTCTTGCGATCCTTGCGCGTATTCTTAACTACAACATGATTCTTTCCACGCAAACGAATCTGCAGTGGTGGCACACGTGGTTCATTGAGACCTTGTACAGATTGTTGCTGTTGTTGCTGCTGTTGAAAGTTGGTGTACACTGGATGATGTTGGGCTTGTGGATGTTGCTGTTGCTGAAGATGTCCCTGGGGCAGTGGCTGCTGCTGCTGATGTTGTTGCTGAGGCTGGGGTTGTTGTTGTGGTAGCGGCTGCGGATGTTGCTGCGGATGTTGCTGCTGCTGTGGCTGCTGCTGCGGCTGCTGCGTTGGCAATGTCAGCAGCTGTGTCTGCATTGGCAGTGCTTGTTGTTGCATATGATTGTTGCTTACAACTGTCTGCTGATGATTGACAATTATCTGTCCATCGTAGCCCATGCCCGGCTCCACTTTGTCAATCTTCAATCGCAGCTTAAGCTTCTCCTCCGCCGCCTTTGTCTTGGCATTTCCCTTGGCCCGTTCTCTCTTGGGTTTCGGCGTCGCTGTCGTATCCTTGGCTTTGCGCTCCTTCACACCCTGCTGCAGCTTGCCCCGTAATAGATTCGGTTTTGCTTTCTTACTGGACGCTGCCGCTGCCGCTGCGACCCCACTGGCAGCCGCCGATTGGGGCGAGTTCAGTCCACCAATTAGTGGAGAACTGTTGCTGGATCGTGGCGAGCTTTCGCCACCCAAATTGCTGTGATTCGCCTTGACAGCTGCCGGGCCCGCGCCCTTTCTGCCCCGATTTGAGGCGCCAGACTTATTGGATGCCAGGGAGTCCCGGGAACGCTCCTGATCACTGCTGCCAGTGCCCGCCAGCGGCATTTGCTGCGCCGAGTTGGAGTCCTCCTCGGAGAAGATATTGTTCGGCAGTAGCATATCGTTGGCGGGATTGAAGCTGAAGTTGTTCAAGCCACTGGACATGCTGCTGCGGAATGGCAATTGGGCCGTTTCCTGCTCAGCCTCTGTATCGCTGTCATCGCTGGCCATTGGCTCCATGTCGCCAGTGTGTGGATTGATGATGAACTGTTTCTGTGGCGGTCTTTGCTGCTGTTGCTGGTGCTGCTGTTGTTGCACTTGCAACTGTTGTTGCTGTTGTTGTTGTTGTTGTTGCTGCTGCTGTTGTTGTTGCTGGCGTTGAGCCATCAGCAGCTGTTGCTGCTGTTGTTGCTGCTGCTGTTGCAGTTGCATTTGCCGCTGGACTTGCTGCTGGTGCTGCCGCTGTTGTTGCTGCAACTGTGGCATCTGTTGCTGCTGCCTTTGCTGCTGTTGCTGCATCATCATCTGTTGCTGTAGTTGCTGCTGTTGCTGATAGGGCATGCCGCCAATTATTTGCTGATGCTGCTGCTGTTGGGTATGCATTACAACTTGCTGCTGCTGCGGTTGCTGCTGTTCCTCTTGCAACGTGCTCAATGCATCTCCCACATCCATTACCGCCGACAGATTCTCCTCAATTAAATCCAAATCCAGATCCTTTGCATCTTGCAGCAAGGATTCGAGCTCATTTTTATCTTCGAGACTAAGCGTCGAGTCAAGATCACAGTTGAGAGTTGGCAGTAAAGCGTCCAAGTCGTTTGTGGTTAAGGCATCCAGCACAGAGAGCGACATCAATGGATCCACCTGTGGGCCCTGCTGCGTGCCCTGTGACCCAGCTGCTGGCTGTGTCTGTGTCTGCAGTTGCAGTTGCTGTTGTTGCTGCTGCTGTTGCGTTGGCAATGGAGGCGGTGGCAGCTGATGTTGTTGTTGTTGTTGCTGTTGTTGTTGCTGTTGTTGTTGCTGCTGCGGTTGCTGCTGCTGCTGTCCTGGCAGATGAACCTGTTGCTGCTGCTGCTGGAGATTGTATTGCATCTGATAGCGCGTAAACTCCTGGAAACTGCTCTTGGTCACCGAGTCCATTGGCTTGTTGAGTGCCGGCCAGCGTGAATTGGCCGCCGCCTGATTGTAGTCCGGCGGTGGCGCTGCAGGTACATGATGTGCATTTTGTTGCATATGTGTCCCCGCCAGCTCATTCGAAGCCGTAACGGGAACGGGGCCAGGTGCAGGAGCCACTGGCGACACCATCTGTGATGGCTGATGATTGGCCATCAGCGGACTGTGCATCGAATGGTGACTGGAGGCGGGTGAGTGCGCTGGGCCAAGGGGCGAGGCCCCACTCATGAATTGCTGCTGCTGCTGCTGTTGCTGCTGCGCCTGTGCCTGGGGCGAGGCTTGCGGTTGCATAGGCATACTCATGAGACGCTGATGTGCCTGTTGCTGCTGCTGTTGCTGCGGATGTGGCGGCGGAGGCGCCAGTGGCATTCCACCAGGTCGTATTTGCTGCTGCTGCCTCATCTGCTGCTGTTGTTGTTGTGGCATGGGACTCATGCCCATGTTGTTGAAGCAATCTATAGGTAGGAGGAATATTCCATTTGTAAGTATATTTCTTCGGCTGTTGTTTCAATCAGGACTTACCAGGTGCAGGCTGAAACTGCTGCTGTTGTTGCTGCTGCTGAGGTGAGGTCTGCATGAATCGCGGCTGCATGCCCTGTAGCTGCTGCTGTGGCTGCAAGCGTGGAAATTGTTGCTGCCGCAATGCGTGCAATTGTGCAATTCCCTGTGGTGACATTTGATGCGGAAAGCGATGTTGGGGTATAGGCTGCTGAGGATACAAATGATTGCCATTGTTGCCACTGGGACTGAGCATAGCTTGCTGCTGCTGCTGTTGTTGTTGTTGCTGTTGCATGCTCCGCATAACCACTGGCGGGCAGGGCACAGTTGCCGACTGTTGTGGTGTTGTGGGAGATGAAGGTATCACCGGACTGAGGACATCGTTCATCATAAAATCGCTGGGCGTTGCCGGGCCAGAGGAACGCATCGGCGAGTTCATCATCTGCGCACCACTGGGACTCATATTGATCATTGGCGACTGCAGTGGCGATTTCATTTGATTTGGATTCGACATGGCATTGCCGTCGTTCTGCAACAGATTCACCAGCAGCGGCGACGATATGGCAATGTTGTTGCTGCCTGTCGACGTTGCCGATGGAGGCGGCGGATGCGGGTGCGGATGTGGGAGTGGACTGGAGGCAGATGCGTTTGCGACTGCGATTGCAGGCTGCTTGGCACTCGCACTCACCCCCGCTATGGCTATGGGAGAGCTGTTGGTAGCTGTCGCTGTAGTCGCTCCCAGACCCGGGTATGGCGGAGGCGGTGGTTGAATGAATTGAGATTTGTTGACCGACCCCTGCCCCGGCCCAGGCCCCAGTCCCGTTCCTGGCGGCGTTGTGGGTTGAAGTTCTCCATTCTGTGGCGGATTCTTCAACACCTTTAGCGTCACATTTGGCGGAGGCGGCGGCGGTCCCAGTCCACTGACGGTCGATGTCTCCCTACCCTGCAGGACACGAGCCTGTCGCATGCTCTCGAAGGGATAATCCCTTGGCACATTGGGCGTGCCCGATGGCGAGGGCAGCAGCAGTGGCACTTTACCCTCCATGGGACACACCGTGTTGGGGGACTTGAAGACGGGCGGTGTGGATGGCGGCAGCTGGTGCTGCTGCTGTTGTTGCTGCTGCTGCTGCTGTTGCATCTTCTGCTGTGGCAGCCCCGGGCGCCGCTGCTGTTGATTTGAGATTGCATCGTTTGAAACATTTTGCGGTAATTGTACGATCCGCTGCTGCTGCTGCTGTTGCTGCTGCTGCAAGAAGGCTGACGCCGCCTTGCTGGTGCTGGGACCATCGAAATTCGGGGCCGACAAATGCGTCGCCAAACCTTTGTTGGAAGACGTGCCAGCCGCCTCAATTGTACCACCTCCTCCTCCTGCTCCTACCACATCATTAACATTATCTATGGGAAGAGAGACCATATGGTGTTAGGATTAAATGGATCATCTCAAATATAATGTGCCCTGCTGGTCGCACGTACCTTTTGTTATTTTAATATCTTGTCCACCAACTTTCAAAGTTATCACAGAATCGCCTTCAGGTTGCACGGACAGAATGCCGAGGGCACGCAGAGCGGTATTGCCCTCGGCTGCCAGTTGACGTAGCCGCTGCGCTGCATCCCACGGGAGAGACACCGATATCCGCACAGATGACGGTTCGAGCTGCTGCAATTTGTTCATAAAATACATTTAATAAATTCACACGGTTTTAATACATTTTAATTAACAAATTAACAGGCTGATTTGGTTTGTTGAATATACATATTGATACATCGATATAAACAGAGACAACTATCAAATGCTACAACTATCGTATGATGATGCAGCCCTGGCTTCGCACAATGCACACAAACACACGCACAGACACAGAGAGAGAGCACATTTAGCTGGTCTCAGAAAATAATTAAAAATTAATACCAACAAGAAAGTGAATTATTTATTTAAACATTTCTGTTCGGTGGGCTGGTTTGTCCACAAGAAAGGGCAATTAAACGTTTTGACGTTTCTGTTTTGTGCTGCTGCTTCGTAGCTAGTGCTGTGTGAGGTGTGGGAGCGAGACGGCTATACGAGACTCATTGGAAATTCCAACAACAATTTATTCAACAGGAATAATCTATGGATTTGAACGGAACTATGGTATGGCTAAAAAAAAAATACAGGCTACCAAACTCTGCGCTAATCTGCAACTTGATGGATTTTCAATGGGAGCCAACTGCCACAGACCCTCTGGGGCAGGGTGGGGGGTTTGCCACAGGTTGCATTTTCACATGCGTGCGTGCGAAGGAGCGCGTTTTCTTTTGTCGTCTCTGGTTATCGATACCCCGTCGTCGCCATTTTTCTTCTCTTGGTCTCTTGGAAGGGTGTGTGCGTGTGTGTTAGTGTGTGCAAGAGGGGAAAGGTAACCAAAATACTTGCTAGAAGTAAGGCAGGGGGCCAGAGTGGGTGGCTGTGGGTCGTGCCTCGATAAACTCAAAAAAAAAAAAAAAAGTGAAGCACACACAAACACACACACACACACGACGAACGCATGACGTTCAAATGAGTTTCTGCTGCTGTTCAATGGGAAATGCGTGGGTGACGCAAGTGTTCAATGAATGACCCTTTGCCCAACCCCCCCCTCCAGAAAATCGGCGCACAAACAGTGCAATAATCACAGATCAGCTGTTCGGAAAAAAGTGAGTGAAGGAAAAGCTTCTCGCCGACGACGATGCCGCCGCACATCCGTCGGCCTACACACCCTACACTCACCTGTTTAAGTGGCATATCATCACACGACAATCGCACGCGTCGTAGATTTAATTGGTAGAATGCTGCTCAAATATCGCATTTAGCACAAACAGTCGTCGTATCGAATAGGTGTCGAAGTCGAAGAACGCGAACGGCAAGAGTAGAACACAAAACACATATCCCCGCCCGAACTGAAATTTATTATTTGCAGCAAATGCAAATTCATGTAGCGTCGTCCTTTGCATTTAAACAATTGCATTTTTGCATTATTAATTGGTAATCCTCCGTTGTTTGTGCTCCGGTACCGATACGCGGTACCAAAATGTATTGTCTTTGCTGAACCAGAGATTGCTGTTGGTGGACTGGACGACTCCTGGCCGCAAGATAACCCTAACCAGCGTGCAGCAGCGGCGGTGATAATTGGGACGACGACGTTGCATGTGTCGCCTTTTTGGTTGCCACAAAACTCACGCGCTCTCTCTCGCTCTCCTCTCACGTTACACACTTGCTCGCGGTGGCCACTATTTGTTGTTAGGTTTCACTGGACTGGATCCGCTCATCTCCAGATAATGATTCTTTTAGTTACTTTATTTAACCTTTGCAACTTTGTTTTTGGTCATTTTTTTTCCACTGCCTGCTACTTTTTAATAGTAGCCTCAACACACACACACTTTCGCACACACACACACATACACTGAAAACGTGCGGGGCGCGGGCAGGGCTCCGTTGGTGTTGGTTTGCTTTTGCTGCTGCTGCCGATTCCGATTTTCCTGCGTCACTTTAATAACTTTTTTCGTGTAGAAATCGCACAGCTCGTTGTTTACAATATAGTTGATGGCATTCACAGCAAATTGATTCAATTTATTGTGCTTTCACTGTCTTTCATGGCATGCATTGAAACTAATAATATTGCTTTTCAGTGGCGCCTGAAATTTTTTCTTGTTACAACGATTGCGTTTGGTAGCAAATTTGTAGCATAATTTCACACGAAGCGCGAGCGAATGGACACTTGGTAACCGCACACGGATGTAATTGAATATATGTAGTTGCTTTTCAGCTTATTGCAATTGCTGTAGCAATGTGTTTTTCTTGTTTATTTTGTAAAAAAATCTTCGTAATTATAGAAATTCCACGAACAATAACAACCGCCATTTGCATTCGCCTTCTGTGGTAGCCATTTTTATTTTCCAGCCGGAGATGCCAATCGGCTGGTTTCGAAAATACACTAAATATGCCCACAGGGAAGCGTTTTTATGGATAACATATGATGGTTGACCAGCACTGCCAAATAATAATTCAAACTACGGAATTTCAAGTATCATTTTTAGTCTACGTTTGATGCATTTAATAAATTACAAGTTTCCATATTATTTTTAAATAAATAGTCAATGGTATTGTAAACTAGATTTAATTGTGTGCGTTTTCCTGCACTGACTTCTTCTGACCGAAAATGGTATATTCCGGTATATTTCTGAGAGTATTTTGATCAATAATTCCGTGGTCACACTGTATTCAGACTAAATTTTCTGCAAATGTGAGTAAAATTTTTAATTTTTAGGTAAACACGAATTTGGGTGTCCTATCCGATCTACAATTTAATATTAATTCTCATTATATAGCTATCAATTGGTGGGCATAATGCTGCTAGTTGTTCATGCACTGTGCAAATGGCACTGCAAAAATTACGTAACTGCTGACCAATACAAATAATTTTTCTTTTCCTTATAGCCAGCCAAGATGACCAACGCTCCAGCAACCTCCGCGGCCAGCGCCGCCGGCCCAGTCCTGCGTGGCCTTCACAACGCCACCATCAAGCGCAATCTGGCCGTGTCCCTTGGCCTGACTGCCATCATAACCGTCGCCTACAAGGTGCTCATCAACGACCCCAAGAAGGCCGCCTACGCCGAGTTCTACCAGTGAGTATCACAATCGTATATTTGTTTTGGGGACATTCACCAATCCTTTGCAATTGCAGGAAGTACGACGCCAAGAAATCCTTCGAGCGCATGAAGGCCGCCGGCCGTTTCCAGTCCTGCTAAGCGACCCTACGCCCCTATGTAGGTGTACGCATATAGTATAAGTAGACGATGTGTTACGTTACGCTTCTGTATTGAAAACTAAATAGATTTCAACTCCGTATGTGCATCGTGCTGTTTTACTATCGCCCGCTGTCCAAAGCCAAAGTTGATGTCGCATCTGGGACTTAAAGCGTTTTTATTAATTATTTACTCGTATTTACAAACTTATCAAAATAGTGCACAGAACAAACACAAAAAACTACACGCCACACCGCACCATATGCCGATGTGATGATGCCGTAGCTGTAACACATCTAAAATCTAATGGCAAAATCCTTGTAGTCCAGTCGGTTGAGATTGCTCTGATTCCGCAGATCGCAGCGTTGGATCTCGCAGCCCGGCGATCCCTCCGTAGACAACCAGGTGATCCTATTATGAAGTACAGCAATGGAATTAATTCTACTTGTAAATCCGTAATGATCCAAATGCTTGGGCTACATACATCTTGTCCACCTCATCTTTGGGGCCCTGCATCTTGCCGACAATTGTGCCCTGCTTGCTGTTTTTCACCCATCCAGTGATGCCTGCCTTGGTGCAGCGATCGCGTGTATCTTTCGTTAGATTCAGACCTGGCGATAATACAGATTTCCCAAATTAATCTATTCAGTCTAGTAAAAGTGCCGTGGGGCGTGAAACAAAGCCAAGGACAGCCGCAGTGGCAGGCAGAGCCCCAAGTAACAAGCTACTTTGGGTTTATTTTTAGCTGGTGGTACCATTGCCCGTTGCATTTGCAGCTGCAGCCTTGAGCTTTGCCCCTGCTCCGATACGATCCTGCCTGGCCACACCTTGCACGTGTCCATACACCTCAAAGTCCAGCGTCACCAGCTGACGTATATCCGGAATAACGCCCATTTCGAGTGCGATCGAAGCTTTAACAACTGCTGCCCACTTTTCGATTATATAAATCTAGAATACTTTTTTTGGGATTATGAATGGGTTCCAGCTATCCCTTTTCTTCACACAAATTTAAATTCCAAACTATTTAAAAACTGAAGGCCCTTAATATTTGATCGACTTTAAAATTGTCATAAAAAATATATATATACTATATATGTATATAGTGCTAGACTCGTGCTATATTTTATCCGCCGCGTTCGCGATGTTGATTTTCAGCAAACCGTCGCAAATTTCAAACTAAAATGCCAAGTTGCTGCAAATTGGCGCTCTGCTAGCATACTCGTATCAATTGCTTTCTATTTTGCGTTTTCGATTTGTATTTGCGTATTTATTTTAGCTGCCGATTGTCTGTTTCTTTTTGTTCTTGCTATTATTTTTAAGCAAAGACAATAGACACACGCGAGGAGATCTCTTAGGAAGGCGCCCCACGGACAGCTGGGCTGGTTCGGCTGATACCTGCAATGCGATGCGCTACACACAAACTGCAAGTGGGTTGCTGTAATTACATACCTAAATTTTATAGAACTAGCATTATAAGGGTGCCAGAGTTGGGTAATTATTAGGACAGAAACAAAGGAAACTCAGGTACAGGGTCTGCATTTCAGGATTAAGATAGCAAGATCTTCTCGCTCCAGGGGTTCCTAGGTGGGATCAAAAGGCCATTAAGTCAAAAATTATGCCATGTGTCTCTATCTTTATGTTCTTATCACTTTTAGTGTGAATTTTAGGTGATATTTAGCTATTATTCGATGAATATTAATTATTTTTTATATCAGCAAATGTAATATTTGAATAAAAAAAAATATATTTATCAAAGTCAGCCCTAAAATGTATAATACTTTTTATCTATAGGTACAAAACCGTACATTTAAATATACATCCAGATAGATCGATCCGCAGTTGTTTCGTCCTCATTAGCATGTGCGCTGTCAGAACTCAGATGTGCCCTACAGGCAGACATTATCATACATATGTATATATGGTACCTATGTATGCTTGAATATATTTTAGAAAAATGCCACCATTAAGGTATTTATCCGATTTGTTGCTCAATTTATCAACGATTTCGTTTGTTTGCTTGCCTCAAGTGAACGTTTTTGACCCAGAACAATGTATTAGTTCTAGGTTCTAGAAGCGCCTTTCCTTTCCGTTTTTGATTTCGCTTTCTATATACTATTGTATTCAACCATTTAGTGATGCCAGGAATGACAAGTTCATAGCTGGCGAATTGTTTGGGCCGTGAGACTTTTATACAACCAGACGACAAAGTATTTATTATTTATTATTTTTTTTATTTTTTATTTTATTGTATTTTTGTACTTGTAGAAAGCGAAATTGAAATTTTCATTGAAGAAAGACATTATAGGTCTGTGGGCTATAAATTCTATCCTTGTCTGCGGTTAGTTCTGTGTGTTTCCTTGAATAGAATCCCAATGTGGAGAAACAGCTGAATGAACTGTTAAAAGTGCTTCATAATTTGATATTTTCAACAAAACTAAACCAAATAAATATTTTAAAAAGTATTAGATGACTATTAATAAAAAGTATTCCATGGTAACCTTGGTCTTAAGGAACTGAATAAATTATACGCTATTCCTGGCCATATTCCATATGAGCATAATATTTATTTCGTTTTGTGTCCTTAGTTAAAAATCTTCCACACATTGCTTTATATATATTTACAACAATTTATTGAAAATACGAATAATGTACAATAGTTAATCGTATTCGTAATCGTATCGGAGTATGTGTGTGTTCCGGGGTGTGCTGATGGTGTTGTCGTTCGTCATTAGCTTCGTGAAATTTGGACGATATATAGGGTCGAAAGTGCAGTTGGTTAGCATTTATACAGGTCTGGGGAATTGGTTAGGATAAGGATTATGAGTAGGATAACAGCTAACGATTAGGTCTAGGACTTAAGGCTACACATCTGACTCTTAAGTAAGCTCGTTAAACGTGAATTAAGATTAGGCTTAGGCACTTTAAGCGTACAACTAGTTTAACAGCTAGACATAGAACGATTTTAACGATAACAAACAAGGCCCGTCCTTGGCCGTATCTAAACGATCTGCACGGTGGCATGTGGCTGCTCGATGAGGCTGCTCTGCGCCTCCTTATCCTTCTCCGCACTCCTGCCGAGCGTCGCGTGCTCCGGCTTCAGGTAATAGTGCGGCGGCGGTGCAGATGACGCTGACGATGATGACTGTGAAACCTTTTTGCGTCGCTCCCGCAGAAAGTGTAGACGCACGTAGTTAATGGGAATGTCAACGCTCTCGGCGCCAGCTCCCTCGGCATCAATGAACACTCCACGCACCAGAATGGAGTTGGAGCACTTGAGTGCGGCCAGCAGCAGGAACGGTATGATGTGCGTTAGCCAGAAGCTCATCAGTCGATTTTCTAAGAATCAGATTCAGATTAATCACAGGTCGGTAAATTTAAATCGGAGAAAAACCTTTTACCTGGATATAGATACACATCGAGTAGATTCCAGATACCGCGCCATGCATTCACCGCCCCAAAGAAGGTCATCAGATAGTAAATGTCGCATATGATCAGCTTCAGGATGCCGCTTATCCGACGCGACACATACCGCATCAGGGGATGGATGAGAAACGTCACAAACACGGTCAGATATCCAATTAGCTGCAAGGGGGGGAAATGCTTAGAAAGTTGCAAAATGATTTGGCTAAAAAAATTGGAACTTACCAGCGAGCCCCATGCCGATTTGGCTTTGTCCTTGGGAAACAGCGTCAAGTCAAAGATGCCCCAGACACCGCGCCAGGCTATGACCACCAGACTGCCAATGACAAAGACCGAGAAGAGTGTGTCCAGCACATAGAGGCCAGGTTGATGGAAACCCTTTAGCAGAAGAACGGAAGAGGGAAGTAAGTAAATATTAAGTCGTGAATTATATAATAAATGAATGGGTATCTATAGAGTAGTTGCCATATCGACCCGTCTATTGATACTGACTACATGGAACATCTTACGTAAAACAAGTGCTATTAATTTCATAAGCAGTAAGCAAAGCCTTTGGATTGGCCTATAAATTAAATTAATTAAATCAGCACACAAAATTGTAATTTACTTTCGTGAGTACGGAGAAAACACCTTTAAACAAGTAAGAATCATATTAAACTGAATTGTTATGATATTTTGTAATTTATATTAAATCTCTCAAGCGGGAATTTTAAAATTGGCCAGCAGTGACCCAACTTTTAAGATATATTAAACGAAATTTGTTCCCGAATGGGCAAATCATTGGAACGGAGATGATCTATGAACTTACTGCTATGAAACAGAACTGGTTTCTATGAAACTTTTGACGCCATCTGCTATGAAACTATAAAAACTTGCTGCTACGAGACTAATAAAACTGTCGGGTATGAAACTATTACAGCTGGCTGTTTGGAATTGTTAGTTCATTTCAAAGATGTCATTTTGCAGTAGAAGTCGTTGGGTATATCATCGATCGGCAGATAATTCTAGCAAGAGAACTGATCGATAAGAAATCAATGGATAATTAACCGAGGGGAGCCAAACGTCTAACTTCAATAAATATATAAAATTCAGCGCGACGCATCCTTAATATGTCTTTTTATATATCTCAGCGAAGTAGATTTAGCCATTTCTAAAAGTCTCAAAAACGTGATCCAAAACAGACCCTACTCTTAGTTTAATTCACTAAATGTTGAAGATATCTTTCTGAGCTGTCATAGAAACTATAATTCATGGAAGATTTTTGAAGAATCAAGGGACTAAAGCACTAAAATGTATGTCCTTTCCGAAGGTGGTGTGTAAATTTCGTTCGAGATAGAATATCAAGATCGATGCTATCGGATATCCAATTGGAAAACATTTAATTCGTTTTAATTGAAATTCGTAAATGAAATATAATCATTTATTCCTTTCACTTACGGGTATTTTGAACATGGTGTCAACCTCGAAATAGTCCGTTTTGTGGTCCATTGTGACGGTGTAGGGCGCGGCACCGAGGTTCCGGAGGGTGCGTGTTGCGACCAGGAAGATGAGAGCGATTGCCGTTACAACGGAGACAATGATGAGGGAGTCGACGCTGGTCAGCCAGTCGCAGAGCATCCAGGCGCCGCGCCACATATTGACACAGACAATGCCGAATACGGCGGTGTAGAGGCGCGAGACGGCGTAGTAGGTGAGCCGCCGCTTGTCCGGGTGGATGTGATCCTTGAAGAAGTTCTGCGTGATGGTGAACACAAAGTGCCCCACACCGCCGATGAGAAAGGAGGAGAGCGCGGAGAGCGGCAGGCTGCTGGGGAAGAGCATAACGCCCATCAGCTCCCAGGTGCCGCGCCAGTAGGCAATGACGCAGGGCGCCACCACCAGGCAGGAGAGCAGCATGTCCAGCAGCTCCAGCAGCAGCTCGTGCAGATTCCGACGCGGCGCTTCCGGCGAGTACTTCTCGCAGTGGACGTGGCCATGGACATGGCCATGGCCATGTGTGTGGATGGGCAGGTGGGGATGCTGCTGCTGCTGCTGCTGCTGTTGGTGGTGCTGTAGCAGCTGCTGCTCCGACGCCAGCGCCGGGGCTTGGCAATGAGATTTTTGTGGCTTGCTGCTGACAATAATCGGCGTGGGCCCCGTCGCTGTGCCCATCTCTGTGGTCAGCATCGCTGATCCCAACCAAACCAAACCAAGCCAATCCCCGAGCTGCTCTGATGAAGGGCAGCTGCCTTGGCTCTTGATTGCTTTAATTGCTGATAATTTCCACTCCGGATATGTTTGCCGGGGTCTGACTGCGGTCCTGCGCTCCAGCCGTAATCGTATCCGCAATCGCAACCACAACCTGTACGCGGCGATGTTCAACTGTTTTCGCAATGGTCTCGGTCTAGGCGGTCCGTGTATGAGCCCACGGGCATTGTGTTCCGTCCGGCTGGACGAGAGAGAGGTAGAGAGAGAGGGAGAGCCCCGCTTCAGTGGCACACTGATCCTCTCCGGATCTGTGTGTTACCGTTGTTGCATTTCTGCTGCTGCTGATGATAATAATCTGGCACTGATAATTACTCGCTCAGTCTATCAGTCTATCTGTCTTTCGGTCTGTCTGTCCGTCTGTCTGTCTCTGGTCTGTCTGTCACCTCTCTCTCTCTCCACCGACTGTCTGCTGTTGCATAATACAGATCCACATTTGCATCAACGCTTAAATCCACATCCACATCCACTGGGACATTGGCTGTCTGGAAGTGGAAATGTAAAAAAAGAATTATTAGCAGATGGGGCCGCAGCACAATCCTTATTAATATTTAGTTTGTCCATAGCGAAGCAAAGAAAATAAGTGCTTATAGCTTATAGAACAGATAGTTCCCATAGATGCTACACGCTTATCAGATCCACCCATCAAATCTGACTGTTTCCAGTATGCACCCGACATGCGGAGGCTTAACTTGGGCATTGTCTTTGTGTCTTGGTGCTTGCACGTATATGTACTTGATTATATATGTATGTATATTGTGGAACTCCTATCACTAGATTATACCAGAGTAGCTTTTCCTATTTAACAACATTAACTTGTGAGCACTTAAGGGATGTGCTTATAAAAAAAACCCTCTGTTTTTCTCTGCTAAAAAATGATAAGAACTTTAGCTAAATTTAATTTAATTTATCAATCCGAAAGTCTTTTAAAACAATATGAATTTTTTTGTTCCATTGTTCATTTGTGCCTTGATACAATTAATTTCTAACTTAAATTTAGATCCTCTACTCCTTTAAAGTAAATTCATAAAAAACAGCCTCGTAATTCATCATATGTGCCAATCATATGGAAATCCTTTATTGTTGCTCAGTAGAGCATACAAATATATCCCCACCATAAGCTATATATGGCGCACGATAGTCTGTTTGCCTCGGCTCTTTTAGATGTTGTCAGATGTCCCACATTTATGATGATCACCTGAGAGCGAAGCTCTTTTGCTGATAGCTCAACGTCAACGTGACAATCTGTGCGTTGAGTGGCGGCCCTCCAGCAGACACTTAAGTCCGACGCTCCTGACTTATCTCAAGTGACTTAATAGATCCAATTTAGGCACAGCTACAACATCACAGCCAAGAGCTTTGATTATAACTAAAATGCCACCGAAACAAAACAAAAAGCGAAAGTGTGCGGGATATACGCCTCAACGGAGACATGGACAGTGCCCCCCGCCCTACGGTCTTGAACTTGTCTGCCCCGTCTATGAAGAGGTCAGGGGCACAGAAAGGGAAAGGGCAGAAAAGGCACTGAGGAAAATGATGCAATATTTAGGAGAGGGAGGGATGGCAATGGGGGGTGGGAATGTTTTATTTTTATTTCTCCAGTGTTATTTATTTATTCTATTTCATAACGCGCCAAGGAAATATTCTAAAAATTCCATTCCAATATACTTTTAGCAAAGTGCTTTAATTATGTGATTAAATGTCTCTATTTAGAACATCTGTCGAATCTATGAATAAGCGCTCGGAATGATCCACCCTGATAAAATCATAACTTTGGTTTCTTTTTCATGTGTCTTTGAACTGCATAAGTTATGTAGTATTAGTGTCCGGATATGATTAGGAAATTTATTCGAAAAGTTGTCTACAAATGACCGTTTTTAAATTTGTTTTTAAATTATGCCTTAAATAAGGTTGGACATCGAATGTATCAGGTTATTACAAAATTGCAGTCATTGAAATAGATTATCTGCGGTAAAAATGTATCTGTGAAGTATCAAACAGTTCCTGGTACTGAACAGCTGTCTAGATGCGAAAATTTAGCACCTTATTTCGAATACCTTGAATATTTTCTAATCGAATTGATTTGAATACTCGTAATTCTGGTTGTGACCCTTGTTCAGCTTTAAGATCATTTCAGCCTGATTCAATTTGGTTGGGTTCTCAAAAGATGCTTAATATTCCACAAGAAACGGAAATTTTCCCACATGGTTTGTATTGCATCTGATTCGCTAAATGATCCTCCATATAGTTATTGAATGAAATAGGAATATTCGCCTTTGATTTATTTCATGAATTGCTCACTTGACTGTCTGTCTGTCTGTCTTCTCAATTATGCATCGAATAGATGACTTTTCCCGCTAATTAAGCGGAACCCTCGCCCCCCCCACCCCCACCCCCTTTGGAATTAGTGCAGGATGTTTGTGATTTTCGTGTTTGGTTTTAGTTTTGTTTTCTTTTTTGTGTGTTGTCTCGACAACGCGGCGTATGCGCGATAATTAAACACACGACTTTTGCTGGGGGCCTCAGGCGAAGGTCCCAGCTGCTGGGGAGGCTGCTGCTGCTGCAGCTGGAACTGCAACTGCAGTTTGGGTCAAGCGCATTCACATTTAAATCAAAGTGGTGGATCCACTGGCTAAATAGATGCCCCGCCGTGAGGCTCATTGAGGCAGCGGCCGCCCAGCAAGACTTCCTCGTTTAGGTAGCTCATAATAATGATGATGATGCTGATGATGGTTTGGATCCAATGGTTGGATGCATACGAGGTATACTCGTAAATTATATCTGGCATACGCATATGTACAGATTAGAGGAGAGCATGAGCATGAGAGCATTCAGCAGTGGCTGATTTCAAGTTCAAACTCCCCAAGTGGGCCAAATGACGTTTCAATGCAATGCCAGTAAGGCCCATCCTCCAATCGCAATCCCCATACAAGTACAAATCCAAATCCTCCCTCTTTGCTGCACATTGTACTCCAATTATGTCAGCTAATTGACAAAGAACGGGTGACAATTCAAATGCCAAATTGGACGCTGAGCAGCAACAACGACAACGACTCATACTCAATTTTTGCAAGATTCTTGATAAGTCGAGCCGTATAAGTCTACCGACTTACGAGTTACGAAGCTAATTAGGTTTGCCCAACATATATACATACATATATATAGTCTCAAGCTGTATCTGGGGGATGGAATGATAAGACATCCAACCATCTAAACACTCTGAAGTCTCTTGAATTGCCACGTTTTACGATTTAGCTGATGTATTTGGAAATGATTAAGCGTTTACGATCTCTGCGAGTGATTCAAAACTCTGCCTGTGACTTATTCGAAAGCATTTTCAGGCGCCTGGCGAGTTGTTGGCGACTGTGATAATGGATAGAGTACATCTTTTACAGCTTGGTTTTGTTCAACATTTACTTTTCACATTATCAGCATCTAAGTGCTCTCTTTGGTGTCATTGTCAGATTGAATAATCGCCTCTACGCGATCTAATTCCAGAGTTTGGCACAAAGAAATATGCAATATAACAGAGAGCGGGCAAACATTTTATACTACATACCAATGCAGGTACATAAATATGTATATTGATAGTCTAGCACTTGTGTGGCAAACTCAGGCTATCCTTCACTGAACTGAAATATTATTAAATATAATTTCAAAGTTTATTTTTCCTGAATATATTAATAATAATAAAAAATGAAGAAAATGCTTAAGAAAGTTGAGTTTTAATTTTTGATGTATTTTGGGTTTGCAAATCTGAATTCCTGACTGTATTTTTAGCTCTAACTATCGATGGACAGTACCAGATATCTACTCTGAATTTAATAATGAATTTAATATAGTTTTTGTACCTAAGTACCCATGTACCTGCTTGCATGTGTATCTGATTTTATAACCAAAATATATTTATATCGTACGCATATGGAGACACGAATATTTATTATGGCCTTATATGAAATGGACTATAAAAATGAATTGTGCCTGTTTCATGGAGATTTTATTTGAGTTATGGGACACAAATTCAATTTATTGAATGCAATCATGGAACTATTTCCCTTCTATATTTTTCCTATAATGAAAATATATATAAATATACTACTGAAAGTTGGCAATCCACATTAACCCCATTTCCTCGACTGCACTGATTGTGTTCAGAATTTCATGACACTTCTTGTACAATCAAATTTAATGGTGCCACGATCAAATGTAGTTTTCAAGCACTAATCTTTTAAAACACTTTCAAAATTTACAAGTAAAATCTCTCTGATTAGATAGAACTTCCTCACCGGTTACATGGCTATCAGTTATCGACTTACAATTTATTACAAAAACATCTCCTGAGCGTGAAATGCGTGGGGCGACGGCGATAAACACAACAAAACAAATACACACTCAGGCACACGCATACACATACGCACACTCACACTAGTACTAGGAACTGTAATAAATTTATGCAAAAGCAAAAACATTGGTTTACCGTTTCAAATTAGCAGCAGTTTTTGCTTTTGTGCCTGTTGCGGCGTCGTGGGTGCGTGAGCGGCTGAGCCGAGAGTGCAAAAGAGTGCAAAAGAGAGCGAAAGAGTGCGATAAGCTTTTGTTTTTTTTTTTTGTATAGTTTTTGTTTTCCCCGTTTCGTTTTGTTTTTTGGGCGGTGGGGTTTGGTTTGTTGTAACGCACGCCTAAATTAAAGGAACAAACAAACAATCTAGCCACGGAGTGCCTGCGCTCGCACCACACACACACACACACGCACCGGAAATGAGCGGCGCGACTTATCGTATTTTTCCGATATCGGTTTGGGGTTTGGAGTTCGATTTCGATTTCGTTTGACCGTTAGTTGTGGGCCCACAAGATGTTTGAGGTTCGAATGCGCGTAAGCGACTTCTGGCGCTACTATATATAGGTGTGCTTATAGCAATCCGCTAGACTAAGCCACACAAAGGCACTTTACACACATACACACACACAACTAAGCACAGCTAAGCACAGGCAGCTCCGTTGCAATCTAGTTTATTTGTACGGGTGTACGTACGGGTACGGTGTACGGTTGTTTGAACTTTTGCACGCTTCCCGTACAGCAGTGGACTGGGGGGCAGGGGCAGCAGCGTTCTTCTGTTCGCTCGTCAGTCGCCAGTGGCCGCAGAAACTGAACTGGAAGCTGAAATCCGCGTCTGATTTAGGTTGCGGACTCGCGCACACGGACTGAGTGGAGAGGGCGACACAATTTCGCACTCATATGGCCCCAATACCGCTCGACATTGTGAGGGACAGTCGAGTCAGCTTTTCGGATAAAGCCGTGTGCCGCTAATCTCACCAGATCCAGCGAGTCCAAGCTTGAGCGCTCAATATAAAACGCGCTCAGTGCTGATCTGATACGAGCGATAGCAATCTGTGATTGTACGTATCTGATCTTCGGGTGTCAACTGTTGTCTTGATTCGTTCTGAGATTTTTTTTGTTGTTGTCCAGCAATTGTGAAACTTTTCAAATTGATTTCTATTCTTGGATAATTTTGAAATGATTTTCCCCCAGAGCTTAATGTGGCGCGAAAGCTTTTCGCTTGGATATGGCAGCACTGCCCTGGTAGTGGGTCAACTAGGAACTGGCTTGCAGGTGTCTCTGGAGATTATCTGCATTAAATTCATAATTTATTATTCAAGTGACCAGTAAAGACGGATCAAGTTTATTTTATTAGTTATCTGTTGACAGCTTCCTGCAATATGCAACTAATTTGCATTGTACAGCAGCGCATGTCTTGTGTTCCACTATTGCATTAATTATTCAGCGTGAGAATTAGATCAGATGAGAGTGTTGGACTGCTCAGGGAACGATACTATATCGAAGATATGCGCATCAGTCTCAAAACTTATCAATAAGCAGTGCCGTCCGTTTTTTGTTGTGATTATTTTATAATTAAAGGCAGTCGAAAGCTTGTAAAAATTTGAAAATAATTCGCACTTAATAACTCATAAAAACGACTCAACTGCATCCAAATGCAAGTCTATAAATATGCAATTACGCCTGGGAACTGGAAAGCCAACCGATCGACCGATGGACTGTACTGCCATGCCACATTTTACTTTCGGATCGATAATTTATGCGCGAATACTTAATTTTAGATAACAATACTTATTTGATTTAATATTACGATTTATTTGTGCAAACAAATAAATTCAATTTGCCAGCGGATCAACTACGCCCTGACAGCTAAAGATTTATATTGCAATTGATACCAGCAAATTGCCAGCTCACACCAAATTAATTAGTTTCGGATGGCTGCAACTGCGATGCATGATTAGATTTGGGCTGGAATCATAGTCATCTGCAAGAGTTCTTCAATAACGAACAGCTGTGTGCTTTTGCCACTGAAGTTCGCTTTGTCTTGTGACTATTGGGCCCTGATTTTGGAAACTTTGGCACAGATAAGTTGGAGCGAGTATCTTTACGATTCGTTTTGGGTTTTTTTTGTCTAGCGATTGGAAAAAAAAATCCTAATGCTTATTTAATGTCCAACCTTGAATTTCAGTGACTGAGATTGCGCCACCCAAAAATAAATTCAACAAGGTGTCTGGGTTCTTGTCTCTCTCACGGTTCTGACCAAAACTTTATCAATCAGCAAACCTGGGGAAAATTTGTAATGATTTATTCAAAGCGAGGAGTATTTGAAGAGTTTTGTTTTGCTTGCAGGGAAAATCCCTCATGACGAATATTGTCCATTTTTTATGCGGATTTTATACTTTGGTTTATAGAAATGATTACACTGTGTACTCAGCCAATCAACGATATTACAAAATTGAATATTATATTCAATATGCAATGAGGAAATGTTTGCGCATAAGATCCTTCTTGGGATTTTTGACTGCCAAACACTTTTGGTTCAGATTAATTTTGCTGTTCCCTCAAGACTTACCCGCACCTTCCAGCCTTTCCGTTTACATTTATGCTTGTTTACCTAATTATAATAATACAATTTATTTCCAGAAATAAGCCTTGCAATAATTGCTCTTTTATCGTCAAATTTGTAATTACTTTTTTGTTCCCCTCTCCTATTACTTCAAATTACCCAAAATACTATTTTTTCCCCTCTCCTATTAATTCCTTTATATTTTAATATTTTGTATCCCTAATTAGCAGATTTTTCTAAATTAATTAATTAAATACAAAAAAAATCCCTCATTTGATCATAGATCATATGTAAACAGCTGTATATGCTATTGGAAATACAATTTAAGCACACACTATATAAGAAATAAATCTAATAAATTCCATGATCAGAATTAGAGCAACTTCTGTGGTTTCTCAGTAATGGATTTTACTCAAAACAACAATTTCGTTTCACATATAATGCTTAAACCCAATTAAACACAGTGCAATGAAGAAATAATCTCTTAAGAACCTTAACCAATAGCCAATTTACAGCTTTATCTTACCAGTTTTCCTGATAGCGCCTATCGAACAACTGAAAAAGTTCAGAAAGTATGGGGCCAGCGAGCACAAATGCTTATACGAAACAACCTTAAAGCCGGTCACAATATTACTAACCTACCACAAAAGAAACATACCTCAACTAGGGATTTGTTTCGGAATTGGTAGCGTTTTTGTTACTGCCTCTGACCCGAACGATATTCCAATGTCAAGCGACATACAGATTTCGGTCAGATCGGACCCAAGTATATGCAAATGAAACGCGTCCAAAGATCATCGAATAACAGAAAACCACCGATCACCGGATTTGTTTTTAGTTTGTGCTGGATTATTTATTAATATTATTAATTTGCTTAAAGACGCAATAGAGTAACGATATTTACATACGACTCCTCCGATTCCGTCGCGCGTTATTAAGACACTGAAACTGAATGTTGCCAAATATTTATACTACTCTCCTCCACTCCACCAGCGAGAGACGCCCAAATCGGCGGCTGGGCGCGTGCTGTTATCGCTGCCAGTGCCGACTGCTGATAAGGCGCCAGGCGAGAGGAAGGCATAAATATGAGTACGAGTATTACTATATATATTCCACTCCGTTAAGCTGTTTGACTGGGCCACTTTGCTCCGACACGGCGGCGATGATTAGAAATTAATGTAAATATGATTCTCCCAGCCCAATCCGATTTTTCTGTGTATTTTTCCGCTTTGTCAGCTTGTACGAATATTACATATGTGGTTCTTGTTCTGGGCTTATTCCAATTGTCTAAAACGTGTTCATATCGCGCGATTCGCGCAAAAACACAGACATAAAGGCCCAATCAGGCGTCGTTGCCGGGTCATAAAAGTCGAGCAATGACTCGCTATCGATGCCGATGCTCCAATGCGAACGAGTTCGCATTTTTGAGCGATTAAAGTCGCGTCGTCACATATTGATCGGCTTTGCAAGCGTTTTAAAACGCCAAGGCGTTTAGAGTCGTTACAAACATGCAAATAAAATTTAAAGTCGTTTTAAAACGCTTTTTTGTCGTAATATTAGACACGTTCTTGAATATTAATATTAACAAAACTATAAGAACTACAGCAGCCAAATGTGGTATACAGATTATTTATTTTGTTTGAACAGCTGCTGTCGGAGATCAACAAGACCTAGAGTACCCCTGTAGTCCGTGCCCTTTGAAATCTCAGTTGTCTGCTTCGTGTGAAAATACTGGAAAATAGTCAGTACATAACGGACTGTTGGGGCAGCAATACAACAAAAAACTAAAATTCTAAATTTTAAAGAAACATTTTAAAAGTGCTAAAATACATACATACATATACTGTTCTACATGTTGTACTGTTGTACATGCACATCAATGGGCTGACAAATAGTTTATGTGTGTATGCCCAACAGCAACACACATAAACTATTCGTCAGCCCATAAATATGCTTTAAAGTTTAAACTTGCATGCGATTCAAGTCACTCCGGACACCTTTGTGCTATTTTCTAAGCGATTATAGCCGCTGAGAACTGCGCGTTTTAAATCACCCGAAATGATTGTGAAAAGTCGCATTATTTTTAAACGTTTTTATTCGTTTTAAAGTTACTTCAATATTCTTAATCAGCCAAATGCCGCACACGATAGGAGCAATAAGCGCAATCGACAGCTGACAAAAGGTTATTGTGCTTGGTTAAACTGCCGATACGAATCCGATGACAGACAGGCACACACTCTATACAAATGTAGGCACATATACTAGCACAAAAATAGCCAGTTAAATATTGATATATGCAATATGTATTTGTACCCAGATTCAAAGAGTACACGGGCCACGACGTTATGGAAACAGCTGGAATGTTGGACATTAGCTGGAACAACCCGTAGCTGGCATTATATCGCAGTGTTGCTGCACTTAGGTACTGCTTTTCGCTAAACTATCTTTTGTAATTTCTTCAGCTCATCTGTTCGCCCACTCTTCAATAAAAACACATTTGATTTCCATTAAACTTTAGTATGGTGTAATTTTAATATCCACAATATTCATGAGTGATCAATTTTTCGGTCGATTATTTTATACATCAAGAGAGAAGATAACAAATCTTGTGTGTTAGATCGAGGAATGAATTTCATTACATGCGCGACTACAAACTGTAGGCTTACGAGCTACGAATTTAAACTAGAATATACGTTAGAGATAAAGCATATAAGATATATTTGGTAAGTGTGGGCTTGGGTTCGGGTTGGGGTTTGGGGGGGGACATCTAGTGGCCAGCTCTCAAGGAATGTCGGATGTACTACTGTACCTGTACGGTATACTCTGTGCACAAAGCTTTAAGTGTGTGATTTAAAGTTGGATCTCAATCCCCAAACTCAACTGCCCAAGAATCGCAGCGCCTGTAGACTGAAATTTTGGACCTAATCATCCACAGACGCTGCAAGACGGCAGTTAAGCTTTAAAGGGGGCCACATCCAATTCGATACGAGATTAGTTTTATCTTATGTTGTGCTGTGCGTAAATGGTTAATTGTTCGTGGGGTCAGGGTTACTGATGTTCAGAGAGCGTAAATTCATTCACTAAATATGTGCTAACTAGTGTGGCCTGCGATGCGATGTCTTGTATTCCATTTTGGGTGAGAGATTTGTGTGTGTGTGTGTGTGTGTGTGGCTCCACACGGCTCCACTTTGCTGCAGCAGCGAGTGTGGCGGGACACGAGTATTGGATGTGTGATGTATGGTTGGTTGGGCCTGCCACATCCACAGCACTCTTATGCTAACATCCTCTACTTAAACAGACGCTTCAGTATGCTCTGGATGGTCGTCAGCGATTGATCCTCTATGAGGAACGTGCGATGATTGCCCTCCACAGTGTGTACTTCCACGGGTTTTGTGCAGACCTAAAAGAACACACATCAAATATTGATTAATTGAGTTCCAATTTTCCAATTTTCCAATTCCTAGGTGAAACCCACCTCCTTTAGGCGATAGTCTTCATCCAGCTTAGCAGAGTTTTCTGTGGGCTTGACCAGCGTGACATTGGACTTGAGCTTCAGCGTGGGCTTGTAGCTGTCGGCCAGCTCCAGTTTCTTGTAGAACAGCGTAGCAGACTTTTTGATCTGTAAATCACAAAGAAAACAAAAACAAAGAGAGTTCTTAGACAGTCCCTTGGGCTAAGGCTGGCTGTGTGTGTCTTTGCTTACCGTCTCCACGGGCTGTGTGATCTCAACGCTCATCAGTTCGGCAAATCGCTCCAATTTCTCCTCCCATGTGGGAATGACCAGCAGCAGTCGCACCAGCTATAAAAGGCAATTGAATCATGAGTATTCCTTCGGCTATTCCTATTATCTGTGTGCTTGCACTCCACTTACCGCCTTGTAGTCAATGTTGGCCAGGACAATGCCAAAGTAGGCCAGGCCGTAGCTCTGGTTGCTGTTCGAATCATCGGCGGTGTAGCGCTGCTTGAAGCTGCTCGTGTACCAGTTGACATAGGTGGGCGCACCGTCCAACATGATCACGTTGGCCACCTCGTTGGTGTCCTCCAGTATGGCTGTCATCACGTACGTAAGCAGGCAGCCAAAGGAGTATCCGGCTAGCTTGTAGGGTCCCTTCGGCTGGACTGTGCGGATCTGCTGAATGTAGAACTTGGCCGCAGCATCAACGGAATCGACGGGGACGGCATCGGTGAACTGAAGTCCATAGGCAGGCACCTCCAGCCGCTTGGCCAGTGGCTCCAGTGCGGACGCAAAGCCTTCAATGGGCGAAATGAAGAAAATGGGCGTTTGCTTGCTGTTGGCCGGCGCCTTTGTCTCCAGTCGCACGATCGCCTCTGTGGGTATCAGGGCGGTGGTGAACACCACCTGCGTGCCATCGCCCAGCGGGCTGGTTGTGCGCGAGGATGGATTCGATGTGATGCTGGTGACATCCGCGCCGCCAGGCGCTCCATTCGTAGCCGCAGCGGCCGGAGCTGCCACAGTCTTAGCATCGGCTCCTCCGTCCATTTGCTTGAGGGCGCCAAATGTCAGCTGACGAATCTCCTGGGCGGACAGCACAATGTCAAAGTTACGCTCCAGCGTCTGCTTGATTTCGGCACTCATCAGCGAGTCCATGCCCAGGTCGGCCAGGGAGGCGGCATCCTGGATGTTCTTGGTGTCGCGCAGACCCAGAATATTGGCGATGGTGGCAATCAGACTGACGCCGGCCGACGAGTCGGACTTGCGCTTCTCGGCCACCACCATGGAAGCGACCACGGGATGCGGCTGCTGCAGGAACAGATCGATGGTCTGCAGGCAGGAGGGCATGCGCTGGGGCAGGGTGCCACCGATGACGGTGTCATTGTCGCCGAGATTCTCCAGCACCAGGCCAGTGTCGCCGATGGCGCCCCACTGGATGGCTGTGCCGGGGAAGCCGCTCACCTGCCGCTGCTCGCAGATCCGCTCCATGGCCGAGTTGGCCAGGCCGTAGTTGGTCTGGCCAATGTTGCCGCGGCCGCAGGACACGCTGGAGAAGCAAATGAAGTAGTCCAGCTCCGTGCAGATGTTGCGCGAGTACTGGTCCAGCCACTTGGTGGCCGTCACCTTGGGATCGGCCACTGTCTTGAAGTCCTTGGCCGTCTGATCCTCGATCAGGGCATCGCGCAGCACGGCAGCCAGATTGAAGATGCCTCCGACCAGGGCCAGCTTGTTGCTGTTCTCCAGCAGCTTCTTGGCACCAGCGGCGGTGGTCACATCGTTCGTATCGATCACCACCTTGACGCCACGCTCCTCCCAGCGACGGATCATCAGACCCTGGTAGCCGGTCTTCACGCCCGACCTGGACGTGAGCACAATGAAGCGAGCGCCGCGGGACACCAGCCAGTTGGTCAGCTCCAGTCCGAAGCCGCCCAGACCGCCGACCAGGATGTAGCTCTTCTCCGGGTGCATGTAGGTGCGTGGAATGGCGTTGATCAGGCGCGCCTTGGGCTGCTGCGCCTTCTTGCCCGCCTCCTCGTCGCGCACCTTGATGACCACCTTGCCGATGTGCTTGCCCGAGGCCATGAAACGGAAGGCCTGCTCCACCTGCTGATCATTGAAGACGGTCGTGGGCAGCGGCAGGACAGCACCGCTCTTGATGCCCTCAGCCACCAGGTTGACGACTTGGTTCTGCATCTCCTCCTCGCCCTCCATCACGCTGTCCAGCAGGATGCCGTGGAACGAGGTGTTCTTGAGGAACACGGACATGCCCAGGGGGCTGTTGTTGCTCAGATCGAACTTGCCGATCTCCAGGAAGCGGCCATTGAGCCCCAGGCAGCGGATGGAGGCCTGCAGCTTCTCCTCCGACAGGGAGTTGAGCACCAGATCCACGCCGCGTCCCTTGGTCTCGCGCATCACCAGCTGCTCGAACGAGGTGTCGCGGGAGTTGCCGATGTGCCGCTCCTGCAGCTTGGGGAATCGCTTCAGCAGGAACTCGCGCTTCTCCTTGCTGCCCACCGTGGTGAAGACGGTCAAGCCATGGGCCAGAGCCACCGAGATGGCTGCCTGGCCCACGCCTCCGGATCCGGCATGGATGAGGATGCGCTCGCCCTTCTTCATCTGTCCGCGCACCACCAGGGCGTAGTAGACGGTGGAGTAGACACAGGGCACCGTGGAGGCCTCCTCCATGGTCCACTTTTCGGGTATCTGCCACATCATGCGCTTGCTGGCCACACAGGTGGTGGCCAGCGACTTGGCTGGCACCATGGCCATGACACGGCGTCCCTGGGAGTCGCGTCCAGCGAACTCCAGTCCCAGGACGCAGTCCTGTTCGGCCAGATCGCCGGGCAGGGCATCGGCAGCCAGTTTGCCGGATGTCAGCATCACGTCACGGAAATTGATGGGCGCATGGTAGACGGTGCAGGTCTCCAGGTTCTTGTCGGCGGCCACAGCGGTGTTGCCCTTGGCCGCCTCGATCCACTTGAGCGAGGCGAGATCGCCCTTGACCAGGGCGTTCACGTAGGCATGCTCCACCTGGAGCGTGGCCTGCTGGGTCTCCAGCTTCAGGTGACGGAAGGTGCCCCAGGCGCCGCCCTTTAGGACGTTCGAGATGAGATCCTTCTCCAGCTGCTTGCGGTAGAGCGGCGCAGTGAGGGAGAACTTCTCCGCCTTGGCGTCCTGCACGAAGACGAGACGTGCCAGCTTGCCGCCGTTCTCGTTCTTGATGCAGGTCTGCAGGCCAACGCCGCCGAAGAGCTCCTCGCCCTGGCACACCACATAGACGTACTGCTCCTCGGTGGAGGCGGTCAGCAGCGCTGCCTTGAGGTCATCCACCCAGGTGAAGTTCTGCTCGGTGACCTGCACGATCACCGATTTGCGGCTCTTCAGATCGATGGCACGACGGGCCAGCACCAGGACACGTGTGGCGCCCAAGCTCTGCTCCTGCACGACCACCAGGCCAAACTTCTCGAGCAGCGCACGGCCCGCCTTCGTGTAGGTGGCCACGGTCTCCTCGAGGATGAGGAAGCCGGTCTCGCGAATGCTGGCAATCGAATTCTCCAGCGTCTTGGTGTCCGGGCGGGACAGCACATCGATGCCAAAGACAAAGTGACAGTTCTGCTCAACGGGCTCCAGCAGCACATCCTTGGACACGACACGCACACCCGAATCGCCCAAGGCGGCCGCAATGGTCTCCTCGTTGTTGTTGGATGTGGCCACGGCCACGTCGCCGGTCAGCACGGGCTCGCCCTCGATGATTTGCAGCAGCCGATTGGCCACCAGCACATCCGGATTGCGGCCATTGGCCAGCTCCACGCCCTTGAGCTTCACGGCGCCGCTGGAGTTCTCGATGATCAGCTGGATGGCCACATCCAGGGCGTGCAGACGCGCCTTCTCCGAGTTCTCGTGCAGCTCGCTGGCGTTGAGCTGCGGCACAAAGTGATAGCGCTCGAGGGTGGGTGGCGCCTGGGTGCCCGGACGACGCTGGGCCAGTGTGGCCTTGAGGCCACGCAACTCCACGCCGCCGCTCTTGATCACGTTGATGTCGCTGTACCAGGAGACGGGCACACCCGTTTCCGTCTGCTCCTTCTCGGACAGAGTGGCCAGCAGCTCCAAGTGCTTGAGGGGATTCAGCACAGCGCGCTCGATGCGCGTGGGCAGATAGAGCTCGCGCAGATTCTTGCTGAGGATGCTGAACTGCAGCATGGTGTCCATGAAGCTGATCCAGTTGTCCACCCACTGCAGCTGGCCGGCCGAGGCCACCGTATCCGACTTGACAATGCCACGGAAGATGCCGCCGTAGTCGTAGCCGCGCAGACGCAGCTCCTTGTACACATCGTTGGTGGCCAGCTCCTTGGCCGCCTTGCTGGCTGCCTGCGGCTCCAGCGGCAGCTCCTCGTTCTCAATGGACTCCGGAATGGAGATCCGGCCGGACACGGCCAGGCTGCCGCTCTCGCAGATCTCAAAGGCGCCCGTGCCATCGAAGAAGTTGATGCCGAACTTCACGACCGCGTTCTTGTTGAGAATGGTGGCCCGATGGAACACCAGATTCTCCATCACGACGGGCGTCTTGTGGAACTCGCCGCCGCGCATCTTGGCGAAGGTCTGCCAGGCGAGCGTCATGTAGCCCGTGGCGGGGAACAGGATCCTGCCGTCGATGGTGTGGCCCACCAGGAAGGCATCCTCCTCCTTGGACAGATCCACCTCCACGATGGTCTCGCCGGAGGACGTCTCCTTGCCGAACTTGGCCACCAGCCACTTCTGGGTGTGGTCCCAGCCAATCTTCGAGTTCAACATGGGCGTGCCACGGCCCACGGGATAGCTGATGGGACGCACCAGATTGAGGACCTGCGGCTGGGCGCCGGCAGCGAAGAGCTTGCCCACATTCGTCAGGAAGAACTCCACGTTGTTCTCGTGGCCGCGCTTCACCAGACTCAGGTTGGTGGCCTCCGGGCCGAGGGCACGCTTGAGGATGGCCTGCAGCAGGCCGTGGGGCGCGATCTCAATGGAGATGGCATTCTTGGGCACATGCTGGAGGGCCTCGTGGAAGAGCACCGGCGACAGCAGATTGTTCACATGATAGGCCGCCGACGACTGCTTGGCCACGGGTGTGCCCCACGCCGATTCCGGGATGCTGGTGCTTATCCAGCGCGGTGTGCGGTTCTTGGCACTCGGTATGATCTTCTCCAGGCTCTTGCGCAGCTTTGGGCCCGCATCGGCAATGTACTTGCTGTGGAAGGCATAGCCACTGGAGTTGACGGCCTTGGCAAAGACGCCCTCGCCATTCAGCTTGGCCACCAGCGCCTCAATGGACGCCTCCGGCCCGGAGATGGTGCAGTTATCCTCGCTGTTGTGGCACACGGGGAAACAGTCGGCTGGTACGCGCTTGTGCGCCTCCTCCCAGCTGAGTCCAACGGCGGCCATTTTGCCCTTGGAGAGCTGCGTGTCCAGGATGCTCTTGCCACGCCAGTAGGCGGCCAGCACGGTCTGTTCGGGCGTGAAGCAGCCATCGGCATAGGCACAGCCCAGCTCGCCGACAGAGTGGCCGACAATGCCGTCGGGATGGATGCCCAGGGAGCTGAGCACATCGGTGAGGGCCACCTGCATGGCGGCAATGGAGATGAACGAGTTGAGGATATTCTCGAAGCTCTTGTCCGTGGAGCGGGTGAGCACATCGACGAGATCGACGCCCTCTGGCTTGAGGACATCCGCGCAGCGCTGAATGGTCTCCGCAAAGGCATCGATGCGCATCAGATCCTTGGCCATGCTGGCCCACTGGCTGCCCATGCCCGAGTAGACATACCACACGGGCCGCTTCTCGTCCGTGTACTCCAGCACCTCGCGCTGCAGGGTGCCCTTGCCGCTGCTGACCACGCCATAGCCGCGGAAGTAGTGCAGCGGAATGGGCTTCGAGTGGATGTCGTTCAGCAGCTGCAGGTACTCATCGTCATCGGCGTGGCCGGCGGCCGACTCCAGCAGCTGTTCCACAGCCTCAAAGGTACGGCCGGAGGCCAGCACCACCTTGGGACCACTGTCACGTGGTGTCAGAGCCTTGGGCTTGGGATTCGACTTGAGGATGACGTGGGCATTGGCACCGCCAAAGCCAAACGAGTTCAGGCCAATGATGCCACCGTTCCAGGGCAGATTCTTGTCCACCACCTTGAGACGTCCGTCGACGAGGCCATACAGATCTGGGTTGGGCTTGTTGTAGTGCAGATTGCCGGGAATGACGCCCTCCTCCATGGCGATCAGGATCTTGGCCACGGAGCACACACCCGAGGCGGGCTCCGAGTGTCCCATGTTGGACTTGACGGAGCCGATGAGCAGCGGATTGGTGCGGTTCTTGCAGAAGAAGTCCGTGATGGAGTTGACCTCCTGGGGATCACCGACCTTGGTGCCAGTGCCGTGGGCCTCCACATAGACGACATCGTTGGGACTGAGCCCGATCTCCTCGTATGTCTCGCGAATCAGGCGATTCTGCATGCTGCCAATGGGATAGGTGATGCCCTGCTCCTTGAACCCGTCCGTGTTGGTGCGCACATTCAGGATGGAGGCGTAGACGCGCTTGGCCTCGGAGGTGCGCTGCAGGAGCAGCACCACACAGCCATCGGAGCGGACATAGCCGCTGCCGGACTCATCGAAGGCCTTGCAGGCGCCGTCCTGGCTCAACATGTTCAGCCGCTTGAACTGCAGCGACATGGTCGGCTTGAGGATCAGTCCAGCACCGGCCACAATGGCATTGTCGATCTTGCCCTCGCGCATATCGGAGAAGGCCTGCTCCAGGGCGTACAGCGAGCTGGAGCAAGCAGTGTCAATGCTGTAGCTGGGCCCCTTGAAGTCGAACGTGAAGGAGATGCGATTGGCGAACATGGCGCGGGCACAGCCCGTCAGGCCATAGCCATTCACGCGATCGGCATCGCAGCACCAGTGCTGCTCCGTCTCCGAGGTGGAGACGCCAATGTAGACGCCCGTACGGGAGCCACGCAGATCGGTGGGATTGAGGCCCGCATCGATGATCGCCTCGTGGGTCAGCTCCAGCAGCATGCGCAGCAGGGGGTCCATGCATTCGGCCTGCTTCTGGTGCACGCCAAAGAACTGCTGGTCAAAGTTCTCCAGATCACTCTCCTTGATCTTGCCCATCCTGTCGGGCAGGCCATAGAGACCTGTGCAGCGGAGAAGAACAAAACTTTAGCTTAAGAGATCTGTGGCTGGGGCTGGGGCTGGGCGGGCAAAACTTACCGCGCTCCCAGCGCCTGGGATCATCGGTGACCATGTCGACGCCATTGAAGAGATTCTGCTTGAACTCGTCAATGTTGGAGCTCTCGGGCAGGCGACCGGAGAAGCCGGTGATGGCCACCTCATCGTTCAGCAGGGGCTGTCGCGGCACATAGTTTCCGCCACCCAGGTCCAATTGGGGTGCGGCACGAGTGGCGGGCTCGGCGGTGATTACTTCTTCGGCAAAACGGGCTGGCATCTTGGGGCTATTGTTGTTGTTCTGGTTATGGTTATGGTTCTGGTTCTGGTTCTGGTTCTGGCTATGGTTGTGCGAGTGCGAGTGAGAAGTGTGCGAGGAGGAGGTGCTCGGGGTTATCTGCGTGTCGTCCGGCTCCTTGAAGGCGTCAGGTTGATGCGAATTCTGCTGCTGCTTGTTGCGGCGACGGCGACGGCGATTGGCTCGGGCACTTTTCCCGTTATTTTGGCCACTTGGAGAATGATGCTGCGGCTGTTGGCTCTGATGATTGTTGCTCTTGCTGGCAACAGGGTTCTGCTGGTCCACGGCTTGCAACAGGTTTGAGTGTGGCGTCTGCAAAGATACATGAGGAAAATAGGAAAATTTTAGCTCACGATTAGATGGTAGATGGTAGAAAATGGGAAGCTCTTTGGCTATTTATTTAACTAATGCCATTCCCACACAAACGAAAAATACATTGCATACCTCAGGGAGTACAAACGAAATACAGCATCAACCATTTGATAGGATAGGATTTTCGATGATACCACAATTGTACTATGATATTTGTATATGATATTTTGAGTTGAAAGTACTCGGAATATTTAGTTTTTGGTTGGTTTACAATGTCTAACAAAGAGCCAGCTGAGTCATATGGGTTTTTATTATTTTATTTGTAGCTTTACAAAATTCGAATGCTGAATAAATAGAATAATAATTTTCTTTAATCATCAGCCACACTGGCGGCAAAACTATGATGCCCATCTGCCTAACAGAGCTGTTAAACAGCTGGAAAGCTTTCGACAGCTGTGCTCAGCTCAGCTCGCTCTCTCGATGTCTCTCTCTCTCTCTCAAAGTCTGGCGCAGATCAGAGGCAAGTCGGCGCAAGCCGGTGTACCGGTACGTAGTAAGTACTGCCAGACAGATGGGCAGGCCAGGCGGGCAGGCAGACTCTGGGCAGTGGAAAGTTAGTATAGATATTACAAATCAGGTGATTTCTGGAGGAGCTTTTGCCGCGCATGTGGCTGCATACATATTTGTTATGGGCGGCTTTCTAGTGTTGTGGCGTGATGATGCCGATGCCACCGCCCAACAGCCGCTGCCCAGGGGCAACATGTGGCAGTAACAGTAACAGTGCAACATGGTTTGGGTTAACATAGGCACCACCACGGCACAACCAACTCCCTTTGCTACTCTACTCTCCTCTCTCTCTCTTCACGCTTCTCACGCAATCAATCCCCTCTTAAGCACAACAGAACACAAGCTGCTTTCTCATTCGCCGAGAAACTCGTATGATGTGCAGAAAGAATGATTCAACAAAAGGGAAAGAAGTAAGTGACGGCTCGGTCTCCCCCAGAGCGTCGCTAGAAGAAGCGGAAGAACAAGAAAGAGCGGACAGACAGCCGAAAATGCTATGTTGTGCCCTGTGCCGGCAAACGATGGCAAGGCAAAATCGGCACACTCACCTCTTTGTAGGTAGCTAGTGGGAGTGTCAGCGAGTGAGATAGATAGCAAGAGAGAACATATTGTTTCGATGCTATGTTTATGTTTATACCCAGGCAGAAGATATTATTATTTTTAGCAGAGGTTTGCAACGCTGCAATATTATTATATAATATTAATATATATTATATTAATATAAAATATTAGAATCTCTACAATCCCTGCGACAAACTCATAATTTTCAAAAGAAATTAAAACTTTTCCCTCAAGTTTAGATGTAATTACATGTACAGTAATGACAGAGTTTAGTGTTTTCCCCATCAATATCGAATGACTTCCATGGAAAGGGTATCAACGAGTTCGTTACTCATGGCTAATTTCTGGTTTCCATAGTAATTGTATATGCCAGAGTGAGTGAGATTCGAAATTTTGCATGCCAACCGACCGACAACACACACATACACACACACATGAGCTGGACGCGTGTACCGTTTGTTTAGTGAGATAAGGTGGCGTGATTTCTCAAGTTCATTCAAGTATTACTTTTATGGTTTTTTGTTGCCGCATCTGATTTGATTCCCCCGATTTGTTTGCTTTGGTTTTGCTTGGCGCAGCACCCTCTATGGATCCTTTTACTTTGATGGCCAGCGCTCAGTTCCTTATTGATTTCTCCGGAATCCATCAGATTCCACTGCCTGCCTGCCGCCTATGCGTGTGTGTGTGTGTGTCACCCATCATCAGGCCATATTGCTTAAAATTGCGTCATTAGATAAGCAAACATGTAAACAAACGCCCTACCACCCCTCCCCCACCCCTTCACAGTGACCACCCTAGAGGTCTTGGGCACTCTACATTGTTTATTTATGCACTCGGTTCTATTTTCACAGTTATCGATTTTGGCCAGGGTAGGGCCGCCGGGCGGATACTCAAGTTCACGTGTACTGGCACCTTCACACACCACACACCCGACTACTGTACACCCTTCTACGTACAATTGGTCCACATTATCATCTTACACAATAGGAGATGATGATGAGGATGCCTCGCTCCTCAAGTTCACGAACATCAGCGATAATTGATAACACCAAGAGGTGAGCTGGGCCATGGGGTGATTCCAAACTGAGCTGATAACAGCGTCGCGCCGCTGCCGACTCATACGAGTCTGCACCTGAACGGAAATGTTGGCCCAACGCCAAACGCGTGTAGAACAGGAAGCTTATACTGCTGCGTACAGATAAAGATTACCACTCAAAATTTTCCAATCAGCTAATTTGGGTTTGTTTTGATACCCTTGCAGACGGGCATATGTCTGCTGTTTGTTGTTTGTGGTTAAAGTAGTTAAATTCCAGTATTGTATTGGAATTAATTATTGTGGCTGTAAAAGTTATACTTTTGATACGAGTATACAACTAGGTACATTTGTATATCTAACTTTGAATCGAAATAATTTATCTTTCGTTAGAGTTACATATGTAGGCGAATATGAAAGGGTATTTAAAGCTTCGTTTGCCAAAAAAATAGCTATTCCTTCTGTCTTATGTCTTATTCAGCTTTATATTCTGATCGTATTCTGATGGGAAATCTTACAAATCCATGTTTGTCTGCTTCTCCCGGCTGCAATTAGTTTTTGAAACCCTATCGAGAAGCCAATAAACTTTCATAGAACGCCTTCCTTTGCTATATATATCTCTCTATCTCTCTCTCTCTTTCTCTATGTCCCTGTCAATTAGCAACTGTAATTTGTTGTATCAACGTTTTGTGGAATGGTGCAACCGGAGGGCAGTGAGGGGGCGTTTAGAATAACACTTTTGGCACTGTTTGTGCCAAAGCTAAAGGTCCTAAAGGTCAAAACGTTGCATGCCAAGTGCGAATCGAGCAAACGGGAAATATTCTCCAATTTAGTAATTTGTATTTTTAGCTGGGGGGCGCTGGGCTAGCAAATACATTGGAAAATATCAGTTCGAAAGTTTCACTAAAACAGTTTCTGCGGTGGAGTTTAAAGCGTAGATAATGGAAATTTCTCTTGCATCTCCAGCTTCCACTCAAAACTATCATTTGGAGTAGAACAAAAAAAAAAGAAGAGAAGTTCTCACGTAGTTAAGCTGGACCTAAATCTTTATGAAAAACATATTTAACTTTAATAGCTCCCCATTATTTTAACACAAAATTCAAATTTTTCCACATTTCATTTCCTATATTTTGTATGAATTTTTATTTGCTTTTTTATTCCACGAGCACACACACAAACACACACACACATTTGTAGGGAGTCCAATTTTATTCCTGCGGCTGCCATTTTATTTTTTTGTACATACCTAAAAATCAGGCGATTCCTCTTGACAGCTGTTTTTCTGGCTAAATGGCTCTGGAGCAGTGGGTAGGCTTGGGGCTTCTGGGTGCAGTTGGTCCTGACTGACTTTCGAAACCGTTAGCTACGCTACTTTTGCAATTAACCAATACAAAAACACAGCACTTTTCCTTTTGCTATTGTTCTCCTTCCGTTTTGTTGGCTTGGCGCTAGTTACCGTTAGCGATTTTCTTTGCAAATAATTTTGCTACACTCTTCGTTTTGCACTGTGGCTGGGGCCGTATACTGGAGGCGAAAGACACACTGTGTTTGAAGCGTAGCGGTTAATAAAGCACGACAACTGTGAGTTGGTTCGGTTACGCTCACGAACTGCCAGCGAGAAATAAAACGGTAATAGTCCAGGCATCAGGTGAGCGTCGCCTTTTATATGAGGCGCGACGAAAGCTTTATTTAGCATCGCCAGAAGAGAAGAGAGCAGCCAGAAGCAGCGCGAAGATAAGCTCGCTCTGCTTATGTGCTCGTTCTCTCTCTCTCTCTGGTAGTTAGGGTGGGTGTAGGGCCTCTGGTCAGCTGTTGCCTGCGTGAAGATGTACAAATTTTGATTTGTCCCGGCAGGAATCGGACCACTTTTAGTTGCTACTAAATACAGTCTCATATGAAAACACACAAACACACTCTCTCTCTGTTATAAGTAACATACATATGTATATATGTATAAGTATGTACAGAGGCAGACATAGCGCGACTGTTAATCGTCTGGTCTGGGCACATTTGTTCGTAGATAGAATACAACCTTAATATTAAGTACATAGGAATTGGAATTATTATCAATTATGGAAAGGTACATTGAAATTTTTTTTTTTAACGGGTCATATAAAGGCCGCCGCCGCTGCCGCCGCTGCTACTGCCGCCGGACTATCGTGATTCATCGTAAATCATGCGAGCGCCACGATCCCAGTCGCGTGTCCAGAAACCAAAACCAAACCCAACCAAACGAATTCGCATTAGATCGCTTATAGTACGATTACTTATACAATCCGGGCAGATTGCTACGTGTATTATTGGTATACATATACATATAACGATACATTAACAGCTACAGAGTAAATCATGATGCTATCAACTAGAGCCGCTTCCTCAGCACACGCTCGAGGATCTGTAACGTTTGCGCCTCCTTGAGGAACGTCCTGTGTGTGCCCTCCACCACATGCATATCAATCTGGGCGCTGCATATCTGCAAAAAACGGCAAAGGATCGTAACGGAAGCTTATGGAGAGATAAATGAGATACATACCTCCTTGAGGCCATAGTCCTGGGCCATTATGGCATTGTGCTCGGCGGATTTGATTAGCACCACATCGCTGTGCAGCTGCTTGGCTCCCTTGTAGCTCTCCGAGAGCAAAAGCTTCTGCTTGAACATGCAGGCAGCTTTCTTGATCTGTTCGGCAGGAAGAAAAGAAAAGATGGAATAGAAATGGAATTAAAAAAAAAGAATGAAGCATACAAATATTGGGAATTTAAAATCTGCGCATATATGAGATTGGATTTAAATATACATTTCTAGTTAATGTCAGGAGGCTGAAGTTATGGGTAGAAATATTCGATATTGTATTATTCTTGGAATTCTGTTATAAAAATCATAAAATTCATTTCTTATCTAAAATGAAACAAGGTACCGTAAAAAGGTATCCAAGTGCATATTACACAACACATTTTTATACCCATTATTTCAACTACTTGTAGGCCTCAAGAGGGTTAAGTCCAAGCACACACAAATACTTGAGTAGTCGCTCCCTATAATAACAAATATTTATACAAATACTCGAGTTTCGCTGTACCGCGAGAGAACTCTGATACTGGAGACTATTAAAAATGTCTATAAATAATGAATGAACAACGAAAGAGTGGAAGTCTCTAGTAATGCCAGAGATTAGGTGTCTCCACCCACTACAGGTAATTCGAAATCAAGTTTAATCAATGCAATAAAAGTGCAGTATCTACCAAACAAGTGGACTAATAAGTGGGATAAGAAGATAAGAACTGAAGGGTCCCATTACATTATTAATCGATTTTCGCGCTGATGGTCGTCGACTGCTGTTTACTGGCTGATAGATAGATGCAATTAGTATTAATTTGGGGAGTAATTACGAGATATTGCATTGCAATCTCATTCGAACACTTGATCTGCTATATTATCTGTGATCTTTTGCTAAGAAATAAATAAGTAATTCTTGGGTTGGTTCTCGATTCTACTCAAAACACTTTAAACCCCTCAAAGACTAATGCCCCCCATTCGGGAGGATCTTTTGGCAGCGAGAACTCACCACTGCTTTGGTTTGTTGCGTGTGTCCGGCCAGAGTGTCGGCCAGCTTGTCCAGCTTCGATGGCCACGTCTTGACGCCATCTAGCAATTGCAGCAGCTGCAAACAGGATTCGAATATGGAATTATAGAGTGATAGAAAACATAAGCCAAAGCCAAAGCCCCACCCCACCGCACCCCACCTGATTGTAATCCACGTCGGCGAGCAGGGCACCAAAGTAGGCCAACGTCATGGACTGCTGTCGATTGAGGTCGTCGGTCTGCTTCTTGGCCTCCTGCACATAGCCGCTGGCAATGGTGGGGGCACCGTCCAGCATGATGACCTTGACGCCGAAGCGTCGCTGCTCCAAGGCCACGCCAATGGCATGCGCCAGCAGGCAGCCATAGGAGTAGCCAACAATGTTGTAGGGGCCGCGCGGCTGCAGCCGCTGAATCTGCCCGAGATAGTAGGCGGCGCAGGCCTCGATGGAGTCGAGCGGCACCTGTTCGGTGCACTGCAGGCCGTAGGCGGGGCAGGTGAGGGAGGAGGCCAGCGCCTCCACGGCAATTGTGAAGCCCTCGATGGGTGCGAGGAAGAAGACGGCGGGCTCTTCGCTGGCCACCGGCGCCTTTGAGTGCAGACGCACGAGCACTTCCTGGGGTAATACTTCCTTGGCGAATACCTTGCGTGTCTCATCGCTCTGTCCCTGTCCCTTTATCTCGCCCACCTTGCCATCTGCCGCAGTTGCTGTGGCCGCCGCCGCCGCCGCCGCCGAGTCCGCACTGGCGCCCGAGCCGCCTGCCGCCGTGACTCCGGGCTCCTGGGCATCGATCTGCTTGAGTGCGCTGAATGTCAGCTGGCGTATCTCCTGCGCGGTCAGCACCAGATCGAAGTGTCGCTCCAGCGTCTGCTTGATCTCCGTGCTCATCAGCGAGTCCATGCCCAGATCGAACAGCGTCGTCTTGTCCTGCACACTCTTCACGTCCCGCAGTCCCATGATGTTGGCTATCGTCGCGATCAGACTGAGGCGATGCGTCTGCTCCGCTTTGCGCTTCTCGGCCAGCACCATGGAGGCCATGACGGGATGCGGCTGCTGCAGCAGGAAATCGATCGTCTCCAGGCAGCTGTTCATGCGCTGGGGCAGGGTGCCACCGATGACGGTGTCGTTGTTGCCCATGTGCTCCATAATCAGACCCGTGTCGCCGATGGCGCCCCACTGGATGGCCGTGCCCGGATAGCCGTCGCCCTGCCGCTGTTCGCAGATCCGCTCCATGGCGGAGTTGGCCAGGCCGTAGTTGGTCTGGCCAATGTTGCCGCGGCCGCAGGACACGCTGGAGAAGCAAATGAAGTACTCGAGGGCGGGACACAGGCCGCGCGAGAGTCTGTCCAGATGCTGGGTGGCCAGCAGCTTGGGCGCCGTCACCTGCTCAAAGTGCTTCGCCGTCTGATCCTCGAACAGTCCGTCCCTGAGCACGGCGGCCAGATTGAAGATGCCTCCGACCAGGGCCAGCTTGTTGCTGCTCTCCAGCAGCCGCTGGCAGCCCACGGCCGTCGTCACATCGCTCGTGTCGATCAGCACCTGAACGCCCCGATCGTGCCAGCGACGAATCATCAGCGCCTGGTAGCCGGTCTTCAGGCCCGAACGGGAGCTCAGGACGAGGAAACGGGCGCCACGGGACACCAGCCAGTGGGCCAGCTCCAGCCCGAAACCGCCCAGTCCACCCACCAGGATGTAGCTCTTCTCCGGATGCATGTAGGAGCGGGGAATGGCGTTGATCTGCCGCAGCTTGGGCAGCGCAGATTGCTGCTGCTCCTCGTGGCGCACCTGCAGCAGCACCTTGCCGATGTGCTTGCCCGAGGCCATGAAGCGGAACGCCTTCTCGATCTCCCTGTCCGCAAACACAGTGGTGGGCAGCGGCAGCACAGCGCCACTCTGGATGCCCTCGGTGACCAGCCGGGCCACCAGCAGCTGCATCTCCTCCTCGCCCTCCATCACGCTGTCCAGCAGGATGCCGTGGAACGCGGTGTTCTTGAGGAACACGGCCATGCCCAGGGGGCTGTTGTTGCTCAGATCGAACTTGCCGATCTCCAGGAAGCGTCCGTTGAGCCCCAGACAGCGGATGGAGGCCTGCAGCTTCTCCTCGGAGAGGGAATTGAGCACCAGTTCCACGCCCTCGCCATTGGTCACCGTCATGACCAGCTGCTCGAACGAGGTGTCGCGGGAGTTGCCAATGTGCCGCTCCTGCAGCTTGGGGAATCGCTTCAGCAGGAACTCGCGCTTCTCCTTGCTGCCCACCGTGGTGAAGACGGTCAAGCCATGGGCCAGAGCCACCGAGATGGCTGCCTGGCCCACGCCTCCGGATCCGGCATGGATGAGGATGCGCTCGCCCTTCTTCATCTGTCCGCGCACCACCAGGGCGTAGTAGACGGTGGCATAGACGACGGGCACTGTGGCAGCCTGCTCCATGGACCAGTTGTGGGGAATTTCCCACAGCAGGTTCCTGTTCGCCAGGCAATTGGTGGCCAGCGACTTGGCCGTGACCATGGCCATGATGCGGCGTCCCTGGGAGTCGCGTCCCGCAAACTCCAGCCCGAGGACGCAGTCCTGAAAGGCGAGATCGCCGGGCAGCGCATCGACGCCCAGTTTGCCGGAGGCCAGCATCACATCCCGGAAGTTGAGGGGCGCATAGTAGACGGTGCATGGCTCGAAGCTGCCCTGGGCAGGCAGCTGGCTGCTGCGCGGACTCTCGATCCAGCGCAGCGAGGAGAGATCTCCCTTGACCAGGGTGTTCACGTAGGCCTGCTCCACGGGCAGTGGGTGCTGCTGGGCGTCCAGCTTCAGGTGACGGAAGGTGCCCCAGGCGCCCTGCCTGTAGACATTGATGGCCAGATCCTTGGCCAGCTGCTCGGCGTAGAAGGGTTCGTCCAGCGAGAACGCTGGCAGACCCTCGTCCAGCATCAGGTACAGTCTGGCGCAGCTGCCGCCCTGCTCCCGCCTGAGGCAGTTCATCAGACCGAGAGCCCCAGAGCTGGGCTCGCCTTGGGCCACCAGATAGAGGCACCGCTGCTCAGCCTGTGCCTTGGCCAGGGCGCTCTTCAGTTCCGCAATCCACTTGAATTGTCTGTTGCTGATGGCCACGACGAGCGATCGACTGGGCTCCGTGCTGGGCCGCTTTCTGGCCAGGATCAGCACGCGATCCGTGCCAAAGAAGTGCTCCAGCACCGGCAGCAGCTGCAGTTTCGTGAGCGCATCCCTGCCCGTCAGATTGTAGCCACTGGCAGTCTCCTCCAGCAGCAGGAAGCCACCGCCCTCGGCTCTGAGTGACTGCACGCAGTGCTGGATGTCCTGCGGGGAGTGCTTTGTGAGCAGATCGAGGGCGTGGACAAAGTGACACTGCTGCTCCACGGCACCCGCCGACAGATCCTTGGCTATGACCTTGACACCCGCCTCCTTGAGCTGGGTCTGCAGCTCGGATTCCGCGCCGCATGCCGCACTCACCACAGAGAGATCCGCCACCAGAACGGGCTCCCGTTCGATCAGCTCCCGCAGCTCGAGGGCGTGCAGTGGATCCGCAGACAGTGTCACGCCCTTCAGCTTGATGGGACAGCCGCAGTTCTCCACGAGCAGCTGAATGGCCACCGCCAGGGCTGTGCTCCGCGAGCGCTGCTGATCCTCGCGCTGCCCCACGTGCTGGACATGTGGCACGAACCGATAGCGCTCCAAAATGGGCGCCGACTGACCCCCCGAACGCCGCTGCGTCTGCGCGGTCTTCATCTTGTGGATCTCCACGCCGCCGCACTTCACCACCGAGATGTTGCGGTGCCAGTGGACAGGCAGCTTCTGCTGGTGCCGCTTCACCAGCTCCATGTGGCGCAGCGGATCGATGAGCGCCCGCTCGATGCCCGTGGGCACGTACAGCTCGCGGATGTCGTTGCTGAGGATGCGGAACTGCAGCATGGTGTCCATGAAGCTGATCCAGTTGTCTGCCCACTGCAGGCGACCCCTCACCGCGGCAGTGTCCGCCTCCAGGACGCCCTGAAAGACGCCACTGTAGTCGTAGCCCCTCAGACGCAGCTCCTTGTAGATGTCCTTGGTGGAGAGCGTCTGGGTGCCCGCAGTGCCGGGCAGTGCGGGCAGATCGAGCCGCTCCTGCTGCACATTCGTGACGAGGCGCAGCTTGCCGGAGACGACCAGGCTGCTGCCCTCGCAGATCTCGAAGCTGCTGCTGCCCGGAAAGTAGTTCAGCGAGAGCTTCACTTTGTTGGCCGCATTCAGGATGGTGGCCCGATGGAAGGCCACGTCCTCAAAGAGCACCGGAGTGCGCAGATAGTCCAGTCCCTGCTGCTGGGCCAGCATCATCCAGGCGAGCGTCATGTAGCCCGTGGCAGGGAACAGAATCCTGCCGTCTATGGTGTGGCCCGCGAGGAAGGCGTTCTCCTCCTTGGACAGATCCAGTTCCACGCTCAGCTGCCCCGACTGCCGGCCGCCCTTGAACTTGGGGTAGTTCCACTTCTGCGTGTGATTCCAGCCGACCAGGGAGCCCAGCATGGGGGTGCCCCGCGACACGGGATAGCTGATCTCGGGGAAGATGCTCAGCAGCTGCGGCTGCCCGCCAGCGGCGAACAGACGCCCCAATTGGCTGAGCAGGAACTCGTAGTTGTTGGCATGGCCGCGCTGCATGAGGCTCACGTAGCTGATGCGCGGCCCCAGGGAGCGCAGGATGGCCCGGAAGAGGCCGTGGGGTGCGATCTCCACGATGAGCGCGTTCTGCGGTATGTGCAGGACGGCCTGCTGGAAGAGCACGGGCGAGATCAGGTTGTTGATGAAGTAACCGGCGGAGGCCACGCGACTCTCTGGCGTCTGCCAGTCCTGCTCGGCGACGCTGGTGCTCAGCCACCGCTGGCTGCGTGGCCTGGGCTCCGTGATGAGGCGCTCCAGGTTGCGCCGGAGCATCGGGGCGGCGCCCTCGATGTACGGACTGTGAAAGGCATAGCCGCCGGAGCCCACCTCGCGCACGAAGACGCCCTCCGCCTGCAGCTGCGCGATGGCCGCATCCATCGCATCCACCGGACCCGACACCGTGCAGTTGTCCTCGCTGTTGTGGCACACCGGATAGCAGTCCGCCGGCAGGTGGCCGGCAATCTCCTCCCAGCTCAGGCCCACGGCTGCCATCTTGCCGCGCGGCAGGCCGGGCGTGTCCAGCACGCTGCGACCACGCCAGTAGGCCGCCAGCACCGTCTGCTCGGCCGTCAGGCAGCCGTCCATATAGGCGGCTCCCAGCTCTCCCGCCGAGTGGCCAATGATGCCCTCCGGCTGTACGCCCAGTGTCTGGAGCAGATCCGTCAGTGCCACCTGCACGGCGGACACCGACACGAAGGAGTACAGCATATTGTCAAAGGTGCGCTCTGTGGAGCGTGTCAGGACGTCTATCAGATCGAAATCTACACGGGCAAGCACCTAAAAAGTACAAGAAATATCCAGATATTGAGTTTAGTTAATTTGCTAATATTTAAACAGAGCTAAAGAATGAAAGGTTAAGCTCTAATTTGACGAATACTGCGAGTGGGCAGGGGATCCAATCCACAGAGAAGGATCTTGGCAGATAAATAGTGCACCTCTTCACCTCTGGGTGTGCTGTAGCGGAATATTCTATACACAAAAGCAGACCGACTTTACGCTAATAAGAGCACACAGAAACATATGCATACATATGCTTAAATAACAGTGTTGCAAAATGTAAAAATGTCAGGCCGAAATAAATATGTTCAAAAAAGTTATTAAGAAAACAGTTTATGGTTGTGGCAGTGGCTTGAGTCTATGAGCACCACTGTATGTACATATGTACACTTATACATATATTTAAGGCATGGCATACAGCAACAAACTCAAAAGTTACTTTTGCGCAAGTGAAAATTGGAGCCTGCCTGATAGAGACCAGACCCTCTGATGATCCCATAAACTGCACACTTTGCAGTCTATACATATAAATATACATACAAATGTACAAAGAAATGTACAAAGAAATGTACAAAGAAATGCACTCGTATGTGTGAGTTTAATGTAAATTTGTGTAAACAAAAATTTACCCTCTTCATTGATTTAACAATTTTCATGAGTAGTATCTTATTTGGTTGGAAATAAAAGCCACTAAAGAATTATAGGCTTAACAATGGATTTTTCCATAAAATATAAATTTTTTTTTAAATTTTAAAGCTTTCAAAAATTGCTTGAAAACTTCAACTTTGGCTTTAGATATGTACCTATGTATGTATGTAATGTAACTTCAAGTATTTCATTTGCTCAAAATTATAAAAAAAAATTCATACATTTGAACATTTTAAGCCACTTTTAACCCACTTAATTGTCGCGGATATCAGCGCTGTAGATGATGAGTAACCAAACGAGGTTTTAGAATTAAAAAAGAAACATTTATGGGGGCTATATTCTAAGTAAACATAGGGATGTGATGTGATCTACTGATTAAGGCAAGCAATCTAGTTTTTGTCGCGTGCAAATTAAATTCCAAAATATGCAATGGAATTACAATTGAACCAGGAACAAGGAGCAGAAGTTCAAGGTCGAAATGAAGACAGCAACTGAATTGCTTTCGCAAGATCAGTTGAGGAATATAAACCGGAAGTTAGAGTTAATATTTAGCCTTATTCTCATACATTAAAGACATCTGTCCTTAGATAGTGTGAATCGGTGTTTCACATCTTTCTCCCAGAGGGATTAGAACCCCCCCTGGAATTCTCCCATCCAAACAAATATCAACCGAAAGACTCACCTCGGCGCACTGCTCTATTGATTTTCGGAACACGTCCAGCTGCATAAGATCCTTGGCCATGCTGGCCCACTGGCTGCCCATGCCCGCGTAGACGAACCAAATGGGTCGCGATTCCTCTTCGAAGGGGAGTATCTCCTGCTGGAGCGCGCCGCTGGGACCGAGTACGGCATAGCCACGGTAGGGATGCAGCGGAATGGGATGCGAGTGGATGTCATTGATGAGGGCCAGGAACTCGTCGTCGTGCCGCTGCTCGATGGCCACCTGCAGCAGCTGCTGCACCGCTGGCTCCGTCCGGCCCGAGCAGACCACCAGCTTGAGGCACTGCTCCTCCGCCGTGGCCTTGGGGGTTGCTTTCGGGGCCTTGGACTTGCCGTGTGACCGGAGGATGACGTGGGCATTGGCACCGCCAAAGCCAAACGAGTTGAGGCCCACAATGCCGCCCTGCCAGGGCATATTGCGGTCGACCACTTTGAGGCGACCCTCGACCAGGGCGGGCACAGCGGGATTGGGTGTGCGGTAGTGCAGATTGCTGGGCAGGATGCCCTCCTCCATGGCAATGATCATCTTGGCCAGGGCACTCACACCCGAGGCGGGCTCCGCATGGCCCATATTCGACTTGACGGACCCGATGAGCAGCGGCGTGGGTCGCGTGGGATGGCAGAAGAAGTTGCTCAGCATATTGGCCTCCTGGTCATCGCCCACGGGCGTGCCGCTGCCATGGGCCTCCACATAGACAACGTCATCGGGATTGAGGCCAATCTCGCTGTAGGTCTCCTTCAGCAGCTCCTGCTGCATGCAGCCGCTGGGGAAGGTGACGCCCTGCTCCTTGAACCCGTCCGTGTTGGTGCGCACATTCAAAATGGAGGCATAGACACGCCTGGCCTGGGCACGGCGCTGCAGCAGGACCACAGCGCAGGTGTCCGCCCGCGCATAGCCGTTGGCAGCCGCATCGAAGGTCTTGCAGGCACCGTCCTGGCTAACGATGCCCAAGCGCAGGAATTGCAGCGCAAAGATCGGTTTCAGGATGAGATTGACGCCCGCGACGAGCGCGTAATCGCAGCGACCCGCTCGCATGTCCGCGTAGGCATGGGAGAGGGCCACCAGCGAGCTGGAGCAGGCGGTGTCCACGATGAAGCTGGGCCCCTTGAAGTCGAAGGTGTAGGAGATGCGATTGGCGAACATGGCGCGGGCACAGCCCGTCAGGCAGTAGCCATTGATGGTGCTCGGCTCCATGTTGGGTATCTCGTGCTCCGTCTCCACAAAGGACAGGCCAATGTAGACGCCGGTGCGGGTGCCGCGCAGCTGGGCGGGATTTATGCCCGCATCGATGATCGCCTCGTGGGTCAGCTCCAGCAGCATGCGCATGCAGGGATCCATCAGCTCGGCCTGCTTCTGGTGCACACTGAAGAAATTCTCATCGAACTTCTCCAGATCCTCGTCCTTCATCTTGGCCATGCGCTCCGGCAGTCCGTAGATTCCTATACGATGATCAGCATTGATCGGTGGAATTGCCTTAGGATGTGCTCGGCCACTCACCTGCCTCCCAGCGCCTGGGATCATCTGTGACCATGTCGATGCCATTGAGCAGATTGTACTTGAACTCCTCAATGTTGCTGCTCTCCGGCAGCTTGCCCGACAGTCCCGAGATCACAACGTCCCTGGCATCACCGCCCGCCGCAGTCTCTGGCTCCGCTTTCTTCTTGTTGGGCATCTTCTGTGGCTATATGTGGCTCCTTGGTTGCTAATCAGGCTCGGCAGCAGTTCAGTCTGTCTATCTGGATGGGTCAAAGTGATTGGGGAGTTATTATAATGTTTGGCAGTAGAAATACTCCAAGTAGAACTCTGGCTAATAATAATTAGAAATCATTTAAAAATGTTTGAAGATTCATTAAAAAATTTTTAATTTTTTATTAATAATTAGAAATCATATAAATGTTTGAAGATTCACTAAAAAATTTGTTAATGCAATTTTCCGATCTCACCAAAATATAATCTTTTGTTCACCTTAAGATTAAGATTGTTTAAATTTATAAGATTTATGTGGCAGTCAATTGGATGAATTTCTAATGTGCATTCCATTTTTTCTATCAGCTCTTTGTTTGAGCCAACCTTCCTAGTATTTAAAGAGTCACCAACATTTTCGCTTCAATATTTATGGTGTTTGATTGCGATTAAATAAACATACAATAAAATCATTAAAACAAAAAGCTTTCAATATGAAACAATATTTAATTGAAAGAGCCGCAGCAACCTGCGTAGACCCCTCTTGAAGATATCAAAAAATCTTCTAGAAAGATAATACAAATAAGCCAAAAATCCCCAAGCGGCAGCTCGTTGGAATCATTAATTGAACATATTCGTAATAGCAAGTACGGGCTTATAATAAGCCTCATGTTTATCAATCAAATCTCAAATGTCAAGCAAATAAAATGTATATGGCACATATACTATGCCCTAATATGCCTTATACTTATACTTTTCCTAGTATAAGTTTATGCAATAGATGACTGGCTAAATTAAAGCTGTGTGCTAGTGCTGTAGTGCAATCTGTGTAGATCTAATGTCAATCCAATAATGATAACAGCTAAAAAAAATTATAAATTTTCAAACTTAAAGCCTCATATTAATGATTAAAGTATGAACAAGAAAAAAAGCCTTCGAAGATCTCACAAACTTAGAATCCTTTAGAATATTCCCAAAAGTACTAGCAATATTTTTTGTATATCTATAAAAAAGTTCCTCTTATTTGACATTTTTTATCAATCCAAAATAACATTGGGAGAGAGAGAAATTGGCAGAGAAATATGTGAATTAATAATGATAAGAATGAATGATCAAAGAAAGTAATTTTCTAAAAACTCCTCGAGATTGGCAAAATAAGTTGCTGCAAATGGCGTTTGGAATATTCATTCCCTTTTGCCAATGATTCTCTGTTCTGATAAGGTGGGTAAGGTGGCAATCGCAAATGCCCAGTCGGCAATAAATGACTAATGAGCACTTGCTTGGTCGCAATTAATTCTAAAACGTGCGACTGCGCCGCTCTCGGTTCGATTTGAATATTGCCGCTCTGCGTGGCTGAGGCTGAGGCTGATAAGGAACCATTGCAGCAGCAGCAGCAACACCACCAGCAACACCAGCAGTCACCTTTACTTTATCGGATCTACGAGTATACACTCGTATGCATTGGTCGTATGATTTGCTGATTTGGCGTGCTCCACCTTAGAGATGGTGGGGGACTCCACTCCGTGTTGTGTTGCCATGTTGTCCGCTCTGGGAACTGCCTGTTGAGATAGTCGAAAATTCGTCCAGCTCTTGCCCGCGTGCACTGCACTGCAGATAGGGGAGGTGGAAGTGGAAGCGGACGACATTGCCTCGATAAGCACAGATACGATCTCAATTCTGATCGAATTTTTCCTATACGTATAGACGTAATTTCTATGTCATTGAGGCGCGTGCCCAGACTGCTGTTGGAGCATAATAATGGGTCCAAAGATTTCCGAGAGTCGTAGGAAAATACATACATATATGTATGTATAATGAAATACTTTGTTCGATGGTCTAATCTCAAGCTCATATACCTAAAGGTTTTATTCCATACATTTTTTTGATTCGAAAGAATGCTTGCCGGAATATAAGATTATTATTGACATTTTTTGGTAGACCTACATACATATGTACATATGTATTTGTTTGGTAGACTCCGAAGAAAAAATGTATTTCTTGCCCTCACTCTAATTTTCGTTCTATAATAATATCACAAAAAAAATAATCAAAAACTGTGATCCATAATACGTATTACTCGATTTTTTTTGGTACCAAATGTTTTGATTTAATAAGAGCTGAGAGCTTAACTGCTTCGTAGAACCTGCTTTAATATCAATGACCATCACTGACCACCTTAAAAAAGGACTTATGTGGGTTTAAATTGAAAGAACTCTCACATCAGTTTATATAACACTTCTTTTTTTATAAATTTTGGGAGTACTGTACTCTTTAACTAAAATATATTTTTAGCTCATTTTTAGTGGAGTTAGCATTTTGCCTTTTCAGATTTTGTAGTATGAAAGAATACGACTTTAACAATAAGATAACCATGCAATTTCCTCAAAACGGCTGCTTCAACTTATCACGAAAATAACTACAAAATCGAATCTTTTTTGTACAAAATTTGTAAGCCAACAATTATATTTCTTTAAAGGTTTTCTAGAGAAAAGTTGAACCTTGGTGCTTAATATTGATGGACATTAAGTTCTTAACTTTGAGATTGATTAGGTCTTTTAAAAAGAGACGTAACATATTCCCAACACTCTTTTTTTTTCTGCAAAGTCATTCGAATTGTGTTCCGCAATGCTTATCGGCGGATTATCTGTATTTTTAGACACATGATATTTGCTTTCACTCTCCTCCAGAGTTCATTTTCATGGTGTCCTTTGTGCTTTAAGTCCTAGCTGTATTCCATATACTGAATGTTCTCCATTTACGAATTATTCATACGATGACAACAAAAATTAGATCGACAGTCTGAACACGCCACTTTCCATTGTCTTTGCACTTGACTCACATTTCTTATATCACTTTAGTGGAACGATCGAATCGGATCGGATTGGATCGGATCGGATGGGCGAGTCTTGTGGATTGGTTGGATAATCGAATAGACTTCAGCACTGCACACTGTCACTCCAAATCGAAGCACTTCTTATAGCTCTTTTATCACTTTTGTTTGCACTTTGGTGTCGCGTATCCTTTGGGTGCTCAGTTTTGATGGGCAAAAAAAGGATCAACGGGAGGATATATGGGTTGGCTTGAGTTGTGTTGGATGAGTGTGTGTGTGTGTGTGGGTTGTGTATATCCTTTTGGTGTGCACGTATTGCTCCGACTTGTTCCGCAGACAGACTGAACTAGGGCTGCAGTTGCTTTATTCTTTATATGCATTCGGTTTGCGGGGAGTAGGAGGATCGGCGGCCGGTGGTGGCCATCAAATGGCGCATACGTAATTGCCCATATCAATACCAAATACTAAGCATACCCGATTTCATAATGACTGCGCCAGAATCGCCTTCGCCACGAACCACCACCAACAGCCACCAACCAATCGCCAGCACCCCTGAATAATTCATTTTCATGCAAAAATGTTTTCCCTCTTCCAGTGCCTCTAACTCCGACACAAAATCAAAAAGAAATTGCGACGCTGACCAGGACAGGTGTATCTGTGTATCTGTATCCGTGAGTGAGTGCCCATGGCCTGGTAATTAGTCTAAGTGTGTGCCATAGCAGCGGACATCGCTTAGTTAACCCACTTGTCGCATGTCGCCCCTCCGCCACGCCACGCCACGCCTAGCCTAGCCCCCTCCCCGCTCGGTTCAGTAGCACGATCATCCGGATCAGAAGCGACCTTTTTTGTTTTGTTTTTTATTGGAACAGACAGTCAGTACATCGATACCTAACGGCGTCGTTTGGGCTGAGCCTTTGGCTTTCGACACTGACGACTGCCGCTGCTGTAGTGGGCTACGCGGGGCGGCTTGGCTTTGGCTTTGGCTTTGGTTGCCTTTGCCTTTGCCTTTGCACGGGATTTGGTTCGCTGTTACGATCGAAAAAAGGTTAGTTTGAATCAACATCAACAACAGCCTTTTGTTAGTGCCTACCGTTTTCTTGACTGCCTTTCGTGCTGGTCTGCCCTTGCAGAGCATAGGAGTCAGCGGCCTCTTGTCCACGGCATTCGTTCTGCGAAAGCTGAAGGGCAAGCGTCGACTCTCCTCCCTCAGCGAGAGTATGCCCAGATTAATGCCCACCTGCATGGCAAATTCCACGGCTTTCTTGAGTGTACCGAATGGACGGATGTGCTGGGCCACCACAATGGGTTCGAGTGCTGTGCACAGATCCTCCACATCGGCGCCTATGAAAACGACAGAATTTATTCCCATTTCCCTCAATTTAGATTACTCACTGAGTGTGGGCTGGCGACTCAGCAAGTCTAAAATGTGAGGCAGCAGTGATCTTACGGGTTCCATTATAACTTTCTATAAATTGTTCACGTTAAATTTTAATATTTTGTGTATTGCTTGTAATATTTAAGAGCTGTTGCTTATTGTTTACTGATTTCTTTGATACGTAGAATGATATCACAAAGGCTTCTGAGGTTGAGAATATTCTACAATAAACTAGAATCCTAGACTGGACTGGCGGCTGATATGGCAATGTCCGAGTTTATTTGTTTAATTTCCCTTCACTCCACTTTTGCACTTAAAATACCAAATTAAATCAAATTAATTGTAGACACTGTATTGTATATAAATCGGCAGGCGGCCAGTCGATACGAGGAGTGCGTGTACGTGTACGTGTGTGTGTGTATGAATTATGTACGAGACCCGATTCCAATTAATCAAATGCGAATAATTTGCCAAAACAAAAGTTTGATCAAACCACAAGTTGATATTAGTTTTGCTTAAGAATGGATTGCATCATCAGCATTTAACAAATACATATACTATATTTAACTATATACAACGGTTTTTTCCAGCATAAAAAAAAACAATCAACGACTTCCTTGTGGCTACCCCAACAAATTCCAACGATTTCATTGCGTCAGAGGGCAAGAGTTGGCGTGGAAAAACACTAAACTAATCATAATTGTAAACACATTCTGCATACATACATATGTAATACTCGCACGAACGCCAATGACCCTACAAAGACGACAGAAATCAGAACAGTACAGGATGGGAGCAAGTACTCGCAAGTCTCTTTACACAAGCACAATTTCGGGTACATTTTAAATGAATCCAAATATATTCGAATGCAGATACCAAAATCCTTTCTTGTATCAGCACTCCCACATGATGATGTTACATGATATTCACATTTGGAATCAACTTCCGCCACACATGCAACAACTTTGCGACACTTCTTACAATTTCAAACGCCATTGAGGGCCCACCTAAAGTCATTTTAACAGTACTTAATATGAAAAAAATCTTAAATATAATCAAATATGAGAGATGTAAAAGGAAATAAAGTTGTAAATAAAATAGTATAAAATCGAAATTTAAAATTAAAATAAATAAATTACATAATACCAGAGGCTATTGCATTAATTAAAAGAAATACAAAATGAGTGGAATGGAAAATCAGCTCCATCGATTTCAACCATTAAATATTGGGCTGCTGAGTTTCAGAACGGGGGCGGACAAGCATTTTTGACGAGAACCATCAAATATGTGCCACTTACGTCTCGTAATTTATATTTAATTAACAACACAAATGCAGACGCTGTCCTGTCTGATAATTATGTATAATAAAAATAAAAAATAATCTTATCTAAAGCGGGTCTCTGGAGCAAACCATTAACTGGCTATTGAGTCTTCCTGTTCGTATCAATAGCCACGGGCCCGGTAACAAGCTGTGAGCGCTACTATTAATAAAACCAAAACAAAACAAAACAAAGACGCGTGCACAGTTCGCTTTCTTTGCCTTGGGCCGTCGGCTTCGAAGGATGATAGCGAAGCGACCATGATACGGTGTTAATGTTGTTGTTGTTGGTTTTTTTGTTTGGCCAAGCCTCGACCTTGGCGATAGCGGAACATACGGGAACAGCTCACATTTGGCGATGCGATGCTCTGGAACGTTGCTAACACATGAGAGCTATGTGATTAGCTCGGGCATGCCGCGTGCTTTGCCATTGCCCCGTCTCGCCTCTGTATGTGCTTTACAATGATTAGCTGATAATGAAATATATTTTTGGGGTATTGGCCGGTGGGACAGGTAGCCCGCCTAGGCAGCGGAAATTTACACATAACAGGGGCGTGTGCTGGCAAAAGCTCGGAAGTAATATGCTCTGCTCTCTGCTCCTCTCTCTCTAGCGGTGATACGCATGATAGTTGGCTGTGCCAAGGGTTGAATACATATACATAATAGCGACCAATTGCCCTTCAGCCTGAATGTGAATGATGAAGATCCGCAGACGATTAGACAGCCACTGTCAGAGGCTGTATGGCTTTTTCACGGTGAATTAAAGGTGATCCTTGTCGGTCGCTTATCTGTTAGATCTGCTATTACTTTATATAATATATAAGTATAAGTAATAATGATATACGTCAGTGGTTTGTTCGTTCGTTCGTTCGTGGCTCTGAAACGACTGTCGTTAAACCACGGGCAAGCGGCTGTGATGAACTTTGTTATTAGGTATGGGTGCTTGTGATACATCTGCGTCACCAGCGCAGCAGCGCACCAGCGACTGGTCAAAGTTTCACTGTTTGTCCGGGCACAATGTTTTAATTAACTAACAGAAAAAATGTTTAATGAAACAGCAATAACAATCAGTCAATCGCATGTTGCCACGCCTCAAAGCTTCACCACAATCTTGCCCCGCAAATGTCCGCACTTCATGCGCTCAAAGGCCTTTGGCATTTCCTCAAAGCCGAATGTGCTGTCAATTAGTGGCATCAACTGCAAGCATTCCAAAAGGATTACATTAGCCTTCGAATGGACCCACTGCGTAGGTTAGTCCTGTGTCACTCACCTTTCGCTGCCGCACCAGCTGCTCCAAGAATGCAATGCCATGCGGAGCAGGATTGAAGAAGCCCCACTTGACCAGTCCACCGCGCTGCGTGAGGGATTTCACATTGGTCTGCACCAAGTCCACCACATTCTTGATTGCACCCAGGCCTAGGCCCTGCTGATCAATGTTGGCCAGCAGTGGCGAGGAGAAGGTAATGTACTGCCGGTAATCAAATTTCAATTCCGCTGCATGCGCTCCCCCATGTCCGGCACAGTCCAAGACAATGTCGTAGGGCGCAAACTTGCACAGCTCGTCCATGGCCTCGCTGTTCTTGTAGTCCACAACGAAATCGGCGCCCAGGCAGCGCACCATTTCCACGGCATTCTCACTGCAGGTGGCGAGCACTTGAGCGCCCTGCGACTTGAGTATTTGTATGGCCAGGGTGCCAACACCACCGGAGCCGCCCAAGACCAGTATGCGCTTATGCGCGCCACCACCAGCCGCTGTGGTGGCACCACACGCACCACCCAGACCGCCAGTTATGTAGAGTCCCGACCAGGCGGTCAGACCCGCATACAGCACGCTGGCTGCCTCGCTATCGTCTAGCTGTTTGGGCGCCGGCGACAGCTAGAAACGAAAAGAAAGATGGTTTAAATGGATCTGTTAAGCACTTGACTACTTACACAGTACGATGGGACAGCCACATACTCAGCATGAGCACCAGGACTGGCCTGCACCGGCACCACGCCCCATACACGCGCTCCCAGCTTGAGTGCATCGGATGTCACGCCCATGCCCTTCTGCACCAGTTCGCCACAGAATTCGCGGCCCAATGTGAGCGGAAACTCGATGCCATCGCCCGGCTGGCAGCGTAGTTTGTTCAGCACTGTGGCTCCATAGCCACGGAGCATGGCAAGATCGATGGGATTCACAGCCGTCGTCCGCAAACGCACCAGGCATTCATTGGATCTCCGTATCTGGGGTATCTTGAGTTTGTCGGACAGCAGCAGCTCATCGATATCGCCGTAGCTGTGCAGCTGCCATCCACGCATCTTCTCGAGGGATTTCGTTGGCGTCGCTGGCGGCAAATGTTCTCCTTTTGTCCTGTTGCCGGTGGCAGTTACGTTTGCACTGGCGGCGTACTGTCGCCTGGCATGCAGGACGCATTGCCGCAGCCAGAGGACGCCATTACATCCAGTAGACTGCATATTGACAGCAATTGCCAGGAGCTAAGAATAAAATTAACTAATTCCTTGCAAAATTAAATAAATTCCGCTGGTTTGTAATAACAATAGTATACCGTTTCCGAAAAATACCAGTTTTTGCGTGTTTTGGTATTTTAGTTTTTCCGAATTGAGTACGGCAGCGCTATTTTCAGCCGCAGCAAAATATCGATAGTTGGAACGATAGATTGCGGAAACAACCTCTTATTTTGAAACAAGGCCTATGTTCTTTACTATATATCCTTAAAAATGATATATAAAAGATTGGTGAAGTTGATTAAATGTACCGTTATACCGAAAGTATTCCTTGAACTTGAATTCAAATCTATCAAATCTCAAAAAAGTAATCTCAGTAATCCATGCCGAATGGAAACGCAGTTGTCGAATTCCGCTTCGTGTGAGAATACTGAAAAATAGTCAGTGTGTTGTGGAGTCCAACACATACACATCAACAAAGTTTTTGTTGAGTAGTTATAAGCAAAAAGTGTAAATATTTTTAGTTATGTTTAAGTAAAAAGTGGATTTTTTTTAAAACACTCGAAATCGTAAGCCCAAATTATTGTTTTTGTTTTTATTTAAATAATTTTCTTTTCCAAAATTGTTCTTTTTGTTTAGCGCCCGTTCCTACCATAGCAGAGCCTCTTTTATTCCCTCTTGGGGGCATCTTTCAATGATGCCCTTGAGAGATCCGAGAAGTTGTAGGTGAGATGATCCAGGGTTTGCGAGGACCACACAGGATATACAGTCAAAGGTGCAGCAGCCAAATACGCCGCCACATATGCCGCCACATATGCCGCCACATACTAAAAACACAGGTAATTAATTGTTTGATTTTAATTGGCTTACCTCGGCGAACCGCGATAAAATATGCTTTTCATTGTGAAATTTACACAAAGTTTTCTGCAATTTATATTTCAGGATACATGGACACGATTTTGATTTGAAGTGTGGAGTGGAGAGCGTGGACACTAACCATACAGTATACTGTATGGTTAGTGGCGTGGAGTAGGCCTACTGGGGATACCACGTTAAAAAAAACGCGCCTAGAACTTTACCAAACACTGGTGGTGTGGAAAAGAGTTATTTGCACAAACTTTAACTTATTCGAATAAATGAAGAATTAAATTACATATTTGTAAAGCAGAACGAGTTACTTATTGCTTCATAATAAATCGTGAACTTTCTGGTGTACCGAAGGACCAATAACATACATATTTAAGAATTATTTTTATTATTTTTTATTTTATATATTTATTGAGAAATGAATCTCAGCTATTACATTGGCTAGTAAAGAAGAGTCTACTTAGTTTTTGTAGGAAAAGTACAAATTTGAAATAATACACCATTCAATGTTCCAATTAGTGAAATGGAAATGAAACGATCTCCGCATCATACCAGCGAGGAGATGCTCCTGCCTCCACTACACCATACAAAGAGAACTAGAACCAATCAAAAATATGTAAGTAAATGTAAGTAAAGCTGAACTTTATGTCTCCAGGCGTACATTTTAGGGAAACCTGTGATTCGCCAAATACGATGAGTTCTACATCGAAATTTTCATCATCGTCGTTTCATGTCGTTTGAAAAGCAGAGTGAAAGATATGGCAGGAAGTTGAAATCGCTCTTACCAAGGTTACCGGCCAAACAATCTACAAATTTATTGTTGAAGAATCCTGGAAGGTCTGAGCCTACCTCAGCCTGAGTTAAGTCCTCACATGGTTATAATGATATGTTGTTCTGTTGATGGCCGTATTCTCATAACTAATTTTGTTTTTTAAATAATTATTGTAAGCTTTGACTGTTATTTTTGAGGACATACTATTCATATGAGAGAGCTAAATCTTGCTAAATCAAAATGCAATGGAACAAATATTTCCATAAACTATTTATGATACTGTTTTGGGTTTTCTTTAAATAACATTTTCCATTAAGAAAGATCAGTAGTTCAAGAACAGTATGATGCAGCATAATTAATGTTTGCCTTGAACTCAGATTTTCATACGGAATTATAGAAATGCGTGGAAGTTAAATATTTATTTCATTTAGCTATAGATGTTAACATCATACTGCATGATCACTTTGGACGAACCATCATCTGCATTGCTCTGTGTGAATAATCACCTCGAAAAGTCTCCCACATCATTCCCTTCCACTTCATCCCAGGCATATTACCCCTCATATACAGGCCGAAAAGTGCACTGAAATTATGAGAATAGAATAAAATCAATGCAATACAAAATGTTCATAAGGTAAAAATTTACATATGTATATGTACATACCTATCGCCACAACTATTGTGCCACCAGGCACTCATGCGGTCATGTGCACAATTACCTTTCTTCCACTGATCGTTGTCCCAGTCGTAGGCTGTAAATTTCTGGGCCCTGCATTTATACATCGAATCACCCGCATCCCCAGTGGAGGAGCCCAACTTTGACATTCGAAATGCGTCATTTTCACTTTCGATGTGGAATTCGTTATATTTGGTATATCTCTGGTTTCCTTCGAAATCCTCCAGGTGAACGTATAGCTCTTGGGTCTGTGATTTCGTTATGGCGTGCAGCTTTTCCAATCCTATGAAGAATTCGCCCCTGATGTCCCCGAATCCCCTCCTGAACTCATCCCACCTGCGATAGAAATTTAGCTCTCCATTTGTTCGACGGGCGATCACAGTCCAGCCAGGCCCAGCAATCTTTGCATCACAGAAAACTTCAAACGGTTCTAGGTTCCCTACCGTTATGTTATGTATACCATTAATAGCCGTATCAATAGGACATTGGCTATTTGGATTCTGAATCGCCAATCCTCGAATGTCACTACTGTCCGTTCCGTTTACGACACTCTGAAAGTAGGTTTTTCTTTGCTGTTTACGAATTAAAATCTTTTGAATATACTCGAAACCTTACCACTTCTGCTGCAAATCCTGTGCTTTTGAAAAGAAAAAACACAAGCAACCAGGAGATCCAACCAATAGACTGCATTGTTACCCGCTGATGACTGACTACCGAGTGTCATTGAATTGCGTCTTTTTATATCTCTTCCAATTTGGATTTATCTAATCGCACTATTCGCATTATTTGTTAACACTTTTCCAATTTTCTACGTCTTAAAGAATCAAACAAATTTAACACACTAAGTGTAACTGATTATATTCGAATATACTCGTACTTATACATATGTATGTATGTAAGGGTAGATAATGTCACAGTTTACAACATGGTTAAGTTGGGAGTGCTAGTCATTATGGTAAATATATAATACCAGAGCACCTGGTGACCAAAGGTAAAGGCTGTTCCGTAACAGTCAGAAAGAAGTGTTTCAGACTCCATAAATTATTTCAATTTACTGCTTCAAAAGCTTTCCCAAGGAACCAAACCCACTTTTTCTAATAGATTTGGGGCTTTGAAATTGTTTGATGATCATTTTTCTTTCTACGGCAGAACTAGTTTTTAAAGAATTTATTTTATTTTAGTTTATTAATTAGGCGTCGTTTAAGGTACAGAAATTCATTAAAATCTATGGAGAAACGGTAAAGCTAAAATTGGTACCAACCCTCACAAAAAAGAGGCATGATGATGGAATCACAGTATTATTTTCCGCTGCTGTTTAATTTGAGGTGGGTTAGGTGGGTTAAGTGCGTAGTATATTTTGAAATGAGACGGTATATTTTGGTATATTTCCGAGGGTAAGACGGTATATTATCAATAAATCGGCGGTCACACTCATATCCATTTAATTAAAAACAAATCAAATTAAAGCTGTCAAACGATTGATAGTTGGAAAAAAGAATCGATACTATCGTGATAGTATCGGGCTCAAATAACACTACTCGACAAAATCGAACTTTTTTTTTCCTCAAGGATCCAAACCGACTTTTTCTGATAGAAATGAGGATTTACAATTTTTTAAAGAATTATGGTTTTTTTTCTATGGCAGAACTTTTTTTTTAAGAATTTTTGAAGTCTGGTATTTTTTTTTAACTTTTTTCAAAGGTAGCGCTTGTTTTTTTCACATAGCTCTAGAATCTTACGTCTGGTTGTAAAGAACTTTGCTATTTTGAAAAGATAATTAAAACAGCTAGAAGTTAAGCCCAAACACTTTGTGATTACCGTCTGGGAAATATAAAGCATTGAAATGCAAAAATGATGATTTTTGTGCGGTATTTTTTACGAAATTTTGACTTTAAAAACTCAGGAAGGTGCATTATAGGTATAGGCATTATATTGTATAGGTGCATTAATTTGGCGTCGTTCAAGGTATCGCTCATTAAAATCTATGGAGAGACTTTGGAGCTAAAATTCGTTAACTAAACCTAAAATATGGAGAAAATGAACAAAAAATACCTTTTGGAAGGTTGCGAGCCCATTGGCAGTTGGGCCCGCAACCATCAAAAAGGTATTTTTTGTTCATTTTTTTCATTTTTTAGCTTCTAGCTGTTTAAATTATCTTTTCAAAATAGCAAAGATACTAGAGCTATGTGAAAAAAACAAGCGCTACCTCTGAAAAAAGCTTAAAAAAAATACCAGTTTTCAAAAATTCTTCAAGAAAAAGTTCTGCCATAGAAAAAAAAAAAATATTATCAAACCATTTCTAAGCCCCAAATCTTTAAGAAAAAGTTCGTTTTGTTCCTTGAGGAAAAATCGTGTTGACTAGTGTAATTATTAATTATTTTTTTGTTGATATTTACTGGTTACTAACCTGATTAAATAGAGCGGGGTTAAGCTAGTTTTTTCTCGGTTTCTGAGTTTTCTGAGGTTCCAGTCACACACGACAAAACAAATCAAGTGAACTATTTATTTTTCCATATGTATACATTTGAAAATGACCGCCAAACACATTTGGCGCACAAAAAATACTGACATTTTTATACCCGTAATCAAAAAAGAGTTAAGGGGTATATTAGATTTGTGGTAAAAGTGGATGTGTGCAACGCAGAGAAGGAAACGTTTCCGACCCCATAAAGTATATATATTCTTGATCAGCATCAATAGCCGAGTCTATATAGCCATGTCCGTCTGTCCGTCCGTCTGTCCGTCTGTCCGTCTTGATGAGCGCCTGGATCTCAGAGACTATAAGAGCTAGAGAAACCAAATTTGGTTTCCAGACTCATGTGATATCACACTGCTACAAGTGTATTTCAAAATTTCGCCCCGCCCCCTTCCGCCCACACAAAGGACGAAAATCTGTGGCAGGCACAGTTTTAAAGATACGATAAAACTAAAAAAGCAGTATCGTAGAAAATGCCCATATCTACCAGATTGCCGAATCTGAATCAGATCGGATCATAATTATAGCCAGAATGAAGAAATTAATTTTCAGTTGCTTCCCCTCCCCCTCCCGCCGACGAAAACGCATCTCATTTTCCTTCTCGCTCGCACATTCTGCCGCGTTCAGTGCGCGAGCAACCCCTAGCGGAGGAGATGTAGAATCTAATTGGAACATGTAAAATCTACATGTTAGATGTATAATATACATTGTATATGTAGATGTAGATATCATATGTAGCAAAAAAATGTAAAATGTAAAATTTTTTTTTTTCTAAAATTCTTAAAAATCATAAGCTCAAAAATGTATATACTGACTGAGTACGGGTATAAGTAGAGTCGCGTCCCCAGAAGCGACTCACACGTTCCTTCTCGTTCGCTCTCAATTCGTGTTGGGTTTTCAAAATTTGCTTTCTTTCCCGAGGTGAAGAGAGCGTTTTTGTGGTGACTTTCCATTCCTTTTCGTGGTATGAGAAACATGTATCTTACGGGAACGTTCCCATAAGATACATTTGATTTGTATGGGAAAAATTTCACCAACATCTGGAAATGAATAGGCAGCATTGTTCTGCAACTTTGGCACGGAATGAGCAACAATCTGCATACCTTGGGAAAATGGATATTATGGAATTAAGATATTGTTTGTAATTTCAGGCTCCAATTAATGCAGAAACTACTCAGTCTCCGTTTTAAAGATATAAATGAAATTTTGCAACTCACGGGTTCCAATAATAGGTATCAGGACCGGGATAAATGTATGCATTTATAGGTAAAAAACATGTCAATCTAGGATAAAATCATAAATAATGTTTTAATGGAGCTTGGAACAAAACATTTAACACCAATTAAAAGAAATAAGGTATACAAAGGTCCAGCTGTTCAAAAATAGTCCAATAAAAAAAAATACAACAAAAAGCAACTAATCAGAATCCAAACTCAACTGCAATATGGACTTTATTGAGCAGGAAGTGAGTGATTTTCGATCTAGCTGTGAAAAGGAAGTGCCGCACAGCAGAATCATAATTTGTTCCAGCTCCCTAATTAGGGTTGACATCTATCCTGAACGTCCCAATCGCTTGATGACCGTATGCTTGCGTTTTCCTGAGGATTATCCGAAGATTACACCCATTCTAGTTGAGTTGAAGAGTCAAGCGTACTCGGAAAGGCTTCTCTCCGAGTTGACCCGCCTAATTGATGACCATGCTCGGGAGTTCTTGGGCAAGCCGCAGGCTTTACTGGTCCTGGCATTTGTCCAGCAATACCTATCGGACAATCCCTTGTGCGTGTGCTTGGACGAGATAAAGCAACTGAGAGTGGACATCAAGACGCGAGTGGTCTGCCCCGAGCTAACCGGTGGAGAGTCTGCTCACGTGGAGAGTCAGCTAAAGTTGCGACAGAAGAACAACAGCGTTGAGTTGATAGCCAGAGGCGGAAGATTTACATACAGAGTGACGGCAGTCGTGCCCGACATCTATCCCGCCCAATGTGTGGAGCTGAAAGGGCAGGAATCCAATTTGCCGGCAGTTCTGGTGCGCTACCTCAACGGACAGTCCAGGGAGATTGCCCGACAGTGTGTGGAACCGCCTCACCGCCTCAGCAAAGATGAGCTGGCCAACTTTCGGCCAGCGAAAAGCCTTTATCGTTCACTGAAGTTCTGCCTGGAGGCTACCCGGGATTTCCACGTCGAACGTTGCCCCATTTGTGATAAAACTGTTTTGCCCAACAATCCGACGGATGTGGAGCTGGAGGAGAACGCCGATGCCTACATCGAACGTGTCTACTGTGGTCACCTGTTTCACCAGGGCTGCCTTAAACAATACCTTGCCGAACCACCATTTCCCCGAGGTGGCAAACTCTGTCCCGCCAAGCGACGCCACCCGAGATCTGATGCCCAAACCTACATGGGCAGCAGGGCAGGATCAGCATCAGTTCAGGGCGTAGTAGCGTCAGCCAGCTCGAAGCCTTTGGATAATGCTGTGTGTGGCATTAAGTTGGCACACGATCGTTGGGTGGTTAGTGTGAAAACGGCCGAGGCACGCTGGGCCCAGAAGCAGGCACGCCAGCGTGAGCTGGAGGAGGTGGTGGATTTTCTACAATAAACAAGGAAGGGATCAAATCAGATCAGATCACATAGAGTGCATTGTTAAATTTGTATAGCTATTGTATTTTGTGATGTCTTATCGAATACGCTTATATTACTAAAGATGGAATAAATAAAATGATGATGAAGTGCGACTAGGTTGGTTTTTGTTTTGTTTTGGAAATTATAAACCTTGTTTATAGGATGCCGAAGAAGTCAAAGGGTTTGTGTAAACTCAGATAACCGAAAATGTGCGTTAATCTGGAAGCCCTTCGAGTTCAGGCTTAGCATTTAGCTAAAGTTTAGAAATCTGTGATAATTTCATCATCCTCGTACCGCTTGATGGGATCTCCCTTGATCAGCGATGAAATAAGACTATGGATAGAGAGTGAGATAAACCAATTTGACAACTGTTATAAAGGATATTCAAATGCTTGCTTACCAATATAAACCGACAAAGAACATAACAAAGTAGTAGCCTAAATAGATCATGCAGTTCCTTAAATGCACCTTTAACAATCCACGACTATGTATATCCACCGGATCGTAGACGCCTAAGCTGTCCCGCCGCTGACGATGCAGCTCATAATATAGCCAAAGGACCATGGGCAGATTGAGCAAAAACATTATCCAGTGTCCGCCCAGCAAGAGGAGGCCGCATAGCAACGCGTGAGAGCCAAATTTTGGTATTACCCAAAAGTTGAGCCGCCGACAACACTCCTGGGCGTTCAAATAGTCGCACTCCAGGTCAGCCAATGTCAGAACCTTTATGAGATTGTTTGTTATTAAATTTTCCATATATGTACATATACAAATCAAATTTAACTCACATAATAAATTAACAGCAGAAGTATGGCCCCATAGACCAGCAGGGTGATGCAGAAGATGGCTGTTTCGGGCAGAAACATAATTGCACTAGAGATTCACTTTTTTACTTACAAATAACGTTTCTTAACTATTTCAGCATTTTTTTGCCCAACTTTGACATTCGATATAGATCATATTCACTTTCGATGTAGAACTCATAGTATTTGGCGAATCGCGGGTTTCCCTCAAAGTCCTCTAGGTGTACATAAAGTTCGTGGTTTTGTGATTTCGTTATGCCATGCAGCCTATCCAATCCTATGAAGAAGTCGCCCTTGATGTTCCCAAATCCAGTCTTGTACTCCCCCCAGTTCCGGAAGAAATTAAGCTCTCCATTTGTTCGTCGGGCTATCACAGGCCAGCCAGGACCCGCAATTGTTGCATCGCAGGAAACTTCAAGGGGTTCCAGGTTCTCTAAAATTATGGTATGTATTCCGTTTGCACTCGGATGAAGGGGACACTGGCTATTAGGATTCTGAAAATTCAACCATTAAACATCCCAACGTTCTTCGTTCCGTTTACGACACTCTGAAAGTAGGTTTTTTGCCATTTACGAATAATAATCGTATGAATAAGCTCGAAACTTTACCACTGATGCTGTGGTAATATATCATATTTTTGATTGGTTCTAGTTCTCTTTCTATAGTGTAGTGGAGGCAGGATCTCCTCGCTGGTATGATGCGGAGATCGTTTCATTTCCATTTCACTAATTGGAACATTGAATGGTATATTATTTAAAATTTTTACTTTTCCTACAAAAACTAAGTAGACTCTTCTTTACTAGCCAATGTAATAGCTGAGATTCATTTCTCAATAAATATATAAAATAAGAAAAAATAATAAAAATAATTCTTAAATATGCATGTTATTGACCCTTCGGTACACAGAAAGTTCACGATTTATTATGAAGCAATAAGTAACTCGTTCTGCTTTACAAATATGTAATTTAATTCTTCGTTTATTCGAATAAGTTAAAGTTTGTGCAAATAACTCTTTTCCACACCACCAGTGTTTGGTAAAGTTCTAGGCGCGTTTTTTTTAACGTGGTATCCCCAGTAGGCCTACTCCACGCCACTAACCATACAGTATACTGTATGGTTAGTGTCCACGCTCTCCACTCCACACTTCAAATCAAAATCGTGTCCATGTATCCTGAAATATAAATTGCAGAAAACTTTGTGTAAATTTCACAATGAAAAGCATATTTTATCGCGGTTCGCCGAGGTAAGCCAATTAAAATCAAACAATTAATTACCTGTGTTTTTAGTATGTGGCGGCATATGTGGCGGCATATGTGGCGGCGTATTTGGCTGCTGCACCTTTGACTGTATATCCTGTGTGGTCCTCGCAAACCCTGGATCATCTCACCTACAACTTCTCGGATCTCTCAAGGGCATCATTGAAAGATGCCCCCAAGAGGGAATAAAAGAGGCTCTGCTACGGTAGGAACGGGCGGCTAAACAAAAAGAACAATTTTGGAAAAGAAAATTATTTAAATAAAAACAAAAACAATAATTTGGGCTTACGATTTCGAGTGTTTTAAAAAAAATCCACTTTTTACTTAAACATAACTAAAAATATTTACACTTTTTGCTTATAACTACTCAACAAAAACTTTGTTGATGTGTATGTGTTGGACTCCACAACACACTGACTATTTTTCAGTATTCTCACACGAAGCGGAATTCGACAACTGCGTTTCCATTCGGCATGGATTACTGAGATTACTTTTTTGTTGTAAATTGATTTGATATGCCACGATTTGTTAAGTTTGAATTCAAGTTCAAGGAATACTAAAGGTATAAGGTATAACGGTACATTTAATCAACTTCATCAATCTTTTATATGTCATTTTTAAAGGTATAAGAACCTAAAGTGAAGAGCATAGGCTCGTTTGAAAATAAGAGGTTGTTACCGCCAATACCGCCAATATTAAAGAAAGAGACGTTACAGTTTAAAATTATTTTATTTCTTCGTGGAACAATTTTACGTTGGCCGAACCATCATTTGCATTACTTTGTGGGAATCATATTCTCCAAAAGTCCCCCACCTCATTCCCTTCATTAACAATCCATCCCTTCTACCATCAATATACATGCCGAAAAGGTTACTGAAATGATGGAAATAAAATCAATCATTGCAATACAAAATTTTCATATTCATAGTACATACCTATCGCCACAATTATTGTGCCACCATGCACCCATGCGGTCATGTGCACAATTACCACCCGACCACAAATCGTTGTCCCTGTCGAAGGTCGTAAATCGCTGGTTGATGTGTTTAAAGTTCAGCGAATCACCCGCATCACCAGTGAAGGCGCCCAACCTTGACATTCGATATAAGTCATTTTCACTTTCGATGTGGAATTCTTTATATTTGGTATATCTCTGGTTTCCTTCGAAATTCTCCAGGTGAACGTATAGCTCTTGGGTCTGTGATTTCGTTATGGCGTGCAGCTTATCCAATCCTATGAAGAATTCGCCACTGATGTCCCCGAATCCCCTCTTGAACTCATCCCACTTGCGATAGAAATTTAGCTCTCCATTTGTTCGACGGGCGATCACAGTCCAGCCAGGCCCAGCAATCTTTGCATCGCAGAAAACTTCAAACGGTTCTAGGTTCCCTACCGTTATGTTATGTATACCATTAATAGCCGTATCAATAGGACATTGGCTATTTGGAATCGCCAATCCTTGAATGTCACTATTGTCCGTTCCGTTTACGAAACTCTGCAAGTAGGTTATTTTTGCTCTTTACTAATTCAAATCTTATAAATATGATCTAAACTTTACCACTACTGCTGCAAATCCTGTGCTTTTGCATAGGAAAAAGACTAGCAGCCAATTGATCCACATTGACTGCATTATTAACCACTAAAAAAAGACTGAAGAGGAATAGCACTCTTCAGTAGCAGCTTTTTATACCATTTTCTAATCTTGATTTTTCTTATCGTCCCAATACATTTTGACTGATTTGAAAAATGCCATATCTTTTCCAAGAATATTGCGAATCCCGTCATATTTTTCTTTTAATGGCAGCAAGGCTGATAACACTAGTCAACACGATTTTTCCTCAAGGAACAAAACGAACTTTTTCTTAAAGATTTGGGGCTTAGAAATGGTTTGATGATATTTTTTTTTTTCCTATGGCAGAACTTTTTTTTGGAGAAGAATTTTTGAAAACTGGTATTTTTTTTTAAAGCTTTTTTACGAGGTAGCGCTTGTTTTCATTAAAAAGTGATGGAGGACTTTGGAGCTAAAATTCGTTAACTAAACCTAAAATATGGAAAAAATTAACAAAAAATACCTTTTGGAAGGTTGCGAGCCCATTGGCAGTTGGGAATTGGGATCGCGATCAGGTACCAAATGTACAACCCTTGTTCGTTTGCTTTGTTCCCAATTGGCAGTTGGGACCGCAACATTCCAAAAGGTATTTTTTGTTCATTTTTTTCATATTTTAGGTTTAGTTAACGAATTTTAGCTCCAAAGTCTCTCCATAGATTTTAATGAGCGATACCTTGAACGACGCCAAATTAATGCACCTATACACAAAAAAATAGAGGACACAGGATATAATTTTTTTTCTACTTTTCCTGAGTTTTTAAAGTCAAAATTTCGTAAAAAATACCGCACAAAAATCATCATTTTTGCATTTCAATGCTTTATATTTCCCAGACGGTAAGCTGTAATCACAAAGTGTTTGGGCTTAACTTCTAGCTGTTTTAATTATCTTTTCAAAATAGCAAAGTTCTTTACAACCAGACGTAAGATTCTAGAGCTATGTGAAAAAAACAAGCGCTACCTCTGAAAAAAGCATAAAAAAAAAATACCAGACTTCAAAAATTCTTAAAAAAAAAGTTCTGACATAGAAAAAAAACCATAATTCTTTAAAAAATTTTAAATCCCCATATCTATCAGAAAAAGTCGGTTTGGATCCTTGAGGAAAAAAAAAGTTCGATTTTGTCGAGTAGTGTAACGTTTATTATATTGCTAAACTATTCGCTTCATTTGTTCAACTCTGTTACTCAGTTCCTTCTAATAAACATCCCTTTATTCTGGCTTCATCTTACATATTTTTTCCCAATCAATCTTATCCTTTCCACATGAATAGTTTTAACTGCATCTATCCCCCCTTCATCGACTATAATGACCTCTTAATTAATTTAAAATCATGTAAATTTTCTTTTTCTACTGGCCCCGATATGGTTCCGAGTGCTGTTCTTAAACTTTGTGCATATTCTCTCTGTATGCCCCTAGCACCTATCTCTCGAGCTCGGCGATTTCCCACCGTCTGGAAAGAGTCATATATTATTCCCATTCATAAAAAGGTAGACACCGGATTTTCTAATTACCGTGGGATCTCCAACTTATCTGCCATTCCCGAACTCTTCGAAAAAATAATTACTTCCCAGCTCCAACACTTTTGTTGTTCCTTATTCTCTGAATCGCCGCACGGATTTGTGAATTGTCGGTCTTTTTCTTCTAACCTCCTGGAATTTTCCAATTTGAACTGAAGTTAAAAAAACAGGTCGAAACATGTTTAAGTAGAGGGGCGCTTAAGTGGGTTAAGCGCGTAGTATATTTTGAAAATGAGATGGTATATTTTGGTATATTTCCGAGAGTTAGACGGTATATTATCAATAAATCGGCGGTCACACTCATATGCATTTAATTAAAAACAAATCAAATTAAAGCTGTCAAACGATTGATAGTTGGAAAAAACAATCGATACTATCGTAATAGTATCGGGCTCAAATATTTATTAAAAAACCATTGAAACCTTTTAGGAACTAGTCCATTGTAAAAATTTGATGCCACCTGTCGATTTGTTTATAAATGTATCTTTGTATTTTATAGCAGCCAATCCAAAAATATCAAATGGGCAACGACTGTAGCTCGATACTATCATGATAGTCGCAAAACTGTCGATATTAGAGGCTATCAGTAAAATATCGATACTATCGATAGTGCCCTCGATGGTTTGACACCTCTAAATCAAAGGCAAAAAAATGCTGAAATAGTTAAGAAACGTTATTTGTAAGTAAAAAAGTGAATCTCTAGTGCAATTATGTTTCTGCCCGAAACAGCCATCTTCTGCATCACCCTGCTGGTCTATGGGGCCATACTTCTGCTGTTAATTTATTATGTGAGTTAAATTTGATTTGTATATGTACATATATGGAAAATTTAATAACAAACAATCTCATAAAGGTTCTGACATTGGCTGACCTGGAGTGCGACTATTTGAACGCCCAGGAGTGTTGTCGGCGGCTTAACTTTTGGGTAATACCAAAATTTGGCTCCCACGCGTTGCTATGCGGCCTCCTCTTGCTGGGCGGACACTGGATAATGTTTTTGCTCAATCTGCCCATGGTCCTTTGGCTATATTATGAGCTGCATCGTCAGCGGCGGGACAGCTTAGGCGTCTACGATCCGGTGGATATACATAGTCGTGGATTGTTAAAGGTGCATTTAAGGAACTGCATGATCTATTTAGGCTACTACTTTGTTATGTTCTTTGTCGGTTTATATTGGTAAGCAAGCATTTGAATATCCTTTATAACAGTTGTCAAATTGGTTTATCTCACTCTCTATCCATAGTCTTATTTCATCGCTGATCAAGGGAGATCCCATCAAGCGGTACGAGGATGATGAAATTATCACAGATTTCTAAACTTTAGCTAAATGCTAAGCCTGAACTCGAAGGGCTTCCAGATTAACGCACATTTTCGGTTATCTGAGTTTACACAAACCCTTTGACTTCTTCGGCATCCTATAAACAAGGTTTATAATTTCCAAAACAAAACAAAAACCAACCTAGTCGCACTTCATCATCATTTTATTTATTCCATCTTTAGTAATATAAGCGTATTCGATAAGACATCACAAAATACAATAGCTATACAAATTTAACAATGCACTCTATGTGATCTGATCTGATTTGATCCCTTCCTTGTTTATTGTAGAAAATCCACCACCTCCTCCAGCTCACGCTGGCGTGCCTGCTTCTGGGCCCAGCGTGCCTCGGCCGTTTTCACACTAACCACCCAACGATCGTGTGCCAACTTAATGCCACACACAGCATTATCCAAAGGCTTCGAGCTGGCTGACGCTACTACGCCCTGAACTGATGCTGATCCTGCCCTGCTGCCCATGTAGGTTTGGGCATCAGATCTCGGGTGGCGTCGCTTGGCGGGACAGAGTTTGCCACCTCGGGGAAATGGTGGTTCGGCAAGGTATTGTTTAAGGCAGCCCTGGTGAAACAGGTGACCACAGTAGACACGTTCGATGTAGGCATCGGCGTTCTCCTCCAGCTCCACATCCGTCGGATTGTTGGGCAAAACAGTTTTATCACAAATGGGGCAACGTTCGACGTGGAAATCCCGGGTAGCCTCCAGGCAGAACTTCAGTGAACGATAAAGGCTTTTCGCTGGCCGAAAGTTGGCCAGCTCATCTTTGCTGAGGCGGTGAGGCGGTTCCACACACTGTCGGGCAATCTCCCTGGACTGTCCGTTGAGGTAGCGCACCAGAACTGCCGGCAAATTGGATTCCTGCCCTTTCAGCTCCACACATTGGGCGGGATAGATGTCGGGCACGACTGCCGTCACTCTGTATGTAAATCTTCCGCCTCTGGCTATCAACTCAACGCTGTTGTTCTTCTGTCGCAACTTTAGCTGACTCTCCACGTGAGCAGACTCTCCACCGGTTAGCTCGGGGCAGACCACTCGCGTCTTGATGTCCACTCTCAGTTGCTTTATCTCGTCCAAGCACACGCACAAGGGATTGTCCGATAGGTATTGCTGGACAAATGCCAGGACCAGTAAAGCCTGCGGCTTGCCCAAGAACTCCCGAGCATGGTCATCAATTAGGCGGGTCAACTCGGAGAGAAGCCTTTCCGAGTACGCTCGACTCTTCAACTCAACTAGAATGGGTGTAATCTTCGGATAATCCTCAGGAAAACGCAAGCATACGGTCATCAAGCGATTGGGACGTTCAGGATAGATGTCAACCCTAATTAGGGAGCTGGAACAAATTATGATTCTGCTGTGCGGCACTTCCTTTTCACAGCTAGATCGAAAATCACTCACTTCCTGCTCAATAAAGTCCATATTGCAGTTGAGTTTGGATTCTGATTAGTTGCTTTTTGTTGTATTTTTTTTTATTGGACTATTTTTGAACAGCTGGAAGCCAGGGCTGCAAGCAGTGCGAAATATTAAGCACTGATTTGTAAAATAAAAACATAGCTATATAGCTATTGCTTACTTATTCTTCCGAAATAAGCTAAAAACATTAATTCCTAATAAAATTTTCAGGTAAATTTGTATAATTTAATTTCATAAATGAGTGCTTGTGTACGCGGCTTTGGGAACTTTGCAGCACTGCCCAGCTGACGCAAAAACCCAGCCACGTTGTGAAAACGCCGACAAAACTGAAACCGATTCGAAAACTAAATTAAAGCATAGCAAAGATATGGTGCTGGATTTGGATCTGTTTCGCAGCGACAAGGGCGGCAATCCCGATGCCGTGCGTGACAATCAGAAGCGACGCTTCAAAGATGTCGCCCTGGTGGAGACTGTAATTGCGAAGGACAGCGAGTGGCGTCAGTGCCGTCATCGGGCCGACAATCTGAACAAAGTGAAGAATGTCTGCAGCAAGGCGATTGGCGAGAAGATGAAGAAGAAGGAGCCAGTGGGTGCCATGAGCGAGGAGCTGCCAGCTGCGGTAACCGCAAGCCTATCTGACATTGTGGCCGAAACGCTGCAGCCGCTAACGGTCAATCAGATCAAGCAGCTGCGCGTGCTCATCGACAATGCCATGACGGAGAACCAAAAGTCCCTGGAGCTGGCGGAGCTGACCAGAAACACGTCCTTGCGGGAGGTTGGCAATCACCTGCACGAGTCGGTGCCCGTTTCCAACGATGAGGAGGAGAACCGCGTCGAGAGGACCTTTGGCGATTGCGAGAAGCGCGGCAAGTACTCGCATGTGGATCTCATTGCGATGATTGATGGCATGAACGCAGAGAAAGGATGTGTGGTATCTGGCGGACGCGGCTATTTCCTGACCGGTGCCGCTGTCTTCCTGGAGCAGGCTCTCATTCAACATGCCCTGCACTCGCTGTACGCCAAGGATTATGTGCCCCTGTACACGCCCTTCTTTATGCGCAAAGAGGTGATGCAAGAGGTGGCCCAACTGTCGCAGTTCGACGAGGAGCTCTACAAGGTGGTGGGCAAGGGAAGCGAGAAGGCGGAGGAGGTTGGCACAGACGAGAAGTACCTGATTGCCACCTCTGAGCAGCCCATTGCCGCCTATCATCGCGACGAATGGCTGCCCGAGGCCTCACTGCCCATCAAATATGCCGGCCTGTCCACGTGCTTTCGTCAGGAGGTGGGCTCCCATGGGCGCGACACACGCGGCATCTTCCGCGTGCATCAGTTCGAGAAGGTCGAACAGTTTGTGCTCACTTCCCCGCACGACAACAAATCCTGGGAGATGATGGACGAGATGATTGGCAATGCCGAGCAATTCTGTCAGTCCCTGGGCATTCCCTACCGCGTTGTGAACATTGTGTCCGGTGCCCTCAATCATGCCGCCGCCAAAAAGTTGGATCTGGAGGCCTGGTTTGGCGGCAGCGGTGCCTACAGAGAGCTCGTCTCCTGCTCAAATTGCCTGGACTACCAGGCGCGTCGCCTGCTGGTTCGCTTTGGCCAAACCAAAAAGATGAACGCCGCCGTGGACTACGTGCACATGTTGAATGCCACAATGTGCGCGGCCACACGGGTCATTTGCGCCATTCTGGAGACACATCAGACAGAGACGGGCATCAAGGTGCCGGAGCCACTCAAGAAATATATGCCGGCCAAGTTCCAGGATGAGATTCCATTCGTCAAGCCTGCACCCATCGATCTGGAGCTGGCTGCGGCCGAGAAACAAAAGGGCAAGAAGGACAAGAGCAAGAAGGATCCAGCTGCCGGTTAATCGGCTACCTTGCATCCCCGCCCCTCCTCTATGATTATTAACTGCTAAAAACTAAGCTTGCAAAGTCCTCAAAATCTTTTGTTATCCAACTATCTAACGACTTATCTACTATTTATGGCATTTATGTGAACACTTTTTTATAAATTAAATTGGAACAAGCTGTGCTTTGAATGCAAATTCAATTTGTTATTACTTAGCTAAAGGTTCGGACGATTGCTATGGATACGCAGCCCGCCGGCCGCTAGAATTTCCAGTTACCAAGGCAACGTTTTTTTTTTTTTTTAATTTGTTTACTCTGGCGTATCAGTTTCATATCACAATTCATATTGGAACTAAAGAAAACTGAAAATATATAGAGATTCATAAAAATGCTTCATGCAAAACGTCGCGAAAAGTCCAAGTCCAAGGACACACGCTGGGATCGCATACGCAAGCGTCATCTGAATGCGCATCCCTTGGGCCTAAAGACCGATGCAGTGCGTCGCTTCATCGAAGTGGATTACGTGGGCCAGCGGCAGGAGAAGCTGCTGATTGAGGGCGAACATGCCAAGCAATTGAATCCCAGTGTGATCATGGACATGCGCCATGAAATGGTGAGACGGATCGACCCTCACCCCCCCTTGTTCACTAATTGGGTTTGCTTTTTCAGTTTCAGAAAATTCCGCACAAGCTGCCGCTGGCTACCCTGGCCCATGGCAGCACACTGGCGTCCACCAAGGCGCACAACCTGGAGGTGGAGCAGCGCTATATCAACAATCAGTTGATAAAGTTTCGCCAGCAGCTGGCCAGGCAGCATCCCCAGAGGAGCAAGGACATTCGCGTGCCGCCCACCAAGCCGGACTTCAAGCTGAACAATGGACCTTTGATGCAGAGTTTGGCCCAGGCCGCACAGCACATTGATGATTTCTATAGCACGCCAGTGCAGGCCTTGGGCCAGGCGGCACAGATGTGCTCGAACACAAAGAGTGTGGCTACGGCAAGCCTGCTGCACGAGCTGGGCGCCGAACAGGAGGCGGATATGGATCACGAGTGGGTGGAGCAGGAGGCGCTGCTGGAAGAGCTCCCCGGCTTTAGGGCGGAGCAAGTGAAGCCGTTGTCCATGGACTCCCTGGAGTATCGCAATTTCGCCAAGCAGATTCAAGTCGATCAGAGCAAGGAGCTGCTGCTGCGCTGCCGCACACCCAGCCCTCTCACCTCCACTGAGGAGTTCTTCAAGCCCATGCGAGCTGCTGCCGAGCGTCAGATGCTGCACGTTCGCACCATACGCCACGAGGAAGAGTTGCAGGAGCAGCAGCAGTTGGAGCAGCAATTGGAGTTGGAGTTGCCGCCACAACTGCAGAGGGAGCCATCCAGCTGCTCGAACACAAGCGATGGCATTGACTCGGTCATATCCGATCTGGCAGAGGAGGCATTGTACGAACTGCAAATGGAAGCGGCAGAAGAGCAAAAAGAAAAGGAAAAGGATTTGCCCGCAGCCACAAAGCATGTACAGTTTCCAATTGCCGTCACCACAAGTTCCCAGCCAAACTGTGGAGGAATCTGAACCCGAAATGGAGCCAGAACCATTGCTCATTCGCCGCATAGAGCTGCCCAAAGTGGTGGTCAAGCCGAAGGAACCAGAGCCCACGCAAGAGCTGTCCAGTGCCAGTGATGATGAAAGCGATCTGGCCACGAGCCACGAGAAGCAGAAGATCATCGAGCAACTGTTCCAGGCCAGAGCCAACACACAGATCGGGCTGATGCGCAAATACTTCCTCAAGTGGATACACTATACCACCCTGGAGAAGATCGAGCGGGAGCAGGGACACGCCAGCCAAACGCACGATAATCGCGTGCAAAAGATCAACGCCTTTCTGGACAAGGTGCGGATGGAGAAGAAGCGCATACGCACGGCCCAGCAGGCGGACACAGCCAGCGAGGTGAACAAGGTCACACAGCAGTCGCTGGAACAGCGCCAGGAGGCTGTCAAGATGGCCAAGCAGTTCAAGAATAAGTAAAACCATAAAACCTTCTCGTATTGCACTCCACTTATTTCACTTGTTGCCCCACAGATTAAAGGTGCAGCAGGACATCATTGACCTGCAGAGGATCAAGCTGGAGCGCCAGGAGCGTCTCATTATGCAGCTGAAGCTAAGCAAACTCAGCGACGAGGCCAAAGAGGCGCGCGAGGATCTGAAGCAGGAGCTGAAGACAGTCATACGATGCGGCGATCCCAAGGCAAAGGCCAAGGCCAAGTGTCTCCAGTTGATTGGCAGCCTACGGGATGCCGATGATGAAGCCATGGCCAGACTGCAAGGCAAGGCATTGCTGCAGCCCCGCTTCCTGCAGCACATGCAGGAACGTGCCGTGGAGAGGAGTGTGCGACATGAGCAGGCACGCCAGCGTCGTGCTCAGGCCGAGGCCGAGCGAGAGGCCACCAAGCATGCCTTAGAGGAGGCCAAGGTGCGATGGCACATCTTTAATATTTACAAAGTGTTTCTATATCCATCTGTACATTGCAGCGCCAAGAGGACGAAGAGGCCAAGCGTCTGAGAATCGAGGTTCTAAAGGAGAAACGCCGTCAAGAGAAAATGGCCAAAGTGCTGAAGGAGCGCGAGCGTCAGCGTTTCATTGAGAACCAACGAAAGGCCGCCGAGTTCAGTCGCGGCCTGCTGCTGCGCCGCGTGGGCATGGAGGCCTTTAAGCGTTTGCTGCAACGCAAGCGAGATAATCTGGTCAAGTCTGAGGAATTCCGACGCAAGCTGTACAAGAAGAATGCCTTTCGGTTCTGGCGCGAGTACACGGCATTCAGGCAGCGCGAGAAGCTGGTGCGGGCCGAACAGTGCTGGCGGCGCATACTCAAGAGACGCGCCCTCAATGAGTGGATGGCGTATGTGCAGAATGAACGAAGCAAAATGCTGGTGGCCATCGATTGGCATGCTCTGCGTACCACCGAACATTGGTTTGAGCGATGGTTTAGGTACACGACCCACTGTCGCATGGCGGAGGATACCAAGATGAAGCAGGCCATCTCCCATCACGAGTGGTAGGTTCAAACTGAGCTTAAAGGTTCATGCGGATTGTGTGTCATATTTTGTTCTGTTTCCTCTTGCCAGGCACCTGAAATGGAAGGTCTTGGACTGCTGGCAGCGTCTGCCGCAAATATTGAAAATAGAAAAGGAAACGGAGGAGCGACGCCAGCGTTGGCGCATGAAAATCTGGGAGCTATTGCCAGACTACAAGCCGCGAGAGGATAGCTTGTGGTAGTTTCACGTTACTTAATTTTATTTATTTTGAATAGTTTTGGATATTGCATTTAAGTTCCTTAAAAGCGCTACGACACTACAACTACCAAGAGAACACTGAGAGAGAGGGAGAGTGTTGTGTGTATGGAAATACTATAGTATTTGGGCGATAAGTTTTGTGCTGTTTCGATTGAGTATTTGGTATTTGAATCACTGTAAAATGGCACGCCAATTGCTCCAGATGCGATTGCGAACGACTGCTGCAGCATTGGCTGCGCGTTTATATTCGTGCAGAGTGGTATCGTTCCACCACAAGAATGCCTGGCGTGCCAGCAGGAAGCTTATGTAGTTTGAAATGAGCAGGCTATAACAGGCCACCACAAAGGATATTCCCAATCTGTAGAAAACGAGAAATAGTCATTGTCCAGACTCCCAATGGGATTTTGTACTCACTCGAAACTCTCAAAGACTTCGCTGCAATCGTCCGGCAGCAGCAAGGCATAGCCGAAAGGACGCAACAACAGAAAAGGATGGCATATCGAAGTTAGAGTCAAATTAGCGCCCAATATCAATGCGACGAGGGATGTGAATAGCCCTGCTATATACCACGACTGGTTGCGTTCGCCGATGCAGCAATTGAGCCAGTAGCTGTGATGGGAACGCCGCTTGACACACGTGCCGCACACCTGGCAATGGTAGGCCCGTCTGGGCGTCACCTTTCGACAGCTCTCACAGATGTTCGGCTGGCCATGCATCAGACCCGCACGCTCCGCTGTGTCTATGTCCACGACCTCCTCATCGTTCAGATCCAGCACGCTGTCCATCTGGAGTGTGGTCTGTGCCTCGGCCTGCTCTTCGCCGCTCGAGGCCTCGGCGATGCCGGGTAGCTCGTCCTTGGGTGTGGTGCCATACTGAGCCGAAACTAGATTGAGTGGAGCCAGGCGGTGCGTGCGATATAAGCAATAGATGCCCGCACAGGTGAAAAACATTAGGAAATAGTTCTCCTCCGGCACAAGCTCCAGCAGTGGCACCTGACACTCAAATATGACAATCATGTAGAACACGGAGAACACCGTCCAGCTGAGAAAGAAATTGGTCCGTGTGGCCGTCTTCTTGGCCAGCTGAAGACCCCAAATGGAGAAGCCCACCATGGTCAGCATGAGAACAATAGCCGTTTTGGAGTTCAAGGTGGCCAGGCCCAGCATGAGTGGGATTATGAAGGCTGGCGCAATAGCGGCCGGCGATATCCGCTTGGCCCCACCCCGCCATGGCAGACGTAGGCGGTCTTGGAAAGCAATCAGCATGCCGTCTATATTGCGTCGATCAATGCGCCTGCACGTGACGAGTCTACACAGGCAATAAAAATATATTTTGTAATGATTTTCAATGTATTCCAAAAGGTTTCGTCCGCATACCGTGTGCATACCAAGTCAAAGTCGTCGCAATTACAACAGCATCCCAGCAGATGGGACTTCTGGTTGTTGGCTTGATCAATATATTCGCAACAGCAAAGTGTCCTCTTGGGCTGGGATTCGTCAGACTCTGCTTTCCTAGCCGCTGCAATGAAATCGGCGGTGGCAGACATGACGAACATCGATTAGGCGAGACCCGACCGGATTGAACGTGAAGAATGGCAGCGTCCAGGCAGCGTGTACAGAAACAGTTTAGATAAGATTAATTTACGGCCAATCGGCTGTCTCAATCTAAGTTTATAAGTGAGCAGAAACCTCCCTGTGTGAAGCATTTTAATTATTTTATCTGATCGACGGCAAAATATACTTACACAAAAACAACAAATCGGCTGTACCAGGGCTTCATGTTCAAATTATCGCCATACGCTTGTTGACGATTGTTTCGATAGTTGGTATTATTTAAATTTTATTTTCAAAATGCCCCGTTTTAGATTTTCGTCTGCCTGCCACACATTTTCACTATCAAAGGCGGTTCCCTGCTTAATTACCTCGACGAACTGCTCCAGGCCACCACCCACACCGAAATAATGAGATTTTCCAGCAACTAAAACGGTGCCATCTGCTTTCAGGCGACTGCTGAACGTGTCCAACAGCTTCTGCTGGTTTTCTATGTTGTATATAGTCTCCGATGTTAGTATCAGGTCGTACTTTTCTGTGTCCAACGTAAGCAGAGCAAAATGTGACCAATCACCGGAGTAGAAGCTTGTGTTGTCCTCCAAAAATGCCAGTTTGTCATCATCCGAAAGATCCGATTGCACATTTAGCATCACATTTGGTATGGTAATTTGTTCCAAAACATCCTTGTTCTAAAGATATTAAAGGACATTATTTACAGGCACTTAGCAGCATTTTACTGGTACTTGCATAGTCTTGAAAATCAACTTTGGCACCAGATTGCAGGGCATATATTCCCAACAATCCGGAGCCACATCCCAAGTCCAAGACTCTCTTGTCTTTCCAGTAACTGTCCTCATAGTTATCCGATAGATATAGCAATAAATCGTCTGTACATTCCCATATTTTCGCACCACCTTCATAGACTCCGGTTATTAGATCCGAATGGCTTTCCTCGGACTTCTTAATATCGCGACTCTCCAGCTCGCCATGGATTTTGATGTCCTCAAGTAAGAATCCAGCTATTAGATGCCGTATTTCAGTATTGCCTACCTTCAGATCTTTGGCATTGAGTTCGTACAAATCCAGACGTGATAATGCGGTTTGAGTCGGTTTAATTTTTTCTGCCTTGTACCAGACAATATCCTTGACAATTGCAGAATCCTCTTGTTCGACTTTCTGTAAGCTATCCTCGTCAAAAGGGCTCTTAGCTGCTTCAGTTTCTACTTCAAAATTGAATTTGAACATTTTGAGTTATTTCTATCCGACAGTGATAAAAGCGTCCAGCCACGCAACTGTAATAGGATGAAGAGCAACAAGGTTGGTTTAAATATAATTTGTAAATTATTAACTTATATTTACCAATTAAATTGGTAATTTACAATTAGTTTTCCGCCGTCAGCTGGTCAGCACGTTTTGTATTTTGATAATACGGAGCCAGTGCTGAAAAACGCCGGCTGCTATCGATTGGTTTTCGCTTGCACCCCTGGTATCGCACATCTCAAAAAATTGTTTTTTCACGAGAAATTGTGCCTGTTTATAAATTTTTTTTAATTTATGGCGGACCAATTAATCAACGAAGTGAGTTTATTGCAACAAACAGAAGCCCCCATTAAATGTTTCTTCAATTAGGGCGACCAGCCAGCGCCACTGATGTCCATACGCCTCGACCAACAACATGACGACAATGCGGCGACAGCGATCAATGGGAATGGTAATGGCAGTGTAGTGGATGCACCCGGCGACGATGCTGAGGACAGTGTTGATGGTGAGAAACCGGCCACTGAATTGGTTCTGCCCAAGGCTCTGGAGGACGTGCTGGCCCTGAAGGACCAAAGAGTGGCCGAATTTGACGTGGATGCCGATTCCCTGGGTGGCAGCGGGGGAGGAGCTCTGCAGGACGGCGATGACGCCGATGTGGGGGAGGACAGTGATGATGATGCTGTGAACCAGGTGAATGGCACTGGCGGTGATAAGACGGGAAAGCAGAGCAAAGCGGAAAAGAACAAAAAGAAAAAACGCCGCAAGAAGCAAAATAGGAAAATACGGCAGCTTTTGGAGTACGAGAGACAACAGCAGTTGGCCCACGTAGATGAGGCCGGAGCAGAGCCGGAGGTCACAGAGCCAGTGGCTGAGGAGGCTAAAGCGCCGGCCAGTGACGAAGAGCAGGAGAGGCAAGAGAAGGATAGTAGAAAGGACAAGCATAGAGAGAGTCGCAGCAGGAAAAAGAAGGATCGCAGCGATGAGAAGGAAAAGGAAAAGAAGCTCGCAGAGGGCAGCAAACTTGACGTAACCATTGAGTAAGTTTTTGGTTCTTTCGATTGACATACCGAAGCTAATTAATTAATCCAATTTCCTTACTTAGGTATGTGCCTGAGAAGATAACCATTGCAGATCTGGCGCCCATGTATCGCCAGTTCTACAGAGTCTTTGAACTCTTCAAGTTGGAAAATAAACCGAAGCCTGTGGAAAAGGACAAGTTGGCCCTGGACTCGGAGACGGTGGCTAAGGCTAAAAAGGCCGCAGACAAGCTGCATGATGACGACGACGATGATGGCGACGAGGACGAAGAAAAGGAGGACAAGGAGAAATTATCCAAAAGAAAGCTCAAGAAGTTGACGCGTCTCAGTGTGGCGGAACTTAAGCAATTAGTCTCCCGTCCCGATGTCGTTGAGATGCACGACGTGACGGCTCGTGATCCCAAATTGCTGGTCCAACTGAAGGCCTACCGGAACACAGTGCAAGTGCCTCGACATTGGTGCTTCAAGCGGAAATATCTGCAGGGGAAGCGTGGCATTGAGAAGCCACCATTCGATCTGCCAGCCTTTATCAAGAAGACGGGCATCATGGAGATGCGAGAGTCGCTCCAAGAGCGCGAGGACGCCAAGACGCTCAAGGCAAAGATGCGTGAACGTGTGCGTCCAAAGATGGGCAAGATTGACATTGATTACCAAAAACTGCACGATGCCTTCTTCAAGTGGCAGACAAAGCCCCGCATGACCATCCATGGCGATCTCTACTACGAGGGCAAGGAATTTGAGACGCGACTTAAAGAGAAGAAGCCGGGCGATCTATCCGAAGAGCTGCGCATTGCTCTGGGCATGCCGGTGGGGCCCAACTCGCACAAGATTCCGCCGCCATGGTTGATTGCCCAGCAGCGCTACGGACCGCCGCCATCATATCCGAATCTGAAAATTCCTGGACTCAATGCGCCCATTCCAGAGGGTACATCGTTCGGTTACCATGCAGGCGGCTGGGGTAAGCCGCCCGTCGATGAGAACGGCAAGCCCTTGTATGGTGATGTATTTGGCACCAGTATATTGGACTTGGATGTTAGTATTGAGACCCTTCCCCCCTACCCAAACTTGTATGTAATCTTTGGATACTTTTCTAGAACGGCATCGATGAGGCTGACATCGAGCGCAATCAATGGGGCGAACTGGAATCAGAGTCGGAGGAGTCCTCCGAAGAGGAGGAGGAAGACGGTGAAGATCTCGGCGATCAGCAGGATGAAACTGGTCTGGTTACCCCGGTCGAGGGTCTTGTGACACCATCAGGGCTGACCAGTGTGCCAGCCGGCATGGAGACGCCCGAGAACATTGAACTACGTAAAAAGAAAATTGAAGCTGAAATGGAGGAGTAAGTCATAGTATACTGCCAGGACCAGATCAGACCAGACTCTTTACTAATCACATAATGTTCTTCCCGTCTGTTAGCAATGAAACCCCCGTACTGTATCAAGTGCTGCCGGAGAAGCGCACAGACCGCATAGGCGCTTCCATGATGGGATCGACGCACGTCTATGACGTTAGTGGTGGTGGAATGCGGCCAACAAACAGCCTGCAGCTCGCACCACAACGGATCGTGAGGGCATTGTGGAATTGGCCCTGGATCCCAGCGAATTGGACATGGACAATGACGCCATGGCCCAGCGGTACGAGCAACAGATGCGCGAGCAACAGAATCACCTGCAGAAGGAGGATCTATCGGATATGTTGGCCGAGCATGTGGCACGCCAGAAATCGAAGCGCAAGCGACAGCAAACGGATCCGGCAAAGGCCACAAAGAAGTACAAGGAGTTCAAGTTTTAGTTTTAAATCTTCTACAATAAAAAACTAATTTTCCATTTGTGCTTCATGAATGTCATTAAAAATAGTAACTAATGAGATTTCTATGTGCTTGTATTATGCATGGGGCACACATGTGACAGATGGTAAGATGAAGCTACAAAGTTTTTACAGCTCGATTGATAGCTGCATTCAAAGGCTTTTTAGAATTGCAAAGAGTATTTACAACTAGGTGTAGGATAATCAAGTTATGTGGAAGAAAATATATCAAAAAAATTAGTGTTTTCAGATAGTATATTCAGACCCAAATCAGTTTCAACTACAACTAATTTCCTTCAAGCAATATTAAAAAAAAAATATTTCATTCTTTTTGAATGTTTTGACGGTATAATGAACTCTTTTCCACACCACCAGTATTTGGTAGAGTCCAAGGGGCGTTTTTTTTAACGTGGTATCCCCAGTAGGCCTATTCCACGCTCCGCATCTCAATCATCTATTGTATTCTAAAATATAAATTGCACAGAATTATGTATAATTTTCACAATGAAGAGTCTTTTTTTGGAACTAAATAATTACCAGTAGATGTGGTAGTGGTGATGCTGTGTTGTGTGATGTGTGATGTGCCGCCATGTGCTTGTGCGTTGTGTACTTGTCTTGTACGCTCCATCCATATCTCCTTATCTGCTTTTCCGCCTCGTCGTCCAATCCTTCGATCCAACCTTGCTGCGTGTTGGTGTACTGTTCTTGTTTAATTTTTCTGACAGGGGTTTCCAACAGAGCCATCTGAGTGTGCCGGTGTGTAAGTCTGCAGTTGAGTGAGAGTGACTAACGAGCCTAACCTAAATATTTTTACACTTTTTGCTTAAAATTAATCCGAAACAAAAAAATCGGAAATTATATTTGTTAAAATTTTGAATTTTGTGTGTTCACAGTCCGGGCTGCCGAACTGAACTGATTATTTTTAGGTATTCTCACACGCATCCAAATTTGACAACTGTGGTTTCCCTGGGCATGGATTACTGGGTTTACTTTTTTTTGTCGGAAATATGTGGATTTAGTTTTTTGGGAAAAGCTCTAGGACCTAGTGGATTTTAGTGGTGGATGGAAGAACTTTGGATGATCCCAACCTATTAATGATACTACAACTCCGTTCCCTTGGATTTATGAATAATTTACATGCATAAATTAAATGCGTTCTTTCTATTATCTCTTGACAAATGTAACTGTTTAATAACAATTTTTATTAAATTCAAGTTGGCTTTTCTTCACATATCAGTATTTTTAAGATATTTTACTTTTTTCTTTAAAAATCAATCGAGAATTCTTTTTATAAGTAAAGACTCAAAAAATGTACTAAAATCTCTATTCTATATTTCATGGGACCTTCAGTAGACCGAATATATAAGATTAAATGCATTAACTACATATACAGATATATAATTATTTATTAACTGGAATACGCTTATATTTGTACAATGTAACGAACTCTTTTCCACACCACCAGTAGAGTGGTAGAGTCCTAGGCGCGTTTTTTTTAACGTGGTATCCCCAGTAGGCCTATTCCACGCTCCGCATCTCAATCATCTGTTGTATTCTAAAATATAAATTGCACAGAATTATGTATAATTTTCACAATGAAGAGTCTTTTTTTGGAACTAAATAATTACCAGTAGATGTGGTAGTGGTGATACTGTGTTGTGTGTTGTGTGATGTGCCGCCATGTGCTTGTGCGTTGTGTACTTGTCTTGTACGCTCCATCCATATCTCCTTATCTGCTTTTCCGCCTCGTCGTCCAATCCTTCGATCCAACCTTGCTGCGTGTTGGTGTACTGTTCTTGTTTAATTTTTCTGACAGGGGTTTCCAACAGAGCCATCTGAGTGTGCCGGTGTGTAAGTCTGCAGTTGAGTGAGAGTGACTAACGAGCCTAACCTAAATATTTTTACACTTTTTGCTTAAAATTAATCCGAAACAAAAAAATCGGAAATTATATTTGTTAAAATTTTGAATTTTGTGTGTTCACAGTCCGGGCTGCCGAACTGAACTGATTATTTTTAGGTATTCTCACACGCATCCAAATTTGACAACTGTGGTTTCCCTGGGCATGGATTACTGGGTTTACTTTTTTTTGTCGGAAATATGTGGATTTAGTTTTTTGGGAAAAGCTCTAGGACCTAGTGGATTTTAGTGGTGGATGGAAGAACTTTGGATGATCCCAAGCTATTAATGATACTACAACTCCGTTCCCTTGGATTTATGAATAATTTACATGCATAAACTAAATGCGCTCTTTCTATTATCTCTTGACAAATGTAACTGTTTAATAACAATTTTTATTAAAATCAAGTTGGCTTTTTTTCACATATCAATATTTTTAAGATATTTTACTTTTTTCTTTACAAATCAATCGAGTATTCTTTTTATAAGTAAAGACTCAAAAATGTACTAAAATCTCTATTCTATATTTCATGGGGCCTTCAGTAGACCGAATATATAAGATTAAATGCATTAACTACATATACAGATATATAATTATTTATTAACTGGAATACGCTTATATTTGTACAATGTAACGAACTCTTTTCCACACCACCAGTAGAGTGGTAGAGTCCTAGGCGCGTTTTTTTTAACGTGGTATCCCCAGTAGGCCTATTCCACGCTCCAAACTTCAATTTAAAATCGTTTCCATGTCATCATCGGTTGTGTCCTAGAATATAGATTGCAGAAAATAATCCATTGGAAAACAATAAGACACCAAAAACTGAACAATTACCATTATTTGCATGACCATTATGCACCATGTGTGTAGTTGGTTTTCGGTTTTAGCGGTTTTCAAGAGTAGCCAATTAATACTGATCAATTACCTTTTTTTTAGTAAGTCGTATGTGTGTATGTACATATGTATATCGCTGCTGCACTTTTGACTGCTTTGTGTATATCCTGTGTGGCACCTGTACAATTGCTGACTCTGTTTCAGCCTTGTGTATTGTCTGCAGAGGAGTTCGAGGGCAGAGGAGTCGCCAGTTTCTGCTTATGCCTTGTCCGTTTTTGTTTAATATTCTGTTATGTTCATTAAATCCACACTACTCGTATATCCAAAAAAAAGTACAATTAAGAAAAGAAAAATATCTAAAACTAACACAACGTAAGCTTACAATGTTTTTTTGTAAAAATTTGTTTAAAAAAATTCCACTTTTTACTTAAACCTAACTTAAACTATTTACACTTTTTACTTAAAATTAATCCAGAACAAAATATTTTGTGTTTCTGTGTGTTCACTAGAGAGGCAACCGAACGGGACTGAATACTTTTCAGTATTCTCACACGACTCACAATTCGACAACTGGGGTTTCATTGGGCATGGACTACTGGGTTTACATTTTTTGTTGGAAATTTGTATACACATTTTTTTTAACTGTTCGCGTACTTAGATGTTTTTGTATGTAGGATATATACATATAGTATGTTTTATTTTTCCTTGGCTAACAATTTGGTTTACCAACTCGAGCCGCTTTTACGTATAATTGCATATAAAATATATTGATATACATATACTATACATATATACATAAATGTATAGATAGATAGGTTCATAGTACCCTGTGTAGTGTAGTGTAGCGACATGTTTTCCGCGACTTTCAAGGTCAGGGCCAGTCCCTTTAAGCCAATGACTATATCCACGAGTAAATTAACATCTTCCATTTTTTCACCAAGATGGCTGTGAATGGTTAGATAAAACATTTATCGTATTATGGCAGTAGTATTCCTGAAGTTCAAGGAAGCACATCGCAAATAAGTTTACCAAAATTTGTGTACTTTTCATTACTAAAATTCCAAAGTCAGTCAGTTAATTTTCATGCCGCCCACCTAAATAATGCTTTTGCTAATCGTGTCTCTGATTTTAATACTAGTAAATGCAGAGGTCGCACAACCGGCAGTGCCATCTTTTGATCAACTGGCGAGCATCCGCCTGGACGATATTCTACTGGCGGAGCCCAGGCCCACGCCCGGACGGAGCATATTCTTTCACGAAACGAGCTGCTTCGATCCCAGAACTAATCAGTATAATCTCCCGAAGCTAAACGCCCGTCAAGCCTGCGCAATCGAATCAGCGGCACTTCATAATCCGGACTTCCAGGTGTTCGTTTTATTTGCCGACCCCAAATACCGAGTAACCCCCAAGGGGCTGAACAGCAGCCACCAGCAGCCATTTATCGATGTTATCTTAAGCTACAGCAATGTCCATTTGAGACGTGTAAATGTCTGGAGATATGCTGCCGGCACACCCATGGAAGAGTGGCTCAGGAACGGTGATCTGTTGCGCTCGCAGTAAGTTGGATCTCAGGATCGGGCATCCAAAAATGGAATACCAATATTGACATTTCCAGACATTTGGTCTCTCATGTGTCGGATTTCCTGCGCTACTTGACCCTGTTTCGCTATGGCGGCCTGTATCTGGACATGGATGTGGTCGTGCTGCAAAAAATGGAGGATCTGCCACCCAATTACACTGGAGCCGAGTCCGATAGTATGCTTGCCGCTGGCGTCATGAACTTAGCAGCCACTGGCATTGGTCATGAGATTGCCGAGCTGTGTCTGCGCGACTTTCAGCTAAATTTCAATGGCAGTGTTTGGGCTATGAATGGCCCAGGTGTGATAACACGCGTGGCCCAACTGATTTGCGACACTGACTACGTCGCACTCATGCAGGACGATCGCAAACGGTGCGCAGGCTTCAAGGTGTACGGGCGGGGCGCCTTCTACGCTGTGCACTCCAGTCAGTGGCGCGATCTCTTTGAGCCCGACAAACTGGAGCAGACCCTGGCTCGCATCAGATACTCGTATGTGGTACACATGTGGAACAAGCACTCGAGTCAGCTAGCTATTAAGGTCGGTTCTACCAGCGCCTATGCCAAATTTGCAGAACGAAACTGCCCGCGGGCCTTTCATGCAGCGGGTGAATATTTCTAGACGATTTATTTTGAATTTGTTTTGTCAATATAAATTGATTGGACTTGCCCGCAGAGGATCTTACTTCATTTTGGGAGTATTTTTATCTGACTTTGAGATTGGCTCGCTTTTTGATTGGTTTTTTTGGGTCTGTGTTTTTCAGAACCTGGTTGTGGAGCCTCCTTCTGAGCATCCTTTGCCTTTTGGCCTAAGAATAACTTACCCGAATGCAAAGTAAAGGTTCTGCATGAAGGGTCTGCTGACCAAGTGGCAGCTTAGTGCTAGATGCGACCAATATCACTATTTCCCCTTTGTTTCCTATGGAGGACAACGCGCCAATCAGATAATCTCAGGCCTTCGTTCTGGCAGCATCTTATCGGTCTTTCTCGACAGCTGGAAAGAATCTTATAAATATTTGAAGCTTTGGAAAGGTTCGTCTGTAGGTAGCATCTGTGAACCCCATTTATGAACTTATTTCAAGTTTTCTACCCCAAGAAGGCTGTGACGAAAACTGTTTTATGCCATAAAATAATAACTACATGCACAAATATTTTGTTATTTATAGTTATTTATTTCACAAAATTATATTGCTTCAGCGAACACAGATTTAGTAACTTATCCACGATTTTTGTTCAGTCCTAAAAATGCTCCTGTGGTATTTTAATAATGGCCGACTTCGTTTGCTTTTCATGGCGTTGATTGTCATACTGACAGGTGGCATTGGCCTCATCTACCATTGGCAAAATGAAACGGGTGAAGAGTCGTTGCCACAGTCTACGGAAGTCCCACAGCTGGCAGTGCCATCTGATGATCCACTGGCGAACATCCGTCTAGCCGATATTCTAGTGGCGGAGCCCAGGCCCACGCCCGGACGGAGTATATTTTTTCACGAAACGAGCTGCTATGATGCCAAAAATAAGGAGTATAATCATCTCATGAAGTTAAACGCCCGTCAAGCTTGTGCAATCGAATCAGCTGCACTTCATAATCCGAATTCTCAGGTGTTCGTTTTGTTTGTCGACCGAAAATACAGACTTCTTGTTGACTCCAACGGTGGAAACAGATGGAACCAGCAGCCATTTATCGATGCCATCTTAAGCTACAAAAATGTCAATTTGCGGCGTCTAAATCTCTGGAGATACACTGCCGACACACCCATGGAAGAATGGCTCAAGGACGGTAATCTCTTTGGCTCGCAGTAAGTTGGAACTCAGCGATGTCCCTCCAAGCATTCAATCTCCATAATTCCAGATATATGGTCTCCCACATCTCTGATTTCCTGCGCTACTTGACCCTGTATCGCTATGGCGGCCTCTATCTGGACATGGATGTGGTCGTGCTGCAAAAAATGGAGGATCTGCCACCCAATTACACTGGAGCCGAGTCCGATAGTACGCTTGGCGCTGGCGTCATGAGGTTGGCAGCCACTGGCTTTGGTCATGAGATTGCCAAGTCCTGTTTGCTCGACTTTCAGCAAAATTTCGATGGCAAAGAATGGGGTACCAATGGCCCAGGTGTTATAACACGCGTGGCCCAACAGATTTGTGGCACCAAAAATATCTCAGTAATGCTGGAGAATCGCAAACGCTGCTTGGGCTTTATGGTGTTTGGGTGCAGCGCCTTTTACGCTATAGAGAATTGGCCTGGTTTCTTTGATCCCAAAAGACTGGAGAAGACCATGGCCCGCACCAAAGACTCGTATGTGGTGCATGTGTGGAACAGCCAGTCGCATAAGGAACCAATCAAGGTTGGTTCAGACACTGCCTATGCCAAATATGCCGAAAAAAATTGCCCGCGTGCCTATGAAGCGGCGGGTGAATACTTCTAGAAATTTGATCTTGAAGATTTTCTGTCTTTAAAATTCAAGTTGGATCTGGGCACAATTCTAAGCGACCTGAAGACGGGCAATCGTTGGGCGGGCAGGCTTGGATTTTCAGTCGCAGTGGTTGGACTTGTATGAAATGCATAGTTTGCGCTTTAAATATGAACTAAAAGGGACTGGGTGGGTAGTTTATAAGCTCGTCTTAAGGTTCGGATATTAACTCACACATTCCTTCCTTTATATATCGGATATGCCAGCCACAAAATTGGATTCAAATTGAATACGTGTAGAGCATTCGTTACATTCATCGGTTTTGTTTTATTCTGTTGCAGGGACACAGACCAAAATCTATTGCATATAAATTAAAATTCTGTGTACAATCTAATGCTTTTGTTTTTTTTATACATTCAAACTTATTGCTTCTAAGAAATTACATTAAGTGTTTTGCTGTGTGACTTGTGCTGGTGTGGGGATCAGAAAGCTGGGCCAGGACTCGAGAAGGCAAAGAGATGTGCAGTTGCGCAGCATTTTAGATTTTTATAACAGGCGTTGGAAGAGTTTGCGTGTCCGTCCATCAACTGAGCCACAGCTGCACACCCTGCATTGGGAATCTAGGAGTTTTCCCCATACGCTGTCTATGATGGTCTACGCTGGCTGTTCACGCTGGCAGCGATCATTCGTCCAGCTGCTCATTGAGTTGTGCCAGAAGCGCTGCCCGCTTTGATTCTAGTTCGCCGTCGCTTAGCGTTAATTCCTCGTTGCGTGAGCCACCCGAATCCATGGACTGGACGGGACTGAGTGGTGTCGTGGAGCGATTGTGTCTGTTGTGTCGTTTGCCTTCTTTGTCTTTTTTGGAACGCTTCTCCTTTTTCTTCTTCTTGGCTGGCGAATGCGAATTGGAATCGTTATGCAGTAGCGCCAAGCTGGGTGACAGATTACCACCTAAATCCGACTCACACGACGACTGAAAAACAAAAGGCAAAAAGGCAACAAATAAGATTCACAAACATAAAGAATGGGGTCTGTCTAGCCAAGCCAACTTACTCCTCGCAATTTGTTCTTGCGCTTCTTTTTCTTCTTCAGCAGCTTTTCGCTCTCGATGCTGCCAATGGAGCTCAGTGAATGCTGTAGGGTGTGGGAAGGGGACGGGTTTCAAGGAACCATTAAGGGCATTGAAATAACTCAAATTACTTACGGAACGGGATTTGGAACGCCTTCGTTTTGACTTTTCCACCTCAACCAGTTCATTTTCAATGTCCGATCTCGATGTGGATCGCACCCGCTTTTTGTGCTTTTTATTCTTTTTCGATTTACGCGACCGCGAATGATGATGGCTGCAGGCATCTTCGCTTTCCTTGATAAAGTCCTCCCAGATCTTCTCCACACCGATTTCCTTCTCGTACACAGCAAATGCCTCCAAGTGCTCCACCAGCTTTTTGGCACTGTCATAGGTCTCGGCCACAGACACGTTCGCCTCGAGCCATTCGTTTTTAATTTCATTCTCCAGTTTTCGCAGTCGTCGCACCTCTTCCTTCAGGCGCTCCTTTTCGATGGCCTCCGCCTGGGAAAAAGAAAGTGATTTCATTACGACTTTGAATCGATTCCCATGCAGCTGCCTTACCTTTTCCAGCAGAGAATTATAGGTGAGCTTTACATTGCCCGCATCGAGGCTGGCCGAACGTTTATCCTCGCACACCACCGTGGCAAAGTCCTCGAATGATGTCTTGGCCTGCACCACAAATGCCTTCTCTTTGAGAATCTCTCGTATGATTTTCCTTTCGTCATGGAAGCGAGCCTTCAGATTCTCCACATAGAACTTGAATAGATCCAAGGGGGTGGAGCCACTCTGGCCGAGCATGGCCGAGAATCGTAGATCCGCGGATATGATGGGATACAGCTCCACCCACAGCGACATGGAGGTGAGTTTGCCCTCCTCGTGCAGGGAGTCGAGCAGAGCCAGAAAGGAGTCTCGATTCTTGCGCTGTTGTCGCTTCATTCGCTTCTTCTCCCGCTCACGTTCCTCCTCCTCCTCCTTCTCCAGCGTGCGTATGTGCTCCTCGAAAACAATTAGAGCATCTTCCTTGTCCATGCCCAAGAGGGTCACATCGTTTTTGAATGCCACATTGTCCAGGAGCATAACCTGAGCCTCGGACCAGGTGGTGGCATGATTGATGGATGTCATCGACTCTAGCAGCTCGCCCAACACCTTCATATTGCGCTTCTTCAGGACTCGCGCCTCCTCTTTCTCCCGCTTACCAAGATTGAATATGCAATCCTCATAGATATCCCGTCGATCCGTTTCTGGCACTACGGTCCACGTTCGATTACCTGCAAAGACCTCCTCACATCGGAAATACTTCATCTGGGAGTTCATCTTATCGCTGGACATGAGGAACTGTTCGAGGTCCTCTTTCGCCTTCTTGGCCTTCAGCCGGGACTCCTCACGCTCGTCCTTCACCTTCTGCGTCTTGTAGGCATTGAACGTCTGCTTGCGCTCGTTGAGGTTCTTGAAGGCGCTGTAGCGCGGATCCTTCGATATGATCTTCACACACTGATCCCAATTGGCATTTGAGGGCACGTTGCGGTCCCGCAGTAGGTCCTTGAACGCTTCTATGGCCTCGCGCTTGTCCTTGAACACCAGCGGGCTGCCCTCCGATGACTTGTCATCCTTTTTAGCTAAAAAAATATGCAATAAAGCAGTCAGTTCCGAAGGTACGTTATGCTCAGAGACGGCACTCACAATTCGGCTGCGGCACCTCAATGGAGGCCAATGTGGCCGCCATAGCCTGATCGAGAGCCGATGATGAGTTTTCGTTACTGCTCGGCGTCAGCGGCGAGTGAATCTCGGGCGTGGGTATCCTTGGGACTGCGGGCAGAGCAGCTGGCAAAATACTTGCCAATGCCACATGCGGCACCAGTCCCGTCAGGCTGGAGGATGTCATCGCTGCCACAGCTTTGGCTGCAGCAGCAGCTCTGAAACAAATCCAAGCAAGAGGCCAAGGGTGAGTAAATTGAATAGCCAATAGCCATGCAACCTCTGTACTTACTCCTCCGCCTTGGCCTTTGCCTTCATATCAACATATTCCGGCGGTGGCTCCCAGCACGTTTCCTTCGTGGCCACATTGTGGTAATACACTTTGCCCGTATCGGAGCGATATTCCTTCCAGGGGCATTGGTTGTGCAGCTGCTCAGCGGGCGTCATCAGAGCCTCGGGCTTCTCCCACGAGCTTTGCTTGGTGTTTTGATTGTAGTAATATGGTCGTCCATCGGGCGCCTTGTGCTCTGTCCACTCCGTGTTGGAGGCCATCACACCGAATGCCGCTGCCAGTTCGGGCGGTGGGGGAGCAGCAAAGCCGGGCGGGGGAAATTGTGGAACTATGGCAGCAGCCGGCGGCGTGTATCCCATTCCCCTGCCGATCGCTGCTGCTCCATTGCTAGGAGGAACATTCATTTCACTATTTTGCTATATTGTATTTAAGCGGTGCTACGTCTACCGGTCGTTGCGTATGCGATGCGGCCGCCAGTAGAAACCGTTTATTGAAATAAATGAAAAAAAATTCAATGAAAACGCCGCTTTCCACACATTTGATGATATATATCGCTGGGGGTTTCTTTTTCGCAGCTATCGATAACATATCGCAAAATGCAAATTCAACCTAGAGATGGTCATGATGTGTGTTAACGATGTGTCTAGCGACAAATTGTAATTATTTATATGATATTATGAGCTAAATATTTGATTACCACTTAAATACTTTTCCTGACTGTCGCAAAGTATGTAATTGAAAAATACAAAGTAAACTACTATTTGTATATCGTATATGGTCATGATGTGTGTTAACGATGTGTCTTTGTAAATGATTGTAGATATTTATATGATATTATGAGCTAAATAATTGATTACCACTTAAATACTTTTCCTGGCTGTCGCAAAGTATCTAATTGAAAAATACAAAGTAAACAGCTATTTGTATATCGTATTTACCGTTAGGATATCATATCGTCTGGCTCGAAAAGGCTCATCACTGGCAGGTAATGTTGTTGTTCGTTATCGCCCTCGGCTTGCATTTTATATGAACAAAACATTGTAAAATATTCCCTTGAAAGTTTTCTTATCGACAGAGAGTGCATTGAATTATGTTGGGAGCAATGGCAGTGTAACCTCACACTCGGAGTAAGCTGGCTGTAGCATTTTCCTGGCCCCAATCTCTAATTAAAGTGTCCAATTTTTCCAATACAGCCCGCCTGCCCTCGCCATGCTCCTGCGTATGCCAATGCTGGTGGCGCGTTATTTGCACAACGGAAGACTTCGTTTGCTGTTCGTGGCGTTGATTGTAATACTGATAGGCGGCCTTGCCCTCACGTACAATTGGGAAAATGATTTGCAGCAGTGCTTCATGGACATCGAAGAGGCAATACAGTCGACAGTGGCAGGTGCAGACCCGCTGGCACCCATCCGCCTAGAGGATGTGCTGCAGGCGGAGCCCAGGCCCACGCCCGGACGGAGCATATTCTTTCACGAAACCAGTTGCCATCAGGCCGAGAACAAAAAGTACAAATTGCTGCAGCTAACCGCCCGTCAAGCATGCGCAATCGAATCTGCTGCATTGCATAATCCGAATTTCCAGGTGTTCGTCTTGTTTGCCGGTCCCACCTACCGAGCTACCCCTCGCGGACGAAACAGCAGCAGCCAGCAACCCCTTGTCGATGCCATCTTAAGCTACAGCAATGTCCATTTGCGGAATCTGAATCTATGGCGCTACGCTGCGGGCACACCCATCGAGGAATGGCTCAAGGACGGTAGTCTGTTTCGCTCGCGGTAAGTTGGATCTCAGAGTTCAGAAACCTAAGCGTTCAATAACATTATTTTTTTTAATTTTTATTTTAAGATATTTGTTCTCCCACATCTCTGATTTCCTGCGTTATTTGACTCTGTTTCGCTATGGTGGCCTGTATCTGGACATGGATGTGGTCGTGCTGCAAAAAATGGAGGACGTGCCACCCAATTACACTGGAGCCGAGTCCAATACTCACCTTGCCGCTGGCGTCATGAGCTTGGCAGCCACTGGCTTTGGTCATGAGATTGCCGAGTCCTGTCTGCGCGACTTTCAACACAATTTCGCAGGCGAAGATTGGGGAAACAATGGCCCAGGCGTGATAACACGCGTGGCCCAACAGATTTGTGGCACCAAGGACATCGCAGTGATGCAAGAGGATAGCAAACGATGCTTGGGCTTCAAGGTGTATGGTCGAGGCGCCTTCTACGCTGTGCCGTGGAAGCAGTGGCGGGACTTCTTCGAGCCCGACAAACTGGAGGAGACCATGGCCCGCACCAAAGACTCGTATGTGGTGCATGTGTGGAACAAGCACTCGAATCAGCTAGCGATCAAAGTTGGTTCAACCAGCGCCTATGCCAAATATGCCGAAAAAAATTGCCCGCGTGCCTACCATGCGGCGGGTGAATATTTCTAGAAATATTAACTGGAAAGTTCTCTCGTTTAAGTCTTTTGTATATCGATGTTTCCCGCTGAAATCCAAAGAGTTATCGCCCTGCGAGGCATCGTTTATAGTTTGTATTTGTAGCTCATTTGTTTCTTATATTTTTGTTTGTTTAGCAAAGCAGAGCAAACAGCACGCATTCCGATAAAACAAACAAAAAGACGAACAGTCGTACAGACATAAGTATATGTATGTATATGTGTGGGTATGATTGTATAGCATGGATCTGGCTATTTAGACACATACTAACTCTCGTTTATTATCTTAAATACTCATTTAATTGATTCTCTGAAAACGAATCTGTATTTATAATAATATTTGCACAATATTATTTGCATCCCCATTGGGAATTAATTCTGATAACAGAATATTAACACACGAACAAAATGAAAAAAAAAGGCTATCAGTCTGGCGGGTCGAGGATAGCAATGTGTGTACGATGTTGATTCACCCACCGGGATGTGAAGGAAAGTTTAAAGATAAGAATCCGAAACAGAACTAAGATATTTCATAAGTATTTTTTGCATGTATACAAAATGAGTTGGGGCTTGGTTGGAGGGCGTGGTCGCAAAATGTATACAAATATTTTGTGAAAATATATCGTCTATGAGCCGGGAACTCCTTCAGCATGGGAATGGAGATTACGGTACTCACATTACTCACATAGTCTGGATGTACACAAATAGTAAATAAAAATATATCAAATATATTTGTAAAATCTAATTTCGGAACAAATTATATTATTTATAGATTAGATTAAGTATTCTTAATTTTCAAATTCTCCTAGTAGTTTTAAACATTTTCTAAAACGAAATGTGGCTACAGATCCTTGCTGCTGCTGCATCCTGCATCACATGCACTGCACTTGCGAGAAGCGCAAACAGGCTCCCACATTGTCCTCAGCATTGCCCTTACCCATGCCCGCGCCATCGCCAAAATGCACTCCAATGTAGAAGGGAGTGACTGTACTTTCGATGCGGCATGGCCACACGCCCGAGGAGCAGAACTGGGCACCACAGTGGACGGGCTCACAGCCGGGCAGGGGACCCAGGCCAGTGCCAATGAAGTCCTCGATGATGCACGGCATTGTTATGCGATCCGTGCAGGTGCTGAAGAACTGTCGAGCCTCGCGGCGACGCCGCCGTCTCAGTTGCAAATCAAAAGCGTTGCGCAGGAAGCCGAACAGGTCGAATCCTCCGCTGGGGGGGCTGCTGCCCACAGGCCGTGGACGTCGCGAAAAGCCAGGCTCTTCTGTGGTTGGTGGACTCCTAAAGAAAAGGAAGCCGCCATCGTTGTCGCTGTCCTCGTCGATGCCATCCTCCCCCCCAGAACCTTCTGCATCATCGCTGGCGGGCGAGGAAGCGGGCGCCTCAGACGAAGATGTGCTCTCCTCGGTGGCAGCCGCTGTGCTGGAGCGTAGAGGCGTCGGGGTGGTGCTTGTTGTCGTCGTGGTCATGGCTGCTGTGCTGCTGCTGGCGGTGGATGGAGCTGCCGATGACGCTGCAGTCGAATTGCTTGACATCATGGACATCAGAGTCGTTGTGGTGGAGTTGGCCATGTTGGCCAGCATCTGCATCAGGCTGCTAGACGTAGGAGCTGATGTGGTTGTTACCCCATTAGCTGGAGCAGCTGCTCCTCCTCCTCCTCCTCCTGCATTATCCGACAGTGCCGTAGCTGTATCAGGACTCGCTGATGGTCCACCTCCGTCGTCATTCAACGAGAAAGATGTTCCCGATGACATTCGCCCATCGCCGCCAATCCTGAATGACTGCTCATCGCATGGCTGATACATAATCGAGCACATATCCGTCTCCTGGCGCACACAAATGCGATAGTTCTGGTTGGCCAGATGCCGCCCATTCTCGGCAAAGTTAAAGGTCTGCATGACGCCCTCGATGCCCGTGTGATACTGCAGACAACCCGCTGGTGCACGCTGGCTGAATGGTATCTGCACCACGCTCATCTCCCAAATGCGTAGTGGCAGCAGCCGATTGGACAGGTTGAGATTGATGTCGATGATGCGATCGCCAGTGGCATTGCTGGTGCTGCTCGCATTGACTGAATCTACGGGACGTAGACTGCCATACAATGTGGATTGTCGTGGCGAGGCCCGAGCTCCCACATCATAGTACACTGAAGGGGGAAAGCGAATAAAATTATCATCAAAGTGGAACTAACTCTGAACTCTGAATCTCACAATGCTGTCCACTATTCTGTCCACAAAGGGAAATGGCTCCGCCTGGTCCGCCACTAATGTTGAATACATCGCCCTCACAGACGCCCGTCCGTCGATTCGGTTGTCCCAGCGTAAAGTGATGAAAATCGATCCTCAACTGGCTGATATCCTCGCTCATCATCTTCACCTTCAGGCTGCAGCCAGTGAAATTGGCGGGCATGAAGCTGGGAAAGCTGGGCGAGACGATATAGGTGATGTTGTTGGTTATGGTGACGTTGCAGCTGGCCAGAAACACACAGCAGACACCGAATCCCATGGCACATTCACCCTGGGACTGGCCACCCTTTTGGCGGCACTCGTAGGCATTCAGACAGTTGCCAATGCGACGATCATCATTGGACAGGCATTCTCCATCCACGGGCACAGGGAACAGATGAATCACTGGTGTGAACATAAAAAGAGATTCAATTGGGGCAACCATCGTGGGGTTGCCTTTAACATACCCTTGCCATGTCTGCTATTCCCGGACAGACTCTGATTGAGGCTCTGTTGCTCCTGCATTTCAATGGCAGTCAACTGATCCTCCTCCTCCTCCTCCTGTTGGGTATCCGATTCATTCGGATTGTCGCTCCAAATATCATAATGATACATGGGTGGCCACGCGGTCTCATTGGCGGGCGTCAACGATGCCGATGCAGGAGTCGGACTCAAACGAACCGCCAACAATATGCAAAGTGTAGCAACGAATGGCTGCAGCAGCAGGTTGCCAGTAGAACCACGGCAACAACCGGCTCCAGCAATAACTTTCTTTTTTCTTTCACTGCTGCTGCTGGTGCTGCTGGTGCTGCTGGTGCTGCTGCTGGTGCTGTGACTGCTGCCTCGTAATATCGCGGCTATATGGCAATTGGACTTGTTGTTCGCATCGCCGCTTTGCGACATCAGCATTTTTATGGCTTCCATGTCCATGTGTCCATGTGTTCAGCTGTGTGACTCCACCAGACTCCACTCCGTGTTTGTTTTTTGCGCGCGTGCGTTTCGCTGCAAAGTTGAATGAAAAGTGCGCCCGTCTACACAGCTCCAGATGCTTGGATGCTTGGATTGGATGCTTGGAATCTGCTGCCTTGTATCTCTGTGGTCTCTGTCTCTGCCCGGGACGAGACTGCTTTTCTCTGCGCACCCCAGTTGTGGCTGTCTTTTCATTTCTAATCTCTACTTATACTTACCTGCTATTTTCGGCGGTGTAATGTTCCATTTAGTTTTGCTGCTGACTCGCTCATTGGGACTGACTGTGCAACTGTGTCGAGTCGAGTATTGAGTGCTGAAAGAGATGATTTCATTTCTAAAGAAGTATTTAACACAGATAGCCACAGAACAGGCCCCGCCGACAAAATCAAACTTTCTTGCACTTACTTTTGCTTACGTTTATATATTCTTTTGTAAGATATTCTGCAAACTGCATTTCTTAATATTGTCACTGGTATTTAGGGTATTCCAATTTTTTGTATATAAAATTTTAAAATTTAAAGTACCGTTTTATATACATATAGGATTTTTTATGTTCCAAGTCGCCGCTTTTCATTGGCTTAAATAAATTATTCAGAAATAAAGATATGCAGGTTTTTGAATTTAAATTTAAGTATCACAGAGATACACACCCAAAAGATACTTTTAGGCTGATCGGAATATGTGAAAGTATCTGGGAGATGCACATCCAAAAGATACTTTTAGGCTTTAAGATTAGCAAATCGTATTTTCAAATATGTACCTGGTACATAAAAAAGAAAAAAGTAACATCGACTATACATATATGATATAGTAAGATAGCAGGCGCTCCCAGCGAAGGATTTCTCTGAAGACATTTCTCTGAATACGAACGGGACCAGTCGTACGCATTTCAAGTGGTAAAAAGGTCAAAAGAATATGGATTTTCAAATTTGTTTTACCTTTTTGACACACATTTTGACAAGCTCTATAGCGGTGAAAATGTATGTTCATGTCGCGCATTGATGTCTCTTTAAAGTGGTTTTAATTTTACGTAAATATGATTCGTACAATTATTTAAATTTAATTAAAGCCTTATTCTCATGTCAAAAATTCCTAGGTTAATAACAGTTAAAAATATACCGTTAGGCGGGACAGAACCATTTTCCTCGTATTTTTGTTATATAGTTGAATATTTTAGAAATATTTTGGGGAATCCTTTTTCTCAACAAATGTGATTTTGTGGAAATTTATTTTTATAGACATTTCAATTTGTGGTCAGAGAAATAGCGTAAACTAAGTCGAAAATTGTTGTATTAATTCACAACACAGTTGTTGATTAATTTATTTCTGTGGGGGGGGGTATTACCGTTGGAAAACAAGGGTTGTTAGTTGTACGTTGGGGCCACTGTCCACCGACGGTTTTATTTGATGATGCGAGATTTCGAAGTCCCCCCCCCGCGGGGGGGACCCCCCCCCCCCCCCCTCCGGGGGGTTACGAGTTTCGGGAAAGAATTGACTAAGAGCGCAGATTGGGGGGTGGCAGCCGCCGCGGGGGGCGCCGCGGGCATAGGCCAATTGACCAAGAAGATTTATAAAAAGACGGAACCAATAGCACTCTTCAGTCATTCAGTCATTCAGCGCGTAATAATGCAGTCAATGTGGATCTACTGGTTGCTTGTGTTTTTCCACTGCAAAAGCACAGGATTATCAGCAGTAGTGGTAAAGTTTGGAGTATATTCATATGGTTTTAATTCGTAAATGGCAAAAAAAAACATTATTTCAGCGTGCCGGAATGGAAAGGAACAGTAGTGGTATTCAAGTATTCAAGAATCCAAATAGCCATTGCCCGCTTGGTCCGACGTCCCATGGTATATATACTGTAGTCCTACCGAGCTTAGATCCTTTTAAAGTTTACTGCGATGAAGAAATTGCGGGTCCTGGCTGGACTGTGATCGCCCGTCGAACTAATGGAGAGCTTAATTTCTTCCGCAACTGGACGGAGTACAAGAGGGGATTCGGAGACGTTAGGGGCGACTTCTTCATAGGATTGGATAAGCTGCATGCCATAACGAAATTACAGTCCCACGAGCTATATGTAAACCTGGAGGACTTTGAGGGAAACACGCGATTCGCCAGATACGACGAGTTCTACATCGAAAGTGAAAATGACTTATATCGAATGTCAAAGTTGGGCGCCTTCACTGGGGATGCGGGTGATTCGATGAAAAAGTGCAGGAACCAGAAATTTTCCACCTACGACAGGGACAACGATCAGTGGGAGAATGGTAATTGTGCACTGTACCGCATGGGTCCCTGGTGGCACAGAGTTGAAAGGGATAAGTGAGTGCATACATATGAATATACCTTATGAACATTTTGTATTGCAATGATTTAATTCTAATCTCGTAGCTATAGTAGCCTTTTCGGCATGTATCTGAAGGGTACGGTGCCTGGAATGCCGTGGAAGGGAATGATGTGGTTGACTTTTCGACCTGATTATTCATTTAAAGCAATGCAAATGATGGTTCGCCCAAAGTTATCTTGCCTTATGGATGAATTATAATCAAATAACTCTGTATAAATAAATAAAAAAATATCTAACTGCAACGTTCATATTTTGAATGCATTTCAATGCTTCTTCGCATGGTAAGTAGTTTTGTTAAGCTTCTTCTTTTTTACGTATAAAATAAATGGTTTATGTTACATATACATTCATGATTACCAGGCACACATGTAGATAACACAATTTATTCTGATTAATCCACATTAACAATGCACCTCCCCCATCTCATATTTGTGTATCATTCTTATCACTGAAACATCTCCTCCTCTCCCTTCCAGTCTTATCACACACCTATCCCTGCTGTTAAGCCAATCTGTTTAAACTTTAAACGCAAAAGCGGTCAAAAGATAGGCCGCATATTTAATGAGAGTGCATTGTATCGTAGAGTCTTTAAAACCCACATGTTCACACCCTGATGCTTCTCCCAAGCGGCGTCCAAAACCGCGGCTGGACAGTGCATGAATTAGCTGAACAACAACAGCAACAAAATGCAAAAGAGGCAACAAAAAGTGGGTTTTGTGTCTTGCATTTTGTGCAATTTCTTGCTGCATCATCCTGTCCCAGAAGCCCCGATCTTTCTGAATGAAATGTGATATGGGCAAATTGGCCAAGTAAAATCAGGTTAAACAGCTCTGTGGTAATTTACGTTTGTACGTGGATGTGCAAGCAATGCTGGTAACACGCCTAGATTACCTCCAAGTTTTTGCGAGTGTGGAAGGTACAGCCGATATTAGAAAACTTAGCCCTCGCAGAATATTATCAATAGAAAATCCAAACAGTTTTATGGAAATATTTGTTGCATTGTATTTTGATTTAGCAAAAAGATTTAGCTCTCTCTCTCTCTCTCTCACATGAATAGCATTTCCTCAAAAATAACAGTCAAAGTTTACAATAATTATTTAGAAAACAAAATTATTTATGAGAATACGGCCATCAACAGAACAACAGATCATCATCGTCATCTTGGGGGCAGCTACTTAAGTTTAATTAAAAAAAGTGATCCTAAGAAATGAACGGCATTTGGAAAGTTTTCATCTTCTAAATCGAAAATAAACAACAGCGGAGTTGATTATTTGATTTTGTGGAGTCATCCGTGGAGTTGAGCTGAGCAGGCAGCAGGGCGATTCGCATCCAAATCGGGTTAGCTTTAAGACCAGTTAAAGCTCGATTTCAAAGCTGAATCTTTATGTCAGTACTGTTAAGGGTTAGACAATACCTATAGCTATCCCATGGATCTGTCATCCGTTGATGGCGTACTACGAAAACATTTTTTCTTGTTTTTTTTTTGTTTGAGTATTCCTTTGTGGTCGTCTTTTTTGTGGTCTCTCGGGTCTTAAGCTTAGGTTGTGGTTTGAACTTTGTACAATGTTTTTAGGATTAAATTATTACGGATAAGTTAGGATTAAACGTTCATTAATATCTAAGTGTTAGCCCGGTTTAGGTTCTGTGTGTGGTTGTGTGCTTAGAGCGGCTCCAGGGCAGCGGGTCCGTGCGGACTGCCCTCCAGTTTGCGCCAGACCACGTTGCACATCTCGCGCACCAGCGCCTTCTCGCCATCGTCCATCTGATCGAGGGCACTGCCTGCCAAATTGCCCAGCCGGTCGCGTTCCAGCTGCTCTCGCACCTCCAGCACCTGGAGGGCCCGCACCACCGCCTCCGGACGGCCGGCTATCGGTTCTGGCAGCTGTATGGCCGCTGCTGCTGCCGCCGCTGCTGCAGCCACCGCCAGCTGCTGATGCTGCTGCTGATGCTGCTGCTGGCTGCTGTTGATCTCCTGCTGATGGGGCGAAGGCGCTGATTTGGCTGGTGCTGTGGCTGTGGCTGGCTGGGGCGTTGGTGTGCCAGCCAGGGGCGTGGGCGTGGGCATGGGCTGTTGCTGCTGCTGCTGCAGATGGGGTGTGGGCGTGGTGCGTTCCTCCTCCAGCTGCTGGATGCGTCGCTCCAGCGAGCGCACATACTGAAGCGTCTGATCGTTCAGCGTGTGGGCATGACGTAGATCCTGCATATGAGTCACATTATATGATGATTCTGGCGGTGGTGTTGGCTTCTTTATGATGTGGCTGCTCACCTGGGGGAGTTGGCGCTGCTCAGCATAGTTCCGCAAGGCTGTGATGGTCTCATCCGCTTGGGTGCTGGAACTGGAGCCATCGCCATCGTCGCGCAGGGCATTCCTGGTGGCCGCACCGCACCCGGCGCACAGCGCATTGGCAGCCACATGGGCACGCTCCTCGTCCAAGTACAGACAGAGCTCCTTCAGCTCCAGATTGTCGGTGATTAGCTCTTGCTGTTTGTCATCCAGCTGACGTAGTTTGTTCTGAAAGAAGATTCAATCCATTAGGCATTAGGCTTGAATTGCTTTGCGATTTGTTTTCCCACTCACCTGATAGGCAGCCACCTCCTGGCGCATCACACTGGCCGTGTAACGACCAAAGCGTTGCCATTCCCTGGCCAACTTGCGTCCCTTCTGTCGATCGTCATCCAGGAAACAGCACAGATCCCTCAGCTCCTGGTTGTCGTCCAGCAGACGTTGATTCTGCTCCTTGAGTGTGCGCAGCTCATTCACCAGCGACTGCAGCTGGCGATTCTGCTCCACCGTCAGGCGGCCACCTGCCCCATTGGCCGTGGGTATACCAGTGCCGCTGGACGTGACCGAGGCATTGGGCGATGGATGTTCCTGTTCCGGTTTGCGTACAAATTTCAGCATATCCTGTGCTCCTCCCTTTATGACCGCCGGATGTTGCAGATAGCGTGTTTGCTGTGGATGTTGCTGCTGTTGCTGTTGCTGCTGTTGCCGTTGCTTAAGCGAGTCTGGTATGTAGATGTTGGATAGCTGGGGTATATCCGGCGGATATTTGATGGGCAAATGTGGTTTCAGTATCCCCGTGCCTGGCTGTGGCGGTGGCTGGTATCTCGGTGGTATGGAGTGTGCGGGTGCTGGTGCCTTAAGGTTCGGACTGCGGAGGGAATGCTGTTGCTGTTGCTGCTGTTGTTGCTGTTGTTGCTGTTGCTGCTGCAATTGGTAGAAGCTGCGACGCTGATGCTGCTGATGCTGCTGATGCTGCTGTTGATGTGTTGCAAGATTAGGCAATTCTTTAGTGGATTGCTGTTGTTGTATGGGCAAGCGAGAAGTCAATGTCTGATGATGATGTTGCTGCTGCTGCTGCTGTTGCGTGCTGTGTGGCTGATGGATTGTGGCCACAGTTTGCAATTGATGTGATTGTTGCTGCTGTTGCTGCTGCTGCTGTTGCTGCTGCTGCTGTTGCTGCTGCTGCTGTTGGTGCCAACAAAGAGCGTCTTGGTTGTTGTTGCTGCTGCTGCTGCTGCTGCTTGTTAATTGCCTGCGTCGCTGTTTTGCTTATAATTTTGTCAACGCTATTTGTTTTTATCAAATTATTGTTCAAAGTAGTTGTTCCGTTTGTTGTTGCTGCTACTGCTGCTGCTGCTGCTGTTAGTGTTGTTGTGGTTAATGTCTTCTGCTGGTTGTGTTGCTGCTGCTGCTGTTGATTGCCGGACATTTTTGAGTCGGTTCCTTGTTTGCCTCGTCTTATATTTTTTCGGTGTGTGTTTTTGTTTCCTTTTAGTTGTTTAAGTGGTGTCTACGACCTCCGAGACCTGCAATACATTAAAAAAATGGGAAAAACATTAGCAAAAACCAAAAATCTAAAAAATGCTTGGATGGAAAAAAAAAACTATAAATCAAGGCATTGTACAATGTTATCTATGCGACAGGCGAGGGCACGCCGTCATTGTAGCATAATTAAACTTCCATTAGATTGCCGCCAGACGCTGATAGAAAGTGAAATGAGCATTTGTCGCACCACTGAAGCCATGACATGCCACACGAGCTACGTAGGTGCACCCCTAGTACACTGAGCAAAATAAAGCCAGTAATCGGGGTACTCTCCCTAGCGATACTTCCAAGCTGGTCTCTAATCACGAAATTCCCTGAACTGTTATTTTCTACTCCAATTTGTCACCCATATTTTTCGCGCAGTGCATGTGTCTTGTGCTCAAGAAAATGCAACGAAGCGGCGCCAAAAACTACATTTGACGTAGCGAATTGTAATATAAACTGCACTGTCGTATGTTCGGTCTCCCGGACGCTGGCTCCCCCGGATGGGTTGCTGGGTTGCTGGGTTGGCGCTGAAGCGTCTAATCATCAGATGGCGTCTCTGTGTGTTGACTTAAACGTAGGCTTCCGCTCTCTAGTTTGAAAACCGAAAGCCCACTAAGTACCGCGGCACTCGCAATAGTAAATGGCAGCGACTCGCATCAGTCTATCGTCGCATTTGTATCACGAAAGTGAAATTCAGTTCATGGTTTGATGGATGGGATGGGACTGCTCCCGGAGCAGGCGAAGGCGCAGGCGCAGGCAAATTGAAATGTTGCGACTCGCAGCTTGACATGAGCACAATATGGTAGTAATTTGGCTCATGTGCGTTCCCCACCCCCCGTTCGCTTAATGAATAGAGTTGGCTTGATTAAAACCACGAACAATGGACTTTCTTTGACATCAGTTTTCGGTTCAATAAGCTTATATAAATTAAGGGAAATCTTTCTTGGTGTTTAATAAGAGTGGAAACTGGGAGTCGCTAGTTTTACTGGTTCGAGAAGCGTTCTCCACCATTACATTTTTCATTATTAGAATAGAGTTTTAAGGCGCATCTCCTGAACATGTGGGGTCTGATTAATATGGATTTCTCTGTGCAAAACATACAGCTACTACTTATAATTGTGATACCTTTCACTTCTTATATTAAAGGAAGAGCTCTTTATAATTTATTCCAATTTTCCGCTCTGTACGCCAGCTGTACCTTCTGCCAGTCGTCCCCCACTTCCATTGTGACTAAATAATTGCTTTTGTGTAAACATAGAACTAGTCCTTGCAGCTAGCCTAGAACCTCCAAGCCAGACAGGACAGCTCTTAAGCTCTTTAGTTCTAGATATCCACAAAAGAGAACATCTGGATCACATTTACCAGAGAACAGACAGCAAGACAGAGAGAGAGGGATCCTCACCCTTTGCTTGAGCTATTTAGGCTGTCAACTGGCCAGCTCTCCCCTTACAAATGCCCATCAAGGGATAAGAAAAATGACAACAGGTGTGAAATGTAAGAGCTGTAAGCCCGCGCATCGAAAGATGCGAAACGCTGCACAAAAGCAAACCACTTCCCCCATTGAGATGTTTCGGGTATGCAAAAATTACAGAAGAAAAACCCCTTTTGGCCGACTGAGAATTGAACACACAAACAAAAAAAACAAAAAAAAAAAAACAACAGAAAAGAATTGCCAACATAACAAAAGAATGCGGTGAGGGCCTGGCCCCCGGTTCAGGCCTGGCCCTTCATTGTTGTGGGCTCTGCTTGCCATACATATTCGGAAAAGAAAACTTACAAAACACGGCAACAGTTGTAAATCATCGAATTACCTCAAAATAATAGCAATCGCTCGCTGGCCGTTTGGGGGGGCCAGCAAATTGCCCAAAAGCAAAACGAAAATGCAAAACGAACCCCACACAAAAGACACAGCGAAAACCAGGCTCACAATGGAGGCGAATTGTCTTATGACTACAGGGAACCCCGCAATGTCTAAGAAACAAGGATCTGCATGCAAATCACAGAAGTCATGAAGTTATAATTAAATACCATTAAAATTAGTAGCTAAAATGGCAGAAACTGGATATGCAAAGTCATATATTTGGTGGCTTTTTAAACAGTTCTTTTAGTTAATATTCGTATAGTGTATACCCTTCGTCTTGCTTCACAAGTAATGGGTATAAAAACAATGCAAGAAGGCGGCAGGCTACAGCAACAGCAACAAAATCTACTCTTCTCCCACAAGACATGAGAGATACACAGAGCGAGAGAGAGCAGAGCAGAGCAGAGCAAGAGAAGGGGAGGGAGGATGGTGGTTGGTGGTTGGAGGGTGAGATCCATTGAGTCACAGCACAGCAGCAACAACAAAAAAAAAACTCTGTCCCGTTGGCGTAGTTTTTGGCGACTTGCGAAATGAAGAAACCCTCCAAAAAAAAAAACCAACAACAACAACAAAACTTCGTGTGTCAGTTACGCTTAATGAGCACAAATATTGCTCTCATTGTTGTTGCTGTGCTGTGTGCTCTGCTGTTGGTGTAGATTTTTTACCTTTGATTGCCATGCCGTGTGTCTGTCCCTGTCCCCCCTCCCCCCCTGCGTGTCCACACCACCCGTGTGCAAGCTGGAACTGGGATCGAGAGTCGTCTCAGCAGCTCGCTCTCAGCTCGATTTCAATGAAGACGAGTCTCGGTCTGGTCTCCCAGTCGAGTCGGAAATGCCAATACTTAACCCTCAACTGGCCCCGCTCCACCACTCTTTGGCTCTACTCCTGGGCCTCCCTGCCTGCCAATCTCCCGCTTTTTGTTTTTTTTTTTTCGGTATTGCCATGAGAAAACGAGGGGGAAACAACAAATGAAAAGCTTCGCGGGCAGCACATTAAAATGAAGGAGTGAAATTAGGGTTTAAGAACAGCACAAGGAGCTTGGGAATACCCTATAAAGAGGGAGAAGGATATTTCACTCATTTATAACTGCATTTAAAATGGCCTAGATGTTATATGCATTTAATGGTATTGGTATTGAATGTAGGGGTTATGGATTTTATTGTAAATTAATTACACAATAATTTGTTAAGCAACTTTGGAAGCACAGCTTTCCGTACGAATATACATTGGCTTTACATTTATCTAAGTTTTGGTTATTTATGATAATAATCCCCTGAGTTATGTAAAAGACAGCTCTATAATTATCGCTTAAGTGAATTCTTCTCTTTAGGAATTCGTGAGTCACAGTTTCATTATCACAAACCTTTTGGAGAATGCTTTCAGGACAAATGAAACCAATTTGAAAATAAAATAAAATAAAAAAAAGAAAATAAAAGCGAACCGGAAGAATCATAATACATTTAAAATCCAGCTGCTTTTACTTGAGTGGTTGATATCTCTTGAATAAGTACTTCAGAAAGAGGCCTGCCTATACGATATAAATATGTGATATATGTATATTCATTTATTGCATGACTTAACCCTTGATCCTACGCTATAATTAACGTCTATAAAATGCCTAAAACTAAAAAAACTCATAATCTTCAGCTAATCCAAATTTATGGCCAACTCCGTGGCGCAACAAATATAAAGCCCTTTGCTAGGGTATACACCCATAAAAGAAGCCTTCAATTTGTAGCACATGTACACATACTCCTCCAACTTCGATGCCGATTCCAATTCCGTCTTAACCTTTTTCCCAAGTTCCCCCTTAACCCTTTGAGAGCCAGAGACCAGAAATTCCCCTTTTTTCCCACTGGACGCGAGGCCAGCAAATAGCAAATCATCACCTGGTGCAAGGGGAGAGGAGCTGGGAGGGATCGAAATACAATAAATAAATACAAAATTTATTTCAATATGCGCGTGTAAGAGCGTGTTTGGCCTTGGGCGATGAATGTTGTACTGGGAGGCACTTAATGCTGTGTAGTATACCCTTGCAAAGGGTATGCATGAATGATGGCAAAAAGATGTTGTTAGAATCTATTTAAATCAGACTTTGCAAAGAACTTTCCTTATACTGGTACAGCAGTGGCAAAACGACTCACCCTTCCACTGAAACATAGAAAAACTCACAAGAGATTGATCCATCGGTAAGGGTACTTTACAAAGCCTTTCATTTGTTACATATATTTTATTGTTTTACCCACTTATGCGTAAGGTTGCCCCGTCTCATGTCTGGTGAGGTCTATTCCCCCCCTGTTTTTCGCTAATAAACTTTTGATCTTGCTAATGGTCGAACATTGTTGATGCGAAGGAGATGCCGAGAGATCATAGGCGTTGGCCCCAGCTTTGGTGCCTTTGCCAATAACAAATTGCCATAATTAGTGCCATTTTAATATGAGGTTTCAGCTCACAAAACATCACACAACCCCCACACACGAAATAGGTATGTAAATCTGAAGTTATAACAAGCCGAGAGACAGATTCCCCCACTGGGGCATAGGCGGCTTCTTCAGCTCTGCTTTTGGGCAGAGGAGTAGTGGGGAAGGTGTCGGGTGTTGGAGTGTAAAATTATGAAAATTACTTTTCCCATGCACAGTGGGTGGTGCTTTGGGAATTATTCCATTTCAGATCTTCACTTGACAATGGACAATAAAACAAGAGTGGCATACAAAAAGCATAATAAGTTTTTAATGGGTCCAGCCATGAATTTATTTGCTATAGATCGTAGTCGCCCGATACCCGAGGCCTGCACCCCAAGGGAATATCATTTTCGTAAGGGGATCGTTGTTCGCCACAACAAAAGTTTTGGAGAAACAATCTTGGCATTATGATTTGTTGAGGCAGCAAGTTCCTGCCTGGAACCATTTTTACAGATGATATTTTTAGTTAAAGATCTAGTTTTCATTCTTTAGGTGTACCTGACCTGTTTATGGCTTGCCTCGTTTACTTCTGGCCGTTATTCTTGCCCATTTTGACTATTCTAGTCCTTGTAGTTCTTGGTGTTGCTGACTGTGACTGAGAGGCAACGTATTGGCATAGGGATTTAAAAAGCTGGAAAGGCATGAGGAACCATGATATTCCTTATATACGAAA